AGAAGTACAACCGACTCAAGGAAGACTTCATTGGCACTTCGTCGGTAGCTTACCCGAAGGATGTCCGGAGACACCCGCGTTGATGTTTAGGAAAGCTTCGCGCGGGTTGGTGGTGTACTCTTCAAAAAGACCTGATTGATTTGAGAAGTCACGCTCAAGGAAGACTTCATTGGCACTTCGTGGAGCTTACCCGAAGGATGTCCGGAGACACCCGCGTTGATGTTTAGGAAAGCTTCGCGCGGGTTGGTGGTGTAGTAAGATAGGAGTACATATGCGACGCGGGTACGAAGATGAAAGCATAAAATCAGACGCTCAAGCACAAGCAACACGACCAAGTATCAGTCTAAACACATTCATGCCAGGTCATCCAAAGTCATCTCGCCCTCCACATTCTCCGATACAGTCGAGTACCTATTAGCAGACGTAGACTTCGACATCATATCACCACTGGCACCAGAGCCATTCGAGCTGTGTGAACGATGGACGGGACCAACCGTTGACCGTGTATTTGTACTTTGGCCCAGAGGGATACGACCGACCCGGGTCATGGTGGTTCTGGGCTTCATGTCGTGTGGGATGTTGACGCTGGTGTACATGTCGAGTTCATGGCGGAGAGTTTGGGAATGGGCGAGAGCATTGTCACGCTCCTGGGTCACGGTGAGGAGAGTCTGCAGAGGAGATGAGGTCAGTAAGATTGAGAAGGAGTACGATGGTTGCAGAAAGATTCACGCACATGTTTCGTATCGGCGAGCTCACGACGGATGCGGTCGAGGTACAAAATTCGCTGAGCTGGGTTGTTGTGGCTCAGAATCTCAGCGTTGAACTTGCTCAGACGCTCGGCCTCGTTTTCCGCCAGTTCGTTGCGAGCGGCGAGACCCTCCACCTCCCCGATGAGGTTCTGATACGCTTCCTGGTACCGTTCAGCATCCCCCAACTCGGAGGTCAGCCTTACGAAATACGAATCAGCTCAAGATCCAGCCAGGAGAAGAGCGTGGAAAGAGGAAAGAAGGCTTACTGCTCGATCTCTGCTCGCAAGGCGTCCTCGGCTGCCTTGTGCTTCTGCACTGTCTGTGTTAACCTCTGGTTGATGTCGCGCTCCTTCCAGACGGATTGTTCGTGTTCTGTGGCATGCCACTGTGCCTCGAGTTTGGCGGCTTTGACTTTCTGCAACAGATCGGCCTCCTGTGCCTTGGCCGAATCTAGCGAGTCTTTGAGATCGGAGATCTGTTTACGAAGAACGCCGTGCTCGGAACGAAGGTTGTCGGATTCGGAGTTGGCGACGTCGCGGGCTGCTTTCACGTTCTCTAGAGCGGTGTTGGATTGTTCGGTTCGAAGTCGTTCCATGTCAACCTCGTGGACAGACGCTGCCAGTGAAGATAATATAGCACGGGTGGATGAACGATACGCGTTGACAACGATCGTTTCGGTAGAAGAAACCGTTTCGTATGTCGTAGCAGCCATCTCCTGTTGGTCGCTTTGGAGGGTAAGCAACTCTGCCCAGAGCGGATCGTTTGGAGGGTCTGATGCTTGACGATCCGAAAGGGAATCCTTCCAACACGAATGGTAGAACGAAATGAGCTCTTCGGCATGGCGCAGCTGGGTAGAAAGTCCCTCGTTCTGTTCCTTCCTCTGGCGAATGAGACTTGCCAATTCTACGACCTGGCCTTCAGAGTTGGCAAGCTTGCGCTGGAGATGGACGTTACGGAGCCGAACAGCTTCGAGGTTGACCTTTAGAGAATGATGGGTGGAGTTCAGGACGGTGGACGAAGCGAGACGGCCGTATTCCTCTGCGGCGTGTGATAGAAGGGATTGGACGTCGTCAAGCCGCTCCAGGAGTCGCTCCTCAGTGATCTCTGCCTCTCTGCGGACTGACTCCAACGACGCTCTCGCCTCTTCGGCCTGGGCACGTACTCGCTTGACCTCAGACTCCCGTTCATGAGCCGTCTCCTTCGCTTCTTTGACCTCGCCATCTACTCTGCCCCTGATCTCAGCCAATTTCGCCTCTGCCCCTTCTCGCCTCTTCTTCTCAGCAGACAACGACTTCTCCAGTTCTGCCACCTTTCTATCCCGCTCACGCATCTCGTCCTTTCGCTTCGACTCGAGTGCTTGCATTGCCTTCTTCATCTCGCCCGCCTCTCCTTGCTTCGACGTCAGTTGAGAGCGTTCATTCTCCGAGATGCGTAGTTTCACTCGAAGGTCCCTGATCTCCGCTTGTTCGGAAGTAGAGGTCTTCTTCAGCTCTTGAACGCGTGCTTCGAGTGCGGCGTTGTGTTTCTTGACCTTCTCGAGGTCTGCGATGGACTTCTGGGCCTTTGAGAGGTCGAGTTTAAAACGATCTGCATCTACTTGGTGCTGAGAACGAAGGAATAAAAAGCATAAGCGGGTGAAAATTCGAATGGTGTCGAAGACACCAGAAAGGTCATTTACCTGTTTCTTCTCGTCAGCATGGACTGATTCCAGTAAAGCGAGCTTGCGTTTAAGTGCTTCTAGTCTTTCTTCTGCGTTTGGTGGTACTTTGGTGGTGTTATGAGCTGTGCTCGATGGTGGCCTCATCATAGTCGAAAATATGGGGCGCTAGAGGTGATTTCACGTCCTGGCAAGGAAGAAATGGCAGTAAGCAAGGGCTCTTCTCTTATTTTCAAAGACATAAGTCTGCGTAGATGTACTTCTTGGTGGTGAGAAGGAGAAGGTTGGATATGGTGGAATATGGGTTCGAAGTTGTCTTTATGGATGAAGACTATTAGTGAGTAGCCAAGACGTTGCAGATCAACCCTCCAGGTTCTATGGTGCAAGTGTCGACCTAACCTACCTTGGCAGGAATTATGATGCTATGGCTATCAAGACCAGCACAACAGAGTCGGTATCAATGGCTGATTCTCCACTTTTTGCAATGATGTCTTTGTTCTGGTGAACGAAATGACACACCTGAGTCGTTGAGGTAAATAAACGTAAGACCGGACTCTTTAATAGCAAAGTTGGTGTCGCTAGAGGTGAGCCGCGATGCTGTAGTATTCGTCGTGACTGGTATGAATGCTTATGGTCAATAACCAAGGTTCGTTTCAAAACGACCGACAGGACAACCAAGAACTGTTGGTCGCGATAGTCACGTGATCGTGTTCGTTTTGCTGAGAATCTGGGCCACCTTCAGTGCTTGCCACACTCATACCTTCCGTTTTGCTCTTGCCCAAAAAACCGTCAGCCAGTCTTTGTGTGCGATAGAACGTTCTCAAAGCGTCTGTACATTGATTTCAGGCTGGCTTCTCGTACTCGTTTCACCCCTGATCAACCCGGCCCAGGCCACAGAACAAACTCGCGGATAGGATGGGTGAGGCATCGTATGAGAAGATGCTCTCTACAAGATCAGCGACTCCTCCGAAACATATGCAGAATAAATCGATAGGGTACTGTAGTTGGAGACAGAGTACGGCTTGATCCCTTCAAGGAGGTTGCTATGACCTGCTGTTAGGGCGCGTCATAAACCCTCCACTTTCACTGCCCTCTCGACGTCCCTCTCCTGGAGCACCCCTCCTTTCATCATTGCCCGATCCCCTAGTGTTCCTCACTGGGACATCCTTCGGTTTATTCTGCCCACCCATCTTGTTGCCAATGAAAGCCTCTAACTTCGAAGAGACTTCATACCCGAACTCCTTCAACTCCTCCAACGCGATCTTGTACCTCGTATCGCCAGCATCCACACATCTAACAACGATGGACTCATAAACGGAAAGGGGAGGGTAGAAGTTCGCAGCCTTCATTTCTTCAAGGTAGAAGAATGCCTCCTCGTACGTCTCTCCCGAGAGCGAAAGGACGACGAGACGCTCATAGGTCTGAGCGTCCGGCTTGACCTTGGCCTCCTTCATGTCCCCGAGGATCTTCTCGCCCAAGTCCTTGTGGGCAGTGGCGATACATCCAGAGAAGAGCGCATTGAACGTGTCGACGTTGGGCTTGATCTTGAACTCGGGGATGATCTGATAGATGCCGACAGCGCGCTGTAGATCTCCGTGGGCCACAGCAGCCTGAATGATCGCATTAACGGCAGTGATGTCAATAGGCTTGCCTTCCTTCTCCAGTTCTTCGAGAGCGGTCCAAGCGGTATCAACAGAATCAGGAGAAGCGCGGATGGTGTCGAGGATGGGTTGGATGGTTTCGTTCGTAGGTATAAGACTTTGTGAGCGCATGAGGGAGAGGATGGCAAAGGCTTCCTTGAGGCGATCGAGTCGGCAGAAGGCTTCCACAACGGGGGCGAAATGGTATTCGCGGAGGGTGACTCCGATGGATTGCAGGATGCGGAGGGAGTCTAGGCAGAGTTCGGGGAGACCGTGGCGGCCGGCCGTATGCAAGACTTCGATGCAGGTGCCTTCGTCCGGGGTAAGTTTCAGCTCGTTGACAATTTTATTCCAGAGAAGCTCCACTCCGTCTTTCTATGTGGTTAAACACTACCCTCAGCACTTCAATACATACGAGAGCGACAGAATACTGACGTAGAGGTCCTCTGTGGCGGCAATTAGGCACTTGACCCAAACGGCTGAGTTTAATCTTCGGATTGAACTAGCCTCGAAGTTAACAGCTAGGTCGATTGCGAGACGAGGGTGGCCCTGAGAGGCAGCAAGAGAGATGATGTCCTCCGCGGTCTCCACTTTCGCAGACAGACCCCTCTCCTCCATCTCAACAAGTTCGCGTATGGCTGCCTCGAGGTTCCCAGCATGAACGAACTTCTTGATGACGTGGAAGTAGGTGGTAACGTCAGGAGAGACTCCTAGCTCTGCCATGCGGTCGAGTACTGTGTGCATTGGTCCGAGCCCTGCGTTCCGTGTGGCCTTGGTAGGAGGACGGTCACTGCCATTAGCTACAGTCCGATAGCCGCAAAAAAAACGAGAAGAAAACTCACAAGCAGCAACAGATTGAATGTCTGTACATCGGGAGATATTGACATACCCAACATGTCATCGAGCAGCGCCCATGCCTCGTCCTCCATACCGGCCTTCCCTAGCGTCTCCAGAGCAGCATTATAGGTCATGAGATCTGGCTTCGCACCAGCATCCTTCATCTGCTTGAGGATTTCGAATGTCTGGATCAACGCAAGCGTACTGCCAGCTGTCTCTAGTTGCTGGTTGAAGGAGAATGTGTGGGGACGTGGTTTGAAGTCCGGTGTGAATTGATAGGGGCGGCTGCGAAGATTTTTGGACGAGGAATTGACGCTTTCATACTCGAACTCTTCGTCATACTCTTGTTTCATGGGCCGTCGAAGACTGAATGTGGCGGCATGTCGCTGTTGTCGGTAGCATGCCGAGGCTGAAAGAACCTCGTTATAAGTCAATCAAGCTGGCACAGTAGAGAACACACATTCTGATGCCTGAGCCAACCCCAATGGACTCCGTTTTGATGAGATGGGTATCCGCTTGCGGACAGTGGAGAGAGCCTGCCTTGACGAGGATGCGAGCATTGTCACTGAACCAAGTCGCGTGCGTGACACTTTCACTCACGAAATTTCGATCATGTCACGCTGTCACAAGGTGACACAAGCGCTCTCGGTTGGAAATCGTGCATCGCGTTCTTGTTTCCAACGCGCTCATCTTGCTTCGTGCCGCATCATCATGGTCAGTTCCCTTCACCTCCTTTTCACGGCTCTGCTAACTGGCATTGGCTCTAGTTCTACTCAGAAGCTATCTTGTCACGGCGAGGCCCTCTAGCCAAAGTATGGCTCGCGGCTCATATGGAGCGCAAGCTCTCCAAGGCGCAGACTCTGCAGACAGATATCGAGCAGTCTGTGGGTGCGTGGAATACCCTCTATTCTCATTCGTTTATTAGATATTAATTGTCCATGAAGATGCGATTATGGATCAGGAGGTTGAAGTCATGGCGCTTCGCCTGAGTGGACAGCTGTTGCTTGGTGTCGTGCGCATATACAGCCGCAAGGCCAAGTATCTCCTCGATGATTGTAACGAAGCCCTACTCAAGATCAAAATGGTGCGTTGAAAGCACTCTTTGCGAATTCTTGTACTCATTATTTGTACTCAGGCATTCAAACCTGGCCTTGTCGACATGACAGAGGACCAACTTACTATCAACCGCAACGCCATCACCCTACGAGCAGGAACCGCCGACTTGGATGTGCTACTTCCCGACTACAACTGGTGCGTTACTTTCTATTTGCCCTCTCACTGTTTAATAATCACCTCGCGCAGGGATATCGGCTTCGATGAGGACCGAATTGTACAGCCCCAAGGTCATCATGTGGCGCGAGCAGCCGACATCACCCTTACCACAGGCGCCGACGATATGCAGTACGACTTTGACGAAGCTGGGTACGGCGACCTAGGCCCTGCGGACGGGATTGGTTCTCAAGATTACGACGTCGACCTTGGGTTGGACTTTGGTGATGGTCCCCTGAGCACACATGACACGTTGAGCATCGAAGGCAGGGGTCGGGATATGGACGACAGCAGCAGTGTAGAGATTGGCCGTGACGCACACGCTCCACGGGCAGCCAGAGAGTCGCTTGGTTCGCATCTCATGGGCCGCGGTGGTGACGCGGATCTGGACCTCCTGTCGCACAGGAGCAGGCAGTTGTCTGAAGATCCTTTCGGTGCTGACATGGCTATGGATATCGACTTTGGGCCTGACTTAGGTGTCGATGTCGATCTGGGCTTGACGTTCGATGACCAACCTCTGAGCGAGGGACAGAAGACTCCGGGACAGACAAGATCTCTTTCTCGTGCTTGTAAGCCTTGACTTAAATTCGCTACTATATTCCCACTAACAGCCTTGGTGGGTTTCAGCCTCCCCTCTCTCCGAAGCTCCCCGCACTCCTCCACCACCTGGCGTCGAGTCTACTGCCGAGATTGCTGCTGGCGAAGGTACTCCCCCTCAACAAGCTGATGCCCAGGCCGAAGAATCCGCGAAGCGCAAACGCAGAGAGAAGAAGCAAATCATCGATGACCAGACCGAGCTCGAGAACGGTCGCAAGCGCGGTGGATTTGGTCCAGCTCTCAAGACCGACGTCTCAGCTATCACCACCCAGAACCACTATCTCCCACGCTCATCCGTCGTCATGCAGCTTCTCGACATCCGACAGGACCCGATTGCTCACTTCTTGCCTACAAAGACCACTGCCAATGGGACCTTCTTCTGTGCGGGTCCATTGGACTTGGCTCCTGAGCTGCAGGAGATGTTCATGAGGCCTGCACCGGTACGACTGCCTGGTGGCAAGCGCCGCGGTACGTCGCCCGAGAAACCCCCGAGTAGCAAGCGTGCGAGAGTTGAGGGCGATGGGGCAGGCGACGTCACTATTGACCCGGTTGAGCAGCACAGGAGGGCGGACAGTGCAGCTCCTAGCGCGATGCTTGGTAGCGAGCTCCTCGGCCGTGGAGGCAGCGTTGGGCCCAGTGCAGACATGGGAGGACTCGACTTCGACACTGCTCCTGGTCTGGATGATTTCCAGATGGACATTCCAGACGCCGAGATGCCTTCACTTGGAGGCAACGCTGGGTTCGACCGTGGCCGGTCCAAGTCTGTGGCAAGATCGGAGCTGTCGAGATTATCGACTCCTTTTGGCGACGAAGGTGAAGAGACTTACGCGGACCTGGAATGCCCGATCGCAGTGTTTGACATGAAGGGGCAGAGTCAGGCTAGTGAGACGCCCAGTGCTAGCTCGCAAGACGGGAAAGGGTATAGCAAGAACACCATGAAGGCTCTGGGGCTTGTTAGGGGGGAGTTGCAGCCTAGTGATGAAGACGACGAGGACGTTGAGAAGATCATGAGTTTCAAGAAGATGACGCACAAGGTTCGCAGCCCACTATTCGTTCCTTCTGTTCGCAACTGACTGATGCCGTTCTTCTTTGCTATCCTCTCTCAGGCCACGAGGCGTGCCGCGGCGTCGTTCTTCTTCGAGCTCCTCGTCCTAGGCACTCGCGACTGCGTGAAGCTCGACCAGAGAGCTCCTTACGAGAACATCCATGTCCGGGCCAAGGACAAGCTCTGGGAACGTCAACGACATGGGTCTGTCGCCGCCTCCGAGCTGGGATCATCTTTTGGTTTATGATTTTCGCCGCACCTCCATCTACGTATCCGATCTATCTACGATTTCTTCCAGTCTTCTACCCTTATATTTCTTGCATATATTTGTTCTGAGTCGGGACGTATATACTAGCATAGCTATGCCTGACATGTACATGCTCGATACGACGCGTTCACGCTACGATTGATTTTCTTTAGAACTCTATCGTTCACCTATCCTCTTCAGTCCAGTCCTCCCCTTCTCTACTTGTTTTATTTAGTCTGTAGTTTTCTCCGTGTCCTCTGTCTGCTCAGTTACAACTTGCAGTGTCTTGTCTTCGTCCTCCCTGTTTGTTTGTCACTCGATTTGCGCTTCCTTTTGCTATGACATGGTACTTACTAGGATGCATACTATCTTTATGCGTGGCACACTATATGCCGTTACGAGATTCCTCCTTGAAACGACCCCTTCTACGTCGGGCATACAACATATAATTGGAGAGCCAGAATTGAGCCAGAACCCATGCTTATAGTTGACACGGAAGTTCTCGACACAAAAGCGCCATCAAATTACAGGTGGACTAAGAAGGAACCGGGACCATCACACTCATCTTGTCATCCACATTCATCCCTACCACGAATCGACTAACGAAATTGTAGAACGCAGCCGTCGCCATCGCCTCCACGATTTGTGTATCGTTGAAGAACGCATGCAAGTTATCGAAGACAGGCTGGGGAACGAAGACGGACTTTGTAGACCAGTCAGTGAACTCCATGGCGGCGGAGAGCGAGGGGCTGAGGGTTGTGTTGGCGAATTGAGGTGGGCTGGTGGAGTTGGCCAAAGAGGATGCGTTGTTGATAGTCCCAGAGAAAGCGGGAGCGAAGCGGATATAGAGAAGATCGGCAGTGGTGAGCCCGGCGGAACGACCGACCGGTTCGTGTTGAAGCCTATCATCGGCCAGAGTGCGTATGAGCAAATCGGATTTTGCAATATACGTGGCCAGCTGTCGTTGATAATATATTGTGCTTACCATTCATAAGCTGCGCTGTTCAACACGGCGACACGTAATATCTATACAGAGACAGAATCCAAGGGTGAGCCTTCGCTGGCAGAATAGAAAGAGAATACAGATCATGCTGACGATGAGTTCGCGCATTGTGGCAGGGATCGAATTGTTGTCCCTAATCACTCCTGCGAACACGTCCTCCCCTTGAGCAACCAGCGGTGCCTGCAGTCTGCGAAGGGGAAAAAAAACAGAGCACGTTAATTCAGGAGTCTATTAGAGCAATTAACTGCACGAACAGGACGCCGTCGAGATCGAGCAAGGTGCCATTCGCCCTACGAGATCTTATTTCGTCCGCAATCTGTGAGCATGAAATAAGTGATATCGCAAGGCCCATGTACAGAAATGCTAGGTTTTACGAAGAGTGCTTACCGCATTTGTGCCAGGAGAAGGAAAGACATAGGGGACCCTGGCGGGAAGATTATCGTCTCGAGGTCGCAAGGTCTGAGCGTGGTCGTCAACGGAGGACGATATCACGCCCAGTACCACACCAGTAAGAGTAGTGATGAGAAGGAGCAGACGCAGAGTAGAGAACATTTCGCGGGTACTGCAGAGAGGTTTGACAATTCTCAGTCGTGGAGCATCCTGATTATATGGATAGGGGTGGGCTATGGGGAGAAAGTACCAATCTCGGGCCCACGCGTCATAGAGCAGATTCAGGAGACACTGTCAATGGTTCAGAAGAAGTCATTCGTGAGATTTGTATGTCAACATTGAGCGTGAGCCATTCCAAACAGGCTAGTGTTCGTTCCTGCCAGCGGGAGCTCCATGTAAGTAGCTGCATCTTTCAGAGGACCGCGGGAACCTGCATGACTGCAGCCATTCAGAACTTTAGGCTGACGATATGGTTCTCGGGTGTAGACGGGGGAAGGAGAGAAAGAAACTTTCAAATTGGCGCGTGAGAAACAAAGGAAAGGTCGTTTAGGAGGGACAAAGAACAAGCGCCCATGGCCCATGCGGGCGCTTCAGGGCTTCGGTCACCGGTCCGTGCCTCGCTCCTCGTGGTTGCCTCGTTGTTCCGACTCAACGCGAACTTCTTTCCCACTGACAGTCTCCTCCTTACCATTCCGTTACCATCGCCCGTTCCGAGCTCATACGACGCGTTTTCAAGTAGCAACAAAATGTGTCTCTGTCTATAAGAGACATCCACCATCGCGTATAAGTTAGCAGCGCAGCCTATCTCACGCGCGGTAGACGCGTGTTTTCCTTTAGAGAAAGGAAGGGCTATCCATGTGCATTGCACAATCCGTAACAATCCGCTATTACCCAATCGATGCCCTATATGGTATATTTTCGTAGGGTAACCATCGCAACGATTACACGAGGCATCCTTATCGTCATTCCGGGCTGCCCAAACGGGCGTTTGGTTTGGCGTTTCCCGTTTTGGATTATGTCCATTTATGGTAACAATCCATACGCCAAAATATTGCCTACGTGTCTGCGAAGCCAACCAGGACCCACACGAGGCAAATTATTTGCAAATGATAGGGCGAGGGACGCATATATAAAGGTGCGCTGTTCGTCTTCCGTCTCCCCAACTAGTCGCCCACCTCCGTTCTCGTATATTCAACTGACTTCGACATCCCCCACCCCATCGACGTCCCATGTCATCTTTCTTCGTCACCCCCACCACTACCGTCATGGAAGAAGAAGAACTCAAGGAAGTTTTGAAGAAGGCCGGTGACAAGAAAATCGTCGAGCATGCCCTTGGCGAATGCCCTCGCGCACGAGAGGAGTTGGTCACTCAGGCCATGATCGACAGTGTCAGTCCTTGTCCGCTCTGGACGTCTATTCATTCGATTTCTGACAATGCGTAACATCCTCCAGGTTGTCGAACGCCTGTCGGATTTCAGCCCGGACTCTGATCTCATGAAGAAGTGGCAGAAAGCTCAGAAAAAGAAGGACAAGAAAGCCGACCAACCCCGGCCCTCCAATTCTTGGATGGTCATGCTCAATGTATTTCGCAAAAATCGCAGCATCCTGGTGCCCGACTGCCTCTCCCCGGCCCTGATAGCGTCCTGGCTATCAACCGTCAAGGAGAACGCGACCGCACACTTGCATGACCGATTCACGATCGCCGCCAACAAAGTCAAAAAGAGTCACCAGACATTTTTCCCGGACTATAGGTACAAGCCTTCCCATATCCCGGCGACCAGGTCGGGCAGCAAGGCTTCATCCGCTCGCAATCCACGATCTTCCTCCGACTCTGCCTCCCCATCCACATCCGGATCCTCTTCGAGAAGCGTCAAGTCCACCAGAACAGCGCGCAAGAACGCCTCTTCACCGTACCCGACCCACCACGCTTCTCGGACACGTAGCCCCCAGCCTCAGTCCGGACCAGAGTATCATGTGGCCTCTCTAGGACCCTGGACCGACCCCTTGCCCCTCTCCTCCCGCCCGGTCGGGGGAGTCTTCCTCACAACTTCCGCATATGAGTCGGTCGTGCCCCGGGATTTGCCTACATTCTCGCAGTCCAGCAAAGCTTCATCTGCCCGCAATTCAGGATCTTCCTCCGAGTTTGCCTCACCCTCCCCCTCCTCACACGGATCCTCTTCGAGAAGTGTCAAGTCCACTAGAACAGCGCGCAAGGACGCCTCTTCACCGTACCCGACCCGCCACACTTCTCGGACACCCAGCCCCAAGCCTCACTCCGGACCAGAGTATCATGTCGCCTCTCTAGGCTCCTGGACCGACTCTTTGCCTCTCTCCTCCCGCCCGATCGGGGGAGTCTTCCTCACGAACTCTGCGTATGAATCGGTCGCGCGCCAGGATTCGCCTGCGTTCTCGCAGTCCATGGACCACGACTTAGAGGCGACTGATGGTCCTGCCAGGGATGATGAACCTGTAGATGGCGCATTCGAAGCGGTGGTACACAAATCGTCATCATCTTCCCCGGGGCCCTTCGCTCAACCCACGCCTTCCAATCATCCGTCGCCATCTGCACCCTCCTTTGAGCAACCATTTATCGGCGCTTCGGCGGCGGTTCAGTCCCCACCGCACGTGGCTCCGCCCTCGCCACAGCCTCAGGCTGAACCCTCTCCTCCTGCCCATATAGCGCAAACTACCCTCCCCGACCACGTGAGCCCCCTCTGGGTTTCGCACGAATCCTCTAGGTTATTCGGCGAGTTCGAGGGACCGTTTGCTGGATATGCAGAGCCATGCGCACTCTCCGACGACTCCGATACCCCCTTGACACCGCTCGATATAGCCACCTTCGCTGACACGATGGGGTCATCGCACGAGCCTCCCTCTCCCTCACAGTCCTCCCCGCACATGGGCTACACCGAGCTCTCGCTTCCACCTGGGATACCCGTGGCGAGCGACCTGTTCGCTCTCTACGACGAACCTTTTGTCCCCAGCTCATCGTACGAGGAGCCGTTGATCCCAATCTCGGGCGTCAACGACGCAGACGACTTATTCGCGGGGACACGGTTCGGGAACGCGTATTGGAGGAATGGGGTATATGTGGGGGGCTTTGAGTTTGGTTGTTCGTCGGCGTACTAAGAGACCAATCAGAAAAAGAGGTTTCACGCAGTTCTGTGAGTGTCTCTTCGTCGTCGACCTTACACATCCCGCCTGCCCTTTCGTCTTCCATGCCTTGGCACTCTTGCTCAACGATTCCCTTTCTAGAACTCCGCTTGAACACCCTAATCAGGGTCTCTTCGACCTCATTATCACGCACATCATTCACATCGGGCTACTGGGACACGAATTAGAAAGAGATTTCGCACGGTTCTGTGAGTGCCTCCTCCTCGCCCTGACACATCCCCGTCCCATTTCGTCTTCCATAGCTTGGCACCCTTGCTTAACGATCTCTTTCTAGTAAACAGCGCACTACTCGACTGCTACATCGCCTTTCGTGTTCCCTTCTTATGGTATATTCGACCGCACTATCAAGCACACCATTCACACCATCCCCGCTGTCGCTCCGTCACCAACTATCTCCGCACGCTGCACTCGACGAAGAGCCAAGCGTTTTCAGACACCCTCCCCACCACAAACAGTACCACTACCACCGCTACACCTATATGTCCACCTTTTCTATTCACTACCACTACGAACCCACACTACTGTGAGGGCTACGAGTTGTCGTCATCGTCGTCGTTGTAAGTCTGTTGTCTGTATCAAGGTCCTGTATCGCTGTGCTTTGTCTCGCTTTCGCCGCATATGTCTCTGTATTCCTTTTGCTTCGTACGCTTCTTTGTTCTCCTATGCTTTCATCGCCCTGTATCGTTGTGTTTTGCCTCGCTTTCGTCGCATATCTCCTGTATTCCTTTCGCTTTGTATCAAGATCCTGTATCGCTGTCGCTTTCGCTGCATGTATCTCCTGTATTCCTCTTGCTTTGTGCTCTTCTTTTTTCTTCTATGCTTTCATCGCCCTTTACTTATCGTTCCGCTGGGTCCCCTCTGGTGCAGTGGACGGTCTGTGTCGCCGCCAGAGATCCCCCTTTGTCTTGATTCTTCTTCCTCGTTTCTTCCTTTCTTTCAAGTTCTTTCGTCCATAACTTTTCGTCTTCGTTGTCTCGCTGTGTCACTGTTATCCAACCGCTCTCAATCCAGAACTACGAATGACAATCGATATAAAATCCGCTTTCGTCAACGAACTCAGCTTCTTGCAATTTAAATGTGTGATATGGAAGAACGAGTTGCTAGTGGGACTGAGGCTCAGACTCGGAGGGAAAGAGAGTCGGGGGATATTATTACGACTCGAGTGCCGACGAGATTGAACGTCATGATAATGCACTGGTGATCGAGCAATTAACACGGACAACACGGACACGGATACGAACGGAGATGAAGTCTCTTCTCCGAATCAGTGGTCATGTACTTAATGGGTTCAACGAGATCAGGGCGGAGGACGGAGGATGTACGAAGCCGAAGCCGCGGCCGCATCGATATCACATCATGAACTTGAACAAGCGCGATGAACTTGGGCGGCGTTGATACAACGCCGTTCAAGTGCTCGAATCAGTGCGCGAGACTCGGAGACGGTGCTCGATATTGTTCCAGTTTGGTGGAGAAAGAAGAAGAAATGGATGATGAGTGAGTGTGGTTGTGATGGTGTCACGGTCGATGACTCGGAGTTGGGGGGGAGGATGCGGAAGAGTGGGAAGAAGGGGAGTCCTCGAGCTCAGGCTGGACAGTAGTGAAATGTATGAATTGAATCACGGACGCAAACTTACACTAAATAATCCCGAGGTCATCTCCCCTAGTGGCACGAATGCGAACTGCGAAGATAAGCCCACAATCTTCAGAGGTTCGACACACAAAAATATATCATTCCATCATTATAACCCAAAAGCTACGGATAAAAGCCCAATCTAAATGGTATATGTTCCTGTCAGATGCCCTCCAACCAAGAAAGCCTGGGTCACGCACGAAAGGCGAGCATGGATCCCGAGTCCCAGAACTCACAACGCTCTGAAGCTACAACCGTTTAAGAAGCCTTAGGCTTACTCCCCAACCGCTTCCCAGCCCCTCCAGCCCCTCCGAAGATCTTTCGCCTCTGCTTCATCATATGTGTATACATCACATACAGACCTTAAAACCCAAACATCAGCATCAGCACACCAATCAACACGCCCACCTCTTCACCCACACTCCCGCCAGAAACCAGAAACCAGAAACAAAAGACAGAAGAAAAACACTCACCAGGCCACCAAACAAAAAACAGCCCCGCCCTCCCCACCGCCTCCCACCCCCACCCCCCCTTCCCTCCCCCATCCTCCTCCTCCCCCATCCTCCTCCTCCCCCATCCTCCTCCTCCCTTTCCACCCAACCCAAACTCCGGCAGCGTAACAAACGCAGCCATCGCCTCCGACCCGGCGCCCAGCGGATACAGCACGAAAAACGTCGTATAGCGTAGCCAGATGATGAAGGAGGGGAGGGTGGGGAGAGGGGAGGGCGTGAGGAGGGAGAGGGTGTAGTAGGTGTAGCGGATGGATTCGGTTAGGGACCAGGCGAGGAGGAGGGAGGCGAAGAAGGGAGTTTGTTTTGCCTGCAATTCCCCGGTTAGTACGCGTGTTTCATGTTTTTGGTGGAGAAAGGACAAAGAACAAAGGACAAAGGGAGGAACAAGGAGAGAAACGCACCACATCAAACCTCTCCACAACCCCCCAAACCGTCCACAACCGACTCGCAACCTGCATCCCCGTCGTCCCAAGCGGACTCCTCACCCACCCAGCGAGGACATGCGCAACCTCGAGCACCGCACAGCTCTGCACCCACTTCACCACCGTGCCCACATTCACCGCGCCCATCCCACCCAATTTCCCCTTTCCCCCTCCACCCAGCCCACCCGTCTTCCCCTTCCCCACCTTGCCCACCGCCGCGAAGGGGCTCGCGGCAGCGCTATACAGCGTCGTCGCGCGTTTATACAACGGCACGAGCCCAGGCGGGATATACGAGGGCACCCAGATCGTAGGACTACGGAATGCACCGAAGAGGGTGGATAAAGTGGATTCGGGGCCGGGGGTGAGGAGGTGGGAAGCGGTGAGGTAGAGGATGTAGGACCAGGCGAGGGCGGAGAGGGTGTTGTAGAGAATTAGATAGATTTTTAGGGGGAGGGGGGAGGCTGTTTCGTTGAGCGAAGTTTCATTGGGAAAGGTGGAGGAGGGGAGGGGGAGATGGGGGGGAGGGGAGGAGTGTTGGAGTGGAGGGGGAGGGGAGGAGTGGAAGTTAGTGAGTTGGTTCTGCGATGCAATTGTAGGAGGGAGAGGACTCGCAGACGAACCTTTCTTTTTCGCCGGGACAGGAGGAGGAGCCTGCTGTTTCGTAGTTACAGGCGCAGAAGCCTGCTCTTTCTCTTTCGTCCTTGCAGAAGATTTCGTGGATGTCATGTTCGTCGTCGTTCGTCGTCGTTTGGTCAAAAGCAATAAGTTTTCCTGCAACTCGGTCTGCAGTTCATATATATAATACTACGTGACTCAGAGAATTCGAAGAACGCGTGCCGGCGGCGGAACAAAAGAACTCTCTCTCTTGCCAATCATGAATGCGCATGCATGACGACTGTCGTCAACGGTAAGCTTATTTGGCGTCAAGGCATTGGATTTATAATAAAAGGAGGCCAGCTTGCGGGAATGTGCGTGCTTGGGTGATAGGAGGTTTGGGTTTGAATGACAGGGTTCTATAGATATGATCTACTGTATAGAGCGTTCAAGTGGCTCACACTCACGGTGCGGTAGGATTTGCAAAAGAAACTTAACGCGTCGGATAATCTTGGGCGTGATCATGAATCGTTGTTGTGCGTATAAAATAAAAACAGGGGAGACCCAAAGGTAACGTCTAACAAAAGGACGAAGGAAAACACCGACAACGGAAGAGTGCAGACATGAACTCTACTGGAAACACTGCCGGTGGGGTGGAAGAACAGCGAAAGGAATAAAGACGGAGAAAGAGTACAAATGTGCAGGTGCAAGACGGCTGATCCACGCTTGATGCTTGGATACTGACTGATATGAAAGGTTCGAATAGGATGCGGGGAGCCTCGACGTCGCGTGCATTCGTGCATTCGTAAAGACGCGGAGTATGTAGAAAGAGACAGGCGAGGATGGGTCGCGGGCGTATAAGTATATGAGAAACTGATTGATGGCAGTAGTAGTTAACGAAAACCCGGTATGTAGGGCAAGAGCGAACTGTGAACTATTCGTTCGACTCCGGATGGTCCCCGTTCCTCCTGTCTTCCTCCGAGGGCCCGCCGCTGACGCCGTTGTTCGCGGGGATGACGACCTGCGCTTGGCTGAGCGCCGCACGGAGGGCAGCGTTCTCGATACGGAGCTGGTCGACGAGCGCACGACACTCCTCCCACCGCCTGTTGGCTTCGTCTGCGGACGCAAGTGCGGCGTCGAGCAGCTGTGAGCGCGACTCGAGAGCCTTTACGTGTCTATAAACGTACCCGCCGTGAGCGATCGGAACGGAGGGACGACAAAGACAAAGGGGATAAGCAAACGAAAGGACACGCACTGGTCTCTTCGTTCCCGAAAAGCGCGCTGTGCCTTCCGATTCTGCTCGGCGCGTTTGCTCTGGCTGAGCGTCCGTGCGGGACCTGCAGAGTTTTGAGCCGAGGGCGACGGCTGCTGCTGCTGGTCCTGAGACTGCATCGGCTGGCCGTCTGAAGAGGGGCCGGCGACGGAATAGTGAGGGGGCGCGAGGCCGGCCTGGGAGTAGTCTGCGGGGTTGGGCGCGAACTGATAGCCGGGCGGGGGGAGGCCAGGGTGGGACTGGACGAGCTGGCCAGGGTGTGGAGGGGCGGGGGAGTGCTGCATGACGGGCTGGGGAGGCGGTTGGAGCTGGCGTGGCTCGTGGTTCGTCGGTGAGGTCTTCCGTTTGCGGGAGCGGGGTTGGGTCACCGGGGGGGCGTCGTCGCGCAGGCGCATGGTGTGTTGGTTTGTCTGGGACTGGGTCTGGTTTTGCTGCTGGGCGTCGGTGGGGACGGAATGGGGTGAGTTTGGGGTAGAGTCCTGTTGAGCATGCTGCTGCTGCTGGAAGTGCTGGTTCGGGTACGGGGACGGTTGGGCTTGAGTTGTTTGGAGCATATTGGCCGTGAGCACCGTCGTTGGTCAAGTCAGCCTATTAGTAAGACCCGCCATCCGGACTTTGCCGCCATCACTCACCGTCCTCCCCAGGTCCAAAGTAGCGACGCCGGGCCCCGCCGTCGGGCATGTAGTAGTGTGTCACTTTGTCTATCCAGGAGGACAGGGTCTCTCCTGCTGGCTTTTGGTGGCGCTCTGCCTTTATGTATCATTTTATTCCGTTCACAGCGGACCATCACGTGCGCTGCATCTTCGACGCTGTACGCCTCGTCCAATCACGGGCGAGGATATTCGCCCGGCTTGTTATTTCGGCGTGTTCGTACTACGGGATTTGTCAGCCAGCCCAGCCATCATATTATTTCAATCATCCAGCGAACGGACGAGTAGACAGGATGTCCTGATGGTCGTCGTCTGATGCAAGTCGAACAATGGGCGGCCAGCGCGTGGCAAAAACGCGGCCAAGGTGCTTGTCGCCGCCGCTCACGGCCTCGGCTCTGTCGGTGCGTGGGAAGAGCGGCCGAAAAAGGGGAACTGCTTCCGGGCGGGCTCGTGTTTGGCTGTGTGGTCGACAGTGCGCGCGCTTGCTTCCTCCCATCGTCGTCGTCGTCCCCGTCCCCGCCGTCCATAGCCCTTCTCGCTCGTCGCCCACAGCAGCTAGCTCACAGATGGCAACAGTATCCCCCACAACGGCTGCGCCACCAAAGACTTCAAGAGCCGGCGGTCTGTTCAAGCGAAAGAGCAAGAAGGGAAAACTGCCCCCGACTTCGTCCTCAACCTCAGACCCGAACACCAACGGCCAGTCCGACAACAAGCCAGAGCAGCCTCCCCTCCCCACGCCAGCAGCAACAGCAGCAGTAACGACCACCAAGGACAGCGCAGCCACCGTCCCACCACCGTCGTCGACGTCCGACTCCGCCGCCGTCCCTGCTGCTCCCGGGGTCGTCGACGCCGTCGGCCAAAGCTCTCAGCAGTCAGGGCAGGACCCTGTACAGTCCCCACAGGTCTCTTCTGCCCCATCCACCGACGCTCCTGAGCCAGCCTCAGCAACGCCCGCGGCAGCCCCCCAGCCCACCGAGTCGGCACCCGCGCCCGTCACCGTACCTCTCGTCCCCTCCGAACAGGCACCGGCGGCAGACGATGCAGATAGCAGGGAAAAGGAAAAGGACAAAGGTTCCCTCTCCACCACACTCACTGGCACCCAAACTCACACACGCAACTCTCGCCGCAAAGGCGCCCAGTCTCCCTCAGATGGCGCACACTCCTCCTCCACCGAGCCGCACCCATCAGCCACCCGTGCCGCACCCACCAAGAAATCCACCGCCTCAAACAGCCGTTCCCGTCCCTCGTTCTTCTCCAAACTCATTCATGTCCTCGTTCCCTGCGTTCCCTCCCGTCACCCAGACGCTATGGATCTCGATCCCTCTCCTGCTGAACCCGACTCTTCCGCCGCGCTTAACGAAAAGCAGCCACAGGGCGACGAAACGAAACCCTCCCAGACGCAGGAGGTCTCTGCTTCAAAAGATGCTGCTGCTAATGAATCCGCCCCTCAGCCGTCGTCCTCTGCTGCAACGCCTGTCGCCCTTCCTCCGCTCGACGTCTCAGCGCCCCCGGCTGCCGCCGATAAGGACGTCATCCTTCCACCTACCCCGCGCACACTTCCCGAGGCCGAGACTCACGGTATCACCTCTGGCGCAGTGCAAGCACCAGGCTCCACCGGTGAGGAACCCGCTCGTGCGCAAACCCAACACGACTCGTCCGGAGATGAGAGCGAAGGTACCAGTTTCACGGAGGACGATGACGTCGAGGAGGGCCCTCTGATGGATGAAGTCGAGGACGACGAGGAGAGGCTGATCCTCAACGGCGGTGCAGGTATCCCCATAGGACCGGTGCGCTCCCATAATCTTTTCATTCTTGCCTTCATTTCCGTACTTACATATATCATCTCAGGACGGCGTGCCACGACCTCTCTTGCCGCCTCTTTTCCCCCAACACGCGGGGCGAAAATGCTTGGTGCTCGATCTCGACGAGACACTAGTCCACAGTAGCTTCAAAGTACGTTTCTTCCCCGTTGGGCATGTTCCTGACTGACATAATTGAAAATTTCTATCAATAGTCAATACAACAAGCCGACTACGTGGTCCCAGTCGAGATCGAGTATAATTGGCATAATGTGTACGTGATCAAGCGCCCCGGTGTCGACAACTTCCTGAAGAAGATGGGCGAGATCTACGAGATTGTCGTCTTTACGGCGAGTTTGAGCAAGGTGCGCCCCTACGTCGGCGATCTCTTCGTGACGTGATGGTCTCATCTTCTTCGCTTCGTAGTATGCGGACCCGGTGCTGGACAAGTTGGACATCCATCGAGTGGTGACCCACAGGCTGTTCCGAGAGAGCTGCTACAACCACAGAGGCAACTATGTCAAGGTACGTAGCTGTCGTTTCGTTCGTTCAGTCCCCGATTTACATCCGCCACCCTACAGGACCTATCGCAGCTAGGACGGCCCATAGCGGACACCATCATCCTGGACAACTCCCCCGCATCGTATATCTTCCACCCAAACAACGCTGTCCCTGTCTCGTCGTGGTTTAATGACCCTCATGACACGGAGCTCACTGATCTCTGTCCATTCCTTACGGACCTGGCTACTGTGGATGATGTTCGGGGAGTCTTGGACGGGGGACTATAATCTCATCATTATCTTCTGCCTGCCCTAATTCTCTTCTTCCTCTCCCATCCACAACTACCTTAACTCGATCTCGGGGGTCGCAACTCACACATCTCTCTTCCCCTCCCTCGCTTTCTCCCTCTCCTCTCTCTCTCTCCTCTCTTATATCCTGCCTCGGTTCAATGGTACATACAGTCAGTCAGCTCTATACCCCTGCAATCCAAGTCAGTCACGTCCAAATCTTTCCGTTTTTCGTCTCGCCCTCGCCGGTCCCGACGCACTCTCCTCCTCTCGTCTCGCAGTTTTCACCCCTCGTACCCCTTTTCGCACGTTGTTTTGTCCTTCTGTCGATCTATTTTTGTCGCACCTATCGACCGAGAACCTGGTAGCTCCAGACCAGATTACCCAACCCACACACTCCTTTCTCTATTCTTTTTACTTCCCTTCTTCTCCTTCTCCTTCTGCTCCCTCGTTATCAGTCCACGCGCCCCCAGTCGTGTTTGTCCTCGTCCTCGTTTTTATTATTTTCTTTGTGTCCCGTCATCGTCGCGTATTTTGTGATTTATGAGCATCGGTCTTTTTATCCCCCGCTCTCGGTCGCCTCTCGCCCCCAACTGTGTTCGAATTTTTCTGATATTCTGATACCTCGCCTAGCGCCGTTATTTTTTTTCGTTCCGTCCGTTTACACGTTACACGTTACAACCGTTCTTGGTCTTCCCGATTCCCGATTCCCGATTCCCGATTCTCAATTCACGACATGTTACAGTCTTATTTCCGTTCGCACACAGAGGGCTTTTGCGTTCGCACACATTCACACAGTCAGACACAACAAATCCGCGCCATCATCACATCATACGTCATATTCAGGCAAGACGAACGGCCGATGTTGAGCAAGGTCCGCTGCAGATGCTGTTCTTTTAACGTTTTTTCTTTATTGCAATTGCTGTTTGCTGTTTGCTGTCAACTGGGAATATACATGGCTGCGCTTTTTTTATGCTTTGTTTTGGAGTTTTGCGCGTGGTCGTGGAAGTGGTTGAACCACGTTGAGGTTGATTTTTTCGTTCGACCTTTTTTGTGGTCTGCTCTTCAGTCTTCAGTGAGATGGGGGTTCGGTTGAGCGTCCTGCGCGTCCGTTCTTTTGTTCAATCTTCGATCTTCTAAGTGCAACGTCGTTCGTTGTCGGTCCGCTTGTGGCGGTATCACTCGATTAATATTGAAGACTTGGCCATTCCGGGTAGTCGCCGTACCGTGCTTCTGCTGAATTCGTCGAAGGGCTTTTGTCCAGACACGATTCAGATTCATCGGTGTCGAGTTATCCGTTGAGCGGGATGTTATGTTTGTCGCTCTCCGCCTCCTCTTCCTCTAGCTTCCTCTCTTCTCTTCTCTCCCTCCACCTCTCACTCCACCTCTCACTCTACACATTCTACCCCGCCAGACCCTCCTCGTCATCCGACGCATACCCCGGCTTTCTTCCCGCCTCTCCATGGACTATTGAGCACTATGTATCATGCCTCGTTTTTGCGTTTCCTGGTCTGGTCTACTATTTGTCCGTCTGTGCTTGCTTGCTGTTTACTTGTTCGCTGTTCTCTTAACTTAAATATTGACGAACTTTCATGATACACTGGCATGATATATGACATACCTCCTCCCTCTCCCCTCGTGCCATCCGTCTCTACGAATCATAGCTCCTTTCGCCCTCTTCCTCTTCCTCCTCCTCCTCCTCCTCCTCCTCCTCGTCGTTCAAGTTCCATCTACATACGTACCTTCTTCAGTCTTTACCTCCCTGCCTCCTTCACCTCCCTCAACCCCCCGTCTTCCTCGGTGAGCTACACCTGTTCTTCCTTTCTTGGGACACACACACACACACACATACACGACGGACCTCCTGGACTTTACACTCTTGGCCTGCGTACATACTCACATTTTTTGATCGCTCGACCTTGTCGGTTGGTGGCTTAGTTCTAATTTATTATAATCGCTCGATCACCAGCGTGAGTGCACTGTGTTCAATCTAATCTCGTCGGCACTCAGTCTGAAGCGTGGTAATATCAACATCCCCCGTCTGAATCTCTCTCTTTCCTCCGAGCCTCAGTCCCAGCTTGCTCCTCCATATCACACATTGCAAGAGGCTGAGTTTGTGGTACGCTGCGATTGACACAAAGTGGATTTTAGAGAGTATATTATGATTCGGAGTACTAAATTGAGAGCCGTTGAAGCAATAACACAACGAGATACGACGAAAAGCTATAGACAGAAGAACTTGGAAGAAACGACGAAGAGAATCCGAGACAAAAGGGGGATCTCTGGTGGCGACACAGAACGTCCACTGCGCCAGAGGGGACCCGGTAGAACGATGAAGTAGAGGGGAACAAAGGGCGATGAAAGCATAGAAGGAAAAGAAAGAATAGAAAGCAAGGAGAATACAGGAGATACATGCAGCGAAAGCGACAGGGTGATACAGGATCTTGATACAAAGCGAAAGGAATACAGGAGATATGCGACGAAAGCGAGGCAAAACACAGCGATACAGGGCGATGAAAGCATAGGAGAACAAAGAAGCGTACGAAGCAAAAGGAATACAGAGACATATGCGGCGAAAGCGAGACAAAACACAGCGATACAGGACCTTGATACAGTCAACAGACTTACGACGACGACGACGACAACTCGCATCCTCACAGCAGTGCGGGTTCGTAGTGGTAGTGAATGAGAAAGGTGGGCGTATAGGTGGGGCGGTTGTAGCGGTAGTGTTGGTGGGTGGGAAGGGGGTTTGTAAACTCTTGCCTCTTCGGTGACTGCAGCGTACGTGGATGGTTTGGGAGACATGTCTTGGTGTCGGCGTGGCGGTGAGGGCGACGTGAATGATGTGCTTGGTAGTGAGGTCGAATATGCCACACGAAGGGAACACGAAAGGCGATGTAGCAGTCGAGTAGTGCGCTGTGTACTAGAAGGAGATCCTTAAGCAAGGGTGCCAAGCTACGGAAGACGAAATGGGACGGGGATGTGTCGGGGCGAGGAGGAGGCACTCACAGAACCGCGCGAAAACTCTTTCTAATTCGAGTCCCAGTAGCCCGATGTGAATGATGTGCGTGATAGTGAGGTCGAAGAGGCCCTGATCAGGGTGTTCAAGCGGAGTTCTAGAAAGAGGATCGTTGAGCAAGAGTGTCAAGGCATGGAAGATAAAATGGGACGGGAATGTGCCAGAACGAGGAGGAGGAGACACTCACAGAACCGCGCGAAAACTCTTTCTAATTGCTCTCCCAGTACGCCGACGAACCACCAAACTCAAAGCCCCCCACATACACCCCATTCCTCCAATACGCGTTCCCGAACCGTGTCCCCGCGAACAAGTCGTCTGGGTCGTCGAAGCCCGAGATTGGGACCAACGGCTCCTCGTACGATGAGTTGGGGGCAAAAGGTTCATCGTAGAGGGCAAACAGGTCGCTCGCCACGGGTATCCCAGGTGGAAGCGAGAGCTCGGTGTAGCCCATGTGCGGGGATGGCTGTGAAGGGGAGGCAGGCTCGCGCGACGACCCCATCGTGTCAGCGAAGGTGGCCATGTCGAGTGGTGTCAAGGCGGTGTCCGAGTCGTCGGAGAGTGTGTATGGCGCTGCGTATCCTGCAGACGATCCTTCGAACTCGCCGAATAACGTAGAGGCTTCTTGTGGAACGCAGAGGCGGGTCGCGTAGTCGGGAAGGGTGGTTTGCGCTATGTAGGGAGATGAAGAGGGACCAGCCTGAGGCTGTGGCGAGGGCGGAGGCATGTGTGATGAGGACTGAACCACGGACGATGTGCCGACGAATGGCTGCACAAAGGAAGAGATATATGGCGACGAATGAATAGAAGGCGAGGGTTGGGCTAAGGGCCCCGGGGAAGATGGTGACGAGTTGTGTACCGCCGCTTCGAATGTGCCAGCTACAGGTTCAGCATCTCTTGTAGGACCGTCAGTCGCTATCAAGTCATGGTTCGCGGACTGCGAGAATGCAGTCGAATCTAGGCGCACGACTGACCCATCCGCAGAATGTGTGAGGAAGACTCCTCCGACCGGGCGGGAGGAGAGGGGCAAGGGGTCGGTCCAGGAGCCTAGAGAGGCGACATGGTACTCTAGTCCGGATTGAGGTTGCGGGCTACGTGTCCGGGAAGCGTGGTGGGTCGTGTACGGCACAGAGGCGTTCTTGCGCGCTGTTCTGGTGGACTTGGCGCTTCTCGAAGAGGAACCGGATGTGGAGGGGTAGGCAGAGTCGGAGGAAGATCTTGAATTGTGGGCAGATGAAGCTTTGCTGGACTGCGAGAATGAAGGCAAATCCCGGGGCACGACCGACTCATATGCGGAATTTGTGAGGAAGACTCCCCCGACCGAGCGGGAGGAGAGGGGCAAGGGGTTGGTCCAGGATCCTAGAGAGGCGACATGGTACTCTGGTCCGGATTGAGGCTTGGGGCTGGGTGTCCGAGAAGTGTGGCGGGTCGGGTACGGTGCAGAGGCGTTCTTGCGCGCTGTTGTGGTGGACTTGACGGTTCTCGAAGATGATCCGGATGTTGAGGGGGAGGCAGAGTTGGAAGAAGATCCTGAGTTGCGGGCAGATGAAGCCTTGCTGCCTGACGTAGTCGGCGGGGTCCTGCAAGGCTCGAACCGATATCCCGGGAAAGCGCGCTCGTGACAATCTTTGACGATGTTGGCGGCGATCGCGAATCGGTCGTGAAAGTGTGCGGTCGCGTTCTCCTTGACGGTTGATAGCCAGGACGCTATCGAGGCTGGTGACTTGGAGAGGAAGCTGGGCACGAGGATGCTGCTATTATGGGTAAAGACGTTCAGCATGATGAACCATGAATTGGAGGGCCGGGGTTGGTCGGCTTTCTTTTCCTTCTTTTTCTGAGCTTTCTGCCATTTCTTCATGAGCCTGGAGTTCGGACTGAAATCCGACAGGTGTTCGACGGCCTGGAGGATGTTACTTATCGTCAGAAGTCGGGTAAATACACATCTAGAGCGGAAAAGGACTGACGCTGTCGATCATGGCCTGAGTGACCAACTCCTCTCGTGCGCGAGGGCATTCGGCAATGGCACGCTCGACGATCCTTTTGTTCTCGGCCTTCTTCAGAGTTTTCTTGAGTTCTTCTTCTTCCATGTCGGTAGTGGTGGGGGTGACGAAGAAAGATGACATGGGATGTTGATGGGGTGGGGGAATCTCGAAGTCAGTTGAATATACGAGAACGGAGGTGGGCGAATAGTTGGGGAAACGGAAGACGAACAGCGCACCTTTATATATGCGTCCCTCGCCCTATCATTTGCAAATCATTTGCCTCGTGTGGCTCCTGGTTGGCTTCGCAGACACGTCGGCAATATTTTGGCGTATGGATTGTTACCATAAATGGACATAATCCAAAACGGGAAACGCAGAACCAAACGCCCTGCCCGTTTGGGCAGCGCGGAATGACGAATAACGATGCCTCGTGTGATCGTTGCGATGGTTACCTTACAAAAAGATACCATATAGGGCAGCGATTGGGCACTAGCGGATTGTTACGGATTGTGCAATGCACATGCATAGCCCTTCCTTTCTCTAGAGGAAAACACGCGTCTACCGCGCGTGAGATAGGCTGCGCTGCTGAATTATACGCGACGGTGGATGTCTCCCATGGACAGAAACATATTCTGTTGCTACTTGAAAATGCGTCGTGTGAGCTCGGAGCGAGGAGACTGGGAAAGAAGTTCGCGTTGAGTCGGAACAAAGAGGCAACGACGAGGAGCGAGGCACGGACCGGTGACCGAAGCCCTGAAGCGCCCACATGGAGGACCCCTGCATATGCCGGAGGAGGTCCCATCCGAAATCCCCAAATTTTGCCCTTTTTGTCGCACGATTTTGGGCCCCTTTTTGTCCGCATGACGATGGTACCTCAGGATTTTGACCATTTTGGTCCGCAGAACGGGATGGGACCTCAAAATTTTCGTTTTTGGTCCGCACGATGGGATGGTACCTCAAAATCCGCATTTTTTCCTTCCATATATTCATATAAAATCAACAAAAATTTGCTCCAGCCGGTATTGAACTGCATATACTGGTGTACGTCCTCAATTTGCCCCCAATCGACCTCCTCTTCCATTTCCGAGCTATCCTCCTCTTGCGGCGCCACAGCGCCACCCTGTGGCACTGCATCTAACTTCCGTTTCCTCCGCATCGCAATGAAGACTCAAACGACATCGTTGATTTCTCCCGTACGCGCATATGGTCCGAAACAAAGCCAATACCTAAGGCACCAGTTTCATTGTCATGGGAAGGCCTTAGGTGTCGACGTCGATGTCTGTCTGCCTGATGACCTTCGAAATTGCTAGCGATAGGAGGGCATGGGTTGGAGGAAAACGAGAGAATCTGGCAGACCGAGTAAACAGAGACTACGCTGAACAGCGACCAACAGCGACCAACCTTAGTCTCCTTGAGCAGAGTAGCCTATCGTTTCAACCGGCGGGCGCGAGGATCAAACCAACCCATGTACAGGTACAGAGACGACTCTGAATCAGACACTCTCGGACTGCACTCAGCGAGAGCTGGCGAATAGACAAATTCATGAAAGAACCTAATTTATGGTCTGAAATGCTTGACATTGTTGAAATAAACAGCTCCGCCGAAATGTAACTCGAAAACAATGCTGTCGGCCACGCATCGCGTCGGAAAAAGAAAATAAATGGCATCAGCCGCCACCGATATCGGGAAATGTGCAGCCCTATTTGGTCCGCATGCCGATGGTACCTCGCGGGCGACCAGGCGCTTTTGTCCGCACTATGGATCGGACAAAGGCTGATTTTTGGGCCAAAAATTGTCGCACCAGGATGGGACCTCCTTCCGCATATGCAGGGGTCCTCCACATGGGCGCTAATTCTTTGCCCCTCTTCCCTTTGTTTCTCACGCGCCAACTTGAAAGCTTCCTTCCCTCCTTCCCTTGCATGAATATCATGCATCTGCACTCGAGAACTGTATCTTCAGCCTAAAGGCTTGAATAGTTGATCATGCACGTTACCACGGTCCTCCGAAAGATGCGGTTATTTACATTCAGCTCCTCGTCGCTGGCAGGGACGAAAACCAGTCTGTTTGGAATGACTCACGCTCGATGTTGACACACAAATCTCACGAACGACTTCTTCTGCACAATTGACGGTGTATCCTGACTCTGCCCTATGATGCGTTGCCCCGAGATTGGTACTTCAATCTCCGCACAGCATACTCATATAATCAGGGTACTCGACGATTGAAAATCGTCAAACCTCTCTGCAATACTCGCTACAGGTTCTCTATTCTGCGTCTGCTCTCTCTCGTCACTACCCTTTCTGGTGTGGTACTGGGCGTGATATCTCTTCCGTTGACGACCACGCTCAGACCTTGCGGCCTCGAGACGATAATCTTCTTGCTATGGTCCCTTATGTTTTTTCTTCTCCTGGCACAAATGCGGTAAGCAGTCTTCGTGATAAATCTCTGTACTTACAGGAGTTTGGGATCTTGGTCGTTCAACCTCACAGGTCGCAGACAAAATAAGATCTCGTAGGGCGAATGGCACCTCTCCCGATCTCGACGGCGTCCTGTTCGTGCAGCTAATTGCTTTCATAGACTCCTGAATTGACGATTTACCACTCTCGACGTACTAACTTCTAAACCCTTCACCGAAACCCTGTCGCGATCCTCACTCCGCGATCTCGCAAGAACAAAAACAGATCATCGCGCGTGAATTCAATTACTCCGAGACTACCTTCGTCCCCTCCTCCGCTTCCAACGTCAACGCCAACGCCAACGCAAAATATTCAGAAGGCTCCGACACGAACACGATCGCCACAAGGCCTGAATACGATGTGGCAATCTTCACGACAGATGCGGAGATCCATTCGCGGGCCATCCGACCATCGGAACCTCGCATTTCCTGCTCTCACATGCTGATGCTCGAGAGGCCATTCTGAACGTGAAAGCAGCACCCATCCATGCACGATATGATTCACAGACTGGATCCGCTTCTGCTCTGATCCCACATGCATTACGCGTCCACGCTCAGGCCCTCGCAGCTTCCGCACTCCTCTCGAACCAAGTCTCCCGTGCGCCGTAAGTACTTGGAGGATATACAGGCGACAAAGACGTTTTCTGTTGCTTCAAGTGTTAAAGGGCATGGCGTTCTTGCTCGTTGATCTGAAGTCGCTGGAGGAACTCGAGGCCGTGACGCTCGCATGCACACCTACCACGGAGATCCGACTCGATACACATGATGGGTGGGATAAATCTCTCGTATTACTCGTGTGCCCGGGATGAATCGGAATCGCTCCAGCTGAGGGGGAGGATGATAGAGCTGGAGTTGGGGGTGGAATATCCTGCGACGGGGAGTACTCTGGCGTGTTATTTGGCGACTCGTGAGCAGGAGAAATGAGGGGCCAGGTATTCATTTGAGATGGTGCAAGGAATGGAGATGGGGAGGAGGAGTGAGGTTGGATTGGAGGCTGAGGTGGGAAGGATGGTCAGCTTACGGAGGTTGTGTTGAGAGGGACGGCTGTTGCGGTCAGTGAGGGGACACTCAGGGCTTGACCGGGCTTGGTCTAAGAAAATGAAGGATACACTTTTTCTTTGTTGAATATCGTGGTGGCCGTGCGTCGTACGTTCACGCTTGCTTAGGTACGTTCAGTGTTGACAGTGTACAGGCTGATATATTTTGTAAATATGATGCGAGCTCGGCTGTACACTGTCGAGCTTGGCCAGAAAAATAACATAAGAAAATTATACCGCCGTTCGTCGTTTTGTGGATCTACAGAGGTAAAGAATAACGCGATATGAACAAATAAAATAAAACAGAGGCACCAATTCGATGATGTCCCTAGCCGGAGTCGAGCCGGCGGCTTCACGGATTGCTGCAATGAAACAGGCCACAACGTGATGATTTAACCACTAATCGATAGGGACTTGATTGGGGCTGTCACAGGAGCTATATTATTGTAAGTTATGTGTGGCGACGGATGGGTGGCAAGACGTTGATAAGATAAGATGGACGGCGAACGTTGACGTGCGCCTAACTCGAACTTGCTTCACACCATTCAATATCCAGACGCCCCGATGGACGTCTCTCCGTCTCGTCCCAACATGATCGACAATCCCACCCCAGACCCCTCCAACTCTTCAACTCCGCCCAAAACCCAACCAAACACCCCGCCCATTGATAATATTAGTACTAACAACGCGCTCGCCCCGCGCCCGCTCTTCCTCTTCCTCTCCACGCTCTCCGTAGGCTTCGCCTCCCTCCTCTACATCTTCGTCCGCCTCAACTCCTCCGTCCTCTTCTCGCCGTACCGTCCGCTCGGGCCGGACTACTACAACAATGCGTACTGGATATGCATTCCTCCTCTCTTTACCCGGCCTCGCGAGTCTCATCAGCGGCCTCTCCTCCTCCTCTGTTACTAGCGCGCAGGCTTTCGTGTTGCAGGACGTTTATGTCGGAGATGCGTTCTTTAAGGGGTTTCATTGGGAGACTATGAATGATCCGACGCATGGACGGGTGAATTATGTCTCCCAGAGCGCGGCGAGGCAGGCGAATTTATCTTATGGTATGCCATTGCATCCCTTCCCCTTTCTTTCAATCTCTCTCTACGCGATGCTTGCTAAGGAATCGTATACTGATCTGCGCGTGAAACTCTGAACCTATAGCATCAAACGATAAATTCGTCATGCGCGCCGACGACACCACCAAAGTCTGGAAACGCGCCCGCGGCCGCGACAGCGTCCGTATCTCATCAAAGCAGACCTACGACGACGCGCTCTTCGTGCTCGATCTGGAGCATATGCCGGAAGGATGCGCGACGTGGCCTGCGTTTTGGACGGTCACGAAGAAGGGGCCTTGGCCGCATGGTGGGGAGATCGACGTCATTGAAGGTGGGGGTTGCTTTGCTCGCTTTGAATGCTTGGTTGTTCTTTGACTCTGACGCTTACGATTTTGGGTTGCCGGTGTGACGTTGTGTTTAGGTGTTAACCTCGATACTCATAATCTTGCGTCTTTGCATACCCTGCCTGGATGTACCATGGCCCAACACAGACCCCATACCGGGTCCGTCTCTTCTTCCCTCCTTTCCCTTTCTCCACTATCACCTCCACTCTCCCCTCCCTCCCTCATAAACTCCTCACTCACACCCTCCTCTCCTTCCTTCCTTTCCTTCCTTCCTTCGTTCCATCACACCCTCAACAGCACCCCAACCTCCCTCAACTGCGACACCTCCCAAAACTACAACCAAGGCTGCGGCGTCTCCTTCTCCTCCACCCCCTCTCCCTCTTCGTCCTCCTACGGTAAAGCCTTCAACGCAGCTCGGGGCGGCTGGTACGTCATGTCGAAATCGGCGTCTAAAGGCGTGCAGGTGTGGTTCTGGGCGCGGGACGACGCGGGGGTGCCGCCGGAGATCAAGAACGGTGGGGGTACGAAGCCGAATGAAGGCAGTGGAGGAGAAGGGGGAGGAGGGGGAGAGAGGAAGAAGGAGGTGAAGCCAGAGGCGTGGTGGGGGACGCCGGCGGCGACGTTCCCGGTTGATGAGTGCGATTGGAAGAAACATTTCGATGCGCATCAGGTTGTGTTTGATTTGACGTTTTGTGTGGGTTTTCTGTCCTTCTTTTCAACTCGTCGTTTTCTGCTTTTTATCTCATCGTTTCTGGAGAAGGATGCTGATTACTTTTGGGTGCGTGGATATGTGTAGGGCGATTGGGCGGGCTCCGTCTGGTCGGGTTCGGGATGTGGGGCGGGGACGTGTGAGGATTGTTAGTCTTTTTTTCCCTCTCCTTTTTCCTCCCTCGTTTAATACTCACACAACGCGTCCTTCTCCTTCTCCCCAAATAGACGTAGACAACAACCCATCCGCGTTCAAAAACGCCTATTGGGAGATCAACTCGCTCGCTGTGTACACGGCCGATGCGGACGGAGGCGGCGCGCAGGTCCCGATGGTGGCGGGATTGTTGCAGGGGAAGCTGCAGGGGAAGACGAAGAGTAAGAGTAAAGGGACGGGGGGGAAGAGTAAGAAGGGGGGGAGGGGGGAGTAGGGTGGTTGTTGGTGACATGTTTGGACAGATGAGATGGTAGGGGTGGGATGGGATGAGATGAAAGAAGGCGGAGTGGGATGTGATGTGATGTTGGACACTACTTTCTTAGACTTGGACTTGGACTTGCAGCTCGGACAAACAGTCGACTACTTACGATTATTTCCCCCGCATCCGTACGCTATAACTTTCTCGCTCACTCACTTAGACCTGCATACGTCGACCTCTCGCTATCCCTATCCCTATTCGTTACTATCGGACTTGTTACTTTAAACTTAGCACTTGCCCACCGCTCATCGCTCGTCAGTCGGAGTCGTCACTCGTCATCGCTACTTATTCCGATATTCAACTTGTTTTGTCCGTCGTTGGTACTCATACTTACATCTTCGTTATTGTTGTTCTTTTGGCGTTGTTGTGTCAATCTAGATATGTCGAAGATTTCTTGCATTTCTTGCATTGTTGGATCGGATGTGGCGTGCTGAGGTGTTCGAGGACTGAGATGGGCCGAGAGTTACTACAGTAGTTGACTAAGAGGGGGTTGGAGGCTCCGGGCGTCGGGGCTATGCATCACACTGGCAGTAGCGGTGTAGCGGTGTAGTTACAGTACAGTCAAACCATCCGCTGAGTCAGTACATATGTACAACCCAACCGGACGAACTTAATGTGGCGTCGAGCGAGAGCATAATGATATGTTTGAAGTCGGTAAGTGTCACTGTCAATATCATGTGCACAGTGAATAGGGGCTGGATCGATAGATCGAGGCAGTTGACTTAGACTAGCACTGTTGAGGAAGGGTTGAAGCTTGAAGATGACGGTGGGTGTGGGAGTAGGAGTGGGAAGGGAACGAAGCTCAAAGGGGTCAGCTGGGATCCTCGCTTGTTCCGGTGGGGATCTCGTCTACAGTCTTTTGGGAGAGTAAGGTCAGCTGCAGGTATAAGCGTTGCGATGAGAAAGCAACGATACAAAGATAAGGGAGAGAAAGCACTTGGGAAGACTCCGAGGTATCGTTGTGCAGGCCGTAGCAGAGTGTAAGGGCAAAGGCAACTTCCGAGACGATCGGAGGCATGGATGGAGATGTTGTAAAGGAGCGCACGAAAGCAGCAAGTGACGAGCATGGACAGAGGTTCGCCGCTCGGAAGTTGATCAAGATGGATTGTGATTCCGTGTGGCCCAAGCACGATTTCGGGCGGGAAAAAGAAGCTCAGAAGAACGGATTATGCGGGCCGAAGCACGCGTTCGAGGAGGATGGAAGAAGGATTTACGGCGAAAATTTGGAGGAGAGTGCGAAAATTTGGAGGAAAGGGAGAGAAAAAAAAGAGAGGAAAAGGTGGAGGAAGGATGTGCCGTCGGAGGGGGGTTGTGATTGAGGTGGCAGGGATGATGAGCGAATGGGAGTCGGGCGGACACAAGGGCGCTGACGGGGCCGGACGGCCGGCGGGACAATGATGGGATCACCGGCGGCGGGGCAGACAAAACAGAAGAAAAGTGCGGCCGAAAGCGGAAATGGAGGGAAAAAGGGGAAAGGCAGTCAGCGCTGTGTTCTCCTCTCTCTCTTCACCATCGACGCAGCGCTCGCCGACGAAGGCCACCGTCGCCGTCCATCGCCCACCATCTCCAGCGCCATCGCCCTGCTCAACAGGGGCGGAGGCATCAACCCCTCCGTCCTCCTCGCCCTCTCCGTGGCCGCCATGTTCGCTTCTTCGTCCTTGCCACTACAATGGTCTTTGGACTCTATCGTCCTCAACCCGAGGGTCGAGTTCAGGTCGATTCTTTTTACTGCCCTCTTGACCTTTCTCGTCCTCATCATCGGTCAGTCTCAATTCGTCTTCGCTCATCGATAGCAGATTTCTGCTCTTTCCTTCCCGCCCTCATCATGCACTCCCTCTTCGTGCTCACTCACCGCATACATCTCCTCCTAGCCTATCTCACAAACCCGTCCGAGGCTTCCTTCCGGTCCTACCTCACCGAACAGTGTTTTCGTCACCACCTCTCCCGCCTCGACGACTCCACCGACGGCGACCACTCCGACTCTGAAGACTCGGGCGTACACTACTCCCTCTCTTCCTCCTCACACGACTCCTCGCACTCCGGCCAGCAATCCTCGCGCTCGCACCATATCGACTCTCCTTCTTCATTTCATTTTTCGTCCCGCGCTTCGGTAGCGCTCAGGACGCCTAAACACGCCTTTCACAGTTTCGCATTTTTCACCATCGCCGCCGTCATCCCGAACCCGAAGCCGTCTTCTACTCGCGCCTCATCCGCCTCAAACACCGATTCCGCAGCCGCTGATCATGAAGGGGGATCCCCCGCCCCAAAGGAGACCTGGTTTCTGGGCGCTTTCGGTCGCTGGTGGCGCGGCGGCGTCGTCGTAGAGCCCACCTGGCCACGGTCGCGCTCACTCAGGGCAAAGTGCCACGAAGAGGGCTGGAGCTCTGGGATCCTCAACGTGAAAGCGCTCGACAAGCTGGATGGCTACAGTGGTAAGCGATTTGTCTCTGTCTGCATGCGATACGTAAGGAGTACAGATCGTTGATCAGTCTTCCTCATGTTTGGCCACTATCCATCATCTCTCATCTCATCTCCTTCCGAATTCCCGATCTCCCATCCCATCCCATCCCAATCCCATCCCATCATCGCGTTTCAGTAGGTCTCCCATTTCCAACCACGACCAGCACGAGTTCCCCTCGTTCGTCGCCACGCACATCGCCTCCCAGACTCCGCGCGCGGGATCGATCTGCACCGGTCAACGGCCACAATAATAATCATAACAACCACAGTAACAGCAATAACAGTCAGCCATCACAAACACAAACACAAACACAGCCAGCACGGAGCTCCAGTCCGCCTCCACTCCCAAAGTCCGCGACGTTGCCGCTGCACACGCCACGTCACGGTCACAATCCCTCCAACAGCTCGAACCATCATAACAGCAATAACGCCACCAATGCTTCCCAAGCCTCCAATTCTCACAACAAGCTTCCGCCACCATCATCGTCTCATGTCCCTCAATCGTCTCAGCTTCCTCCCGCTCCTTCATTATCCTCATCCTTATCCTCCCCATCCACCACAGCCCATCTCTCCCACACCCACACCCCAAACTTCGTCCTAAACCCAAACCTAAACGCCCTCTCCCCCTTCGACTTTGAATCCACACCCGCCATCTCCTCCATCCTCTCCCTCATCGCACAGACCCACCTCTCCAACACCGACCTCCGCGCGCAACTCGCTGATTCGGCATCGTCCGCCGCTGCGTCCGATCGTTTGTTGAACGCGGAACTCGATGCTGCGCGAGAGGCGAAGAGGACGGAGGATGGGGTGAGGGGGGAGATGAAAGGGAGGATGAAGGGGTTGGAGGATGCGAGGAGGACGGCGGAAGGGGGACGGAGGGAGGCGGAGAGGAGGTTGAGGGTTGAGAGGACACGATTGGGAGAAGCGAGGACGAGGATTGGGAAGTTGGAAGATGAAATCAGGGAGCTAGAGGCGGGCATGCAGGCCGATGCACGGCGCATGGGAGAATGTGCAGAGCAGGGAGAGAGGGAGGAAGCACAGATTAAGGAGAGGGTGGAGAGGAGGCGGAGGGAGTGTAAAGTCGCGGAGGAGGTCGTCGCGGCGTTGGGTGTACGGGCGAGAGAGTTGGAAGAGGAGATTGCGAGGGAGAGGGAGAGGGTCGGACAGGCGAAGGACAGAGCGGAGATGATGAGGCAGGACCGAAGTTTTTTGTCGGCTACGGTTGTGAAGAGTCAGGGCACGCTGCAGGAAAGCTGGGAAGCACCGACGACGAAGGAACAAAGCCCGAAACGAATCGCGGAGACACAGACACAGACACAGACACAAACGGGTTTCTCGATCCCTACGCTCCTCGAGAAAGAACACCATCAGCATCATAGTCACAGTCCCAGTCGATCCGGCAGCTCTGGTTCGGGAACTAGGAATGGCAGCACTCGTGGTGTTTCTGCTTCGCCCAGCCGTCCACAACCGCTTCACCTCGGACCTATCTCGAATCTTGGCCTTGGATACAGCAGCAGCAGCAGCACGACGTTTTCGCCGTTTGGGGATCAGACTCAGGTCGCAGACGAGAAGGTGAAGGAGGACGATAGTCTTGATTTCGATTTTAGGTTCAATCATCCACAGAGCGCACCTGGACTCTCGCTCCCCATGCCCATCCCTATCCCGCTCTCCTCGTCTTCCAGCCGTCCCACGACTCACAACGGAGTCGGAGTAGGAGGAGGAGGTGGAGGAGGTGGTGGTGGTAGTGTCGGTAGTACGGGAAGTGAGAGTGCGTTCTCGGCACCTGCGACGGCGTTGATCTCGAGTAGTCTGATTAGGTCTTTGGAGGGGCCGTTGTCGTTGGGTTCGGTGGAAGGGCCGGGTGGGTTGTCGTCGAGTGAGTCGCAGCCGGCGATGGCGATGGCGATGGGGGATATCATGCTTTCGAAATCATTTCAGTCGGAGGATGATGTGTTTCTGGAGAGGGATTGGAGGAGGGGGGATGGGGGGTCGCATGGGTCGCCTGGCACTGGGACGACGGCGATCAATGCGTCGCCGGTGTCGATTAACGCGTCGGCGAATAGTGATGGGAGGAAAGCTGGAGACGGAGACGCAGATGGGGAGGTCGAGGGCGGTGAGGAAGAGAGGGATGGTGCGGGTGAGGACGATGTGGGGAGGGGTGAGGAAGAGGAGGAATACGATCCGTTTGAGATTAGGCCTCCGCCGGCTGCTGTCCAGGCGTTTAACCAGCAGCGTTATGGGCCTCTTCCTCTTCCTTTGCCACTTCCTCTCCCACTGCCACTTCCGCACTCTGCGCCACTGCCATTGCCCAGTCCGAACCAGATCCCGAACACGAACACGAGCCAGATCCCGAGACAGAGACTTATTTCGGATCCGTTGGATGTGCAGAGGGTTTGGCAGGGACAGGGACATGGGTTACCGTCGAGGACGCAGTCGGACCCGCCGCATGTTGCTGTTATGCAAGCGCTGGCTGCTATTGGCCACAGTAACAGTAACAACACCAACGATAACGGCAACTCATCCTCGGGCGGTGTTTCCTCGAACGGCGGAGACGACAAGGCTGGCGGGAAAGACGTGAAAGGCAGACGGTGGTTCTCTGCGTCTTCTTCTGCACCTTTTTTCGACAGCAAGGAGAAAGACAAGAGCTTCGACAAGGACAAGGAGAGGGACCCCGCCGCGTCGTCGAAGGAGAAGAAAGGACTCAATCCGGACGCGAAGGTGTTCAAGCTGCCATTCACCAGTCGTCCGCATCAGCATCAGCAGAGTCTGCAGATGCAGTCGGCGCCGGCGTTCGAGACGGCGTTTTCGGCTTCGCTTGGCGTGCCGACGATGTCGGTGTCGGACGGGTTCTTGCCTTTGCCTACCTCGCCGGGCCATACGCATGCGCACGCTCATGGTCATGGTCATGGACATACTCTTGCCCAGGCATTCAACTTCCACCACGCTCATTCGAACCATCATAATCATCACCATACCGTGCACAACCACAACGCGACGGCTTCGCTCCCCTCGGCCACTGCTCTCGGGCTCGGCCTGGCTCCCTCTTCATCTGCGACGACGAATACTACAAGTACGAGCACGAGCACGAACGCGTCCTCGCTCTTCTCGGGTGCGTTCGCGCCTAGTCCGGAAGAGAGGGAGGCGCTGAAGCGTGCGCTTGGCGGGTCGACGAATACGAGTTTGGAGAGGTTACCGAGTCTGAGCGAGGTTGGGGTTGGGAGCAAGGGCGGCGGTGGGATGAATATTGCGGTTGGGGGGAGTGAAGGGATGGGGATTGGGATTGGGATGAGGGGGAGGAAGAATTGGAGTATGGGTGGGAGTGGGGATAGGAATGGGGGGAAGAATTGGTTGATGGGTCTGAGGGGGATTGGCATGGGCCATGGACATGCGAATGGACATGGGTCTGCGAGCGTCAGCGTCAGTGCGGGCGCGGGTAAGATGACTTTTAGTCCGTGGGGAGACGATGACGACGAGGATGGGGATAGTGAAGGGAAGGAGGAGGCGAAGGTGGAAGAGGTGAAGGTGGAGGAGATCAAGGAGTCATTCGTCAACGTCTACGACTCGTCGGTGTCCCGCCTCTCATCCAGTTCTCGCTCTTAGTTCAAGCCCATCCTATCCCAAATTGCAATATCCGATCCCAGTCCCCAATACTCAAGTTCAAAGTCCCAATCCGACCTACCGTTCGTTTCCTATATTCCGTCTCTCGGTTCCCCGGGCCTCGTCCGTCTCTTTCCTTTCCTTTTCCGTGGGTAGAAGTCTGTGTCTTCTGTCTGTAAAGCTAGTCCAGTCGCTCGTTGTCGTCTCGTTACATATTATCTGCGTTGATCAAGCTGGGAGGTGTGGTGCGGTGTGGTGTGGCTGGGAGAAGGATAGGGGGAGAGAGGGGAGGGGGTGAAAGGAAGAAGAAGCATAAGAAGGGAAAGGCCGCAGCAGTGAAGTGCAAGATTTTGTGAAGATACGCGTTTTCGTTAATATTATTGTCAATGACCAAACCCATTCCATCCCATCCCATTGCTTGATTGCTCCCGAAGCTATTATCGAAGATTCTTCGGCGGTCGTCCGTCGAGATTCTTGTTCCGTTTGGCCGTCTGATGATCTTGAGCGTAGAGCATAAGGCCTCAAAGTCCGCGTTACGGCCGGGGGAGGCATATGCTACTGTGGTTCTGCTGACGACTCGCAAGTAGATAGTGGTGTGGTGGTGTTGTAAGAAAACATAATTTTAGCCCGATGCTGCGAGCTTCCTGGGCTTGAAGGTGGGTCGGTGTAAGTATCCGTGACACTCTGAGATGTCTAGTTAGACTGCGCGGAGACGTGAGGTGGGTGCATAACGCTAATGGGTCGCCATTGACAAGGTGCGCCCATGCTCTTATATACAGATGGGCAGCTCGGAGGTACAGAGTCCGTTGACGTGAGCCTGGTTAGAGCGTGAGTATACACTGGGACCATTGGGTTTATAGAGCTTGGGAAGGCTTGAATCGCTCCAAGGCCGAATGATCAGGGACAATACCTTCCGACTCGCCTTCAGTTTTGGTACAAGGTACGATGCCAACGCATATAGGAAGCCTTTTGCATTCGCTGGCATGCCAAGAAAACAAATTTAATAAATTCGCCATCTGTATAAGCAGACGTGGCAGGAGGCATTGTGCATGGCGTGTGATACAATTTATAGCATGTGTTGGCTCCGAGGACGGCGAGCGAACGGGTTGATGGTAAGCACTATGGGTGCGAACGTGCATCCTTTCGTGAGTATCCTACTAACCTTGTTCGCTATCCATCATTGTTCTCCGTGATTGTCCAGGATCGTAAATGCTATCGGGCTATGACGCGATGCTACAAACTCACCCTTACCCACCAATGCGCAGCGCCGGTGAGCACTCGTGGATTCGTGCGAGATCAAGGCGTGTGGCCATCGTGAGCGCGTATAGAAGTAGGAATTGACTCAATGAAGAGGGTGACAGAGTAACACGAGACAGAATGTCTAGATGTTCAACAAGTCATCTTTAGAAATAGACAGCGTGTGCCGACCACTGCAGGGACGGTGGGTGAGCAACGCATGCATTCATTAATCGCAGACACGGCAGGAATGAGAGCAGCGTACATGTTCATTTTCTTTCAAATACCTTCGAGGTCGTCATCATCAAGTCCGTATACACGCTGCAGTCCCTTCTTGATCACCATCTCCCAGTTCGCTAGGAAACCGGCTTTGTACACCCTCAACGTCCACGCATAGGGCAGACCGATATTAGAACTCGAGGCCACAATGAGGTGACTAGAGGAACGATCACTGGCATGATTGTGTGACGTCGTTGGATGGAAGCTATAAAAAAGTTACCCTGTTGCTCAATTTAGATCAGTGAGAATGTTGAAGGCATGAGCGGAGAATACTGACCTATTTTTGCATGTAATCAACTCCTGCGCTCTCATATGCAGAAAGCCCTGGTGGCAAGGCAAGATGAGCTATCGGTGAGTTACGAATGAAGGTCTAATTTAGCCTACTGACCTGCTTCTAGCACCGCACAACGCATACTATGGCACCTCTCAATACTCGGTAACGAACACTCCCAATGTTCTCGATCATCTCCCTTGATGTTAGGGCGAAAGGGCGAAAGGGGGATTTACATTCGACCAACTGAGCAGTGAAGTTGGAGAGAGAACCCCATACAGTTCTTGGCAATGAAATAAAACGAGATGTTAGTAGATAGAGAGCTGGGATGGTGGCATGACAGCAAGATCGAACGCCAACGCTCAAGAAATAGTGGCCAAACCGTAGCAAACCGAAGCACAACTGTCAATGCATTCAACAGAAAACAGAGATGTATCCTTCGTTTTCTTAGACCAAGCCCGGTCAAACCCTGAGTGTTCCCTCACTGACCGCAACAGCCGTCCCACTCAACACAACCTCCGTCACGTCACCCTCCTTCCCCACCTCAACCTCCAATCCAATCTCACTTCTCCTCCCCATCTCCACCCCTTGCACCATCTCAAATGCATACCTCGCTCCTCCGGATCCTCTCTCCTGCTCCCTCGTCGCCAAATAACACGCCAATGTACTCGCAGCGCTCCCCGTCGCAGGATCTTCCACCCCCAACTCGGGCTCTATCATCCTCGTCCTTAGCTTGAATTTATGTGCCTGTGACGAATCGCTTGGCTGGCTTTGGAGGACGTAGAAGTAGAGTCCTACGAGGGATTTATCCCACCCATCATGTGTATCGAGTTGGATTTCCGGGATAGGCGTGCATGCGAGCGTGACGGCCTCCAGTTCCTCCAGTGACGCCAGGTCAACGAGTACGAACGTCATGCCCTTCACAATAGAAACAACAGGATATGTCTTCGTCTCCTTTATATCCTTCAAGTACGGCGCAAGAGAGACTTGATTCCGAAGTAGTGCGGACGCTGCGAGGGCCTGAGCGTGGACGTGGAATGCCTGTGGGATCCGAGCGGAGGCGAACCCAGTCTGTGGGTCATATCGTGCGTGGATAGGGCCTGCTTTCACGTTCAGAATGGCCTCTGTGGCATGAGCAGCCTGTGAGAGCAGGAAATGCGAGGTTCCGATGGTCGGATGTCCCGCGAATGGGATCTCCGCATCTGTCGTGAAGATCGCCACATCGTATTCAGGTTTTGTGGCGGTGGCGTCCGTGTCAGTGCCCTGGGTGTTGGCGCTTGTGGTGGAGGCGGAGACGAAGACGGTCTCGGAGTAATTGAATTCACGCGCGATGAACTGTTTTTGTTCGTGCGAGATCGCGGATTGAGAGGGGAGAGTGACGACCGCGAGAGGGTTTCCGGTGAAGGGTTTAGAGGTGAATACGTCGAGGGTGGTGAATTTTAGGGATTGGGTGGGAGTAAAGTCGGGCATGATGTTTCGGAGCTGGAGGGCCAATAAATTGGAAGTTCAGCGAGGTTAGATGTTTGCTGTCGGACACTCACCAGGAGTAGGCTGCGCTGTGATGGTGTTCTGGATGACTTGGATGTTCAGTGATTGGAAAACGCCATAGGCCGAGTGGATGACTCATCTACTAAATGAGTCATCGTATCCCTCGCCCACGGTCTTAGCGCTTGTGAGCGAGCCTGTTCGCAAGCAAAGACTCGAGCAGAGCAACTGATGCTTGTTTCATGGATGAATCGATGTGTGTGCCCTATATGAACCACGCCATGAGGTGTTCGAGAGATAGCATTTACTAGTACAAGCCGAAATACATCGCCAGCCAAAATACATAAAGAAGCGTGCGGAAGAGGGAACGAACCAGGATAGCAACACGACGAGAATGAAGGAAGTAGAAGAGCAGGTGGCTAGAACGTATGCGCAACCGTGGTGTTGCAAGTTATGACATCTCTTCATCGGACGAAGAAATGATCTCCTTGCTTTTGCTACAGAAATCAGCGCATATCAGTGGTCGGTACGTCGGTGAGGGAAGCTGGAGAGCGACGTACTACTGTTTCTTCCGTGAGGGCGCACTATCAGGCTCTTCGTCTTCGTCATCCCTAATAACACGCTTCTTCGTGCGCTATAGTAAAAACATAGTCTATCAATGCACGTTCCGACAGGGGGCGCAAAGAGACGAACATCACGAACCTTCTTCACCGGCTTCTCCGCCTCCTCGCCACCCGAAAACAGAGCCCCATCCTCCGCATCGGAGCCCTCCTTACCACTCGTCGCGCCTTTTTCCTTCTTCACCTTCCTCACCCTCTTTTTCTTCGGTGCCCCCTCGCCGTTGGCGCCTTCGTCCGCGCTCACGACCTCCGACTTGACCTTCCTATTGGCCGCCTTCTTCGCCTTTCGTTCCCTCTCGTCGTCAGACTCCATCTGCACGTTCTTGCTCCATTCCTTGGCTTCCTCACGAGCCTTGCGGCGCTGTTCTGCCAGGTCTTCGGCTTCCTTCCGTAGGGCATCAACACGTTCACGCTAGAAAATAAAAGTAGATTGAAACAATGATGAGTGTCAAAGGTCACCAAGTCGATAAAAACTCGACATACCGCAACGGCCTCATGCCTCTCCTTCTCCTCTTGCCTCCTCTGTCTCGCAGTATCCAACTTCATCCTCACCCCCTCCTCGTATTCCCTCTGCTGTTTCAAATGTTCGTCCTGCTTCCTCAACATACTCTCACCATACTTCCTCCTCTGGTCCGCGATATCCTTGTTGTACGGGACGACAGACGAAGGGTCCGCAGCGAGCGTGGCGAAGAGTTTCTGGGCGTGCCCGGCCTGTTGGATTGCGCGCTGGAGGTCTTTCAGGGTACGCTTCGCGGGCTGGATGGAGAAGAGCATTTCGGCCGCTTTTTGTTGGATCATGGCGATGTTGTAGAGGATGGACTTGTCGGAAGGTTGGATGTGGAGGGCCTGGTGTCCAAAGAACAACAATCATGAGCGAAAGGTAAAGATAGAAAACGAGAAGGATCAATACCTTCTGGGCGTATGTGAGAGCGGTGTTCATCGCAACGAATGACTGGTCTTTGTTGGCCTTGCCATACCACGACCGACACAAGCACTGTAGCGCCGGGACGTTTTGACCGCTATAATACCGTCTCGACGCCGTCTCGTACTAATAGATACCACCCGTGCGTATCAGTAAGGAATCAGATAGAAAGGGAAAAGAACACTCACGCATTCGATTGCCCTATCATACTCGTCCCTTGCGTAATAACAATGGCCCATATTCACGTACACGCTCCCATCATCCATCGACTCCCTCACCTTCGCGAACACCTCCAACGCCTCCCTCGCATTCTGTCCCCTCCGCAGCGCATCATCCGGTTGTGGCCCCGGTGGCAAACTGCCCCCAAGACTCCCCAACGCGTCCTCTGCCGTCACTATCGCCAACCCTTGTGCCGCCACCGCACAAGTCGGGTCCATCTCCAGCGCCTTCACGTAGAACTCCGAGCTCCGGCTGAAGAACTTCCGACGCTCCTCGACGCCTTTGGTCGAGGTGTCGCGATTCTCGCGCGCGATGTGGTAGTGCACCCATGCGCAGGCGCAGAGCGCGTAGACGTCGTGCTTGTCGTGATCCTTCAAGGTAGCGAAGACGAAGTCACGGGCGAGTTTGGTAGAGTTGGAGAGGATGAGGAAGTAAGTATAATAGGACCGGAGGTTGAGGTTGGAAGGCTGGGAGGTGAGACATTGTTTCAGGAGGTCGTGGGCTTCGTTTTGCTTGTTCAGATGTGAGAGCATGTGTGCTTGTCGGATTTTAGCTACAGGATGGTCTCGGTGAGCACAGTAGTTGAGATGGAGAGGAGATGAAACCTACCATCCACATATTCCGGATGTCTTTCCAACAGCTTATCATACGCTTCACCCGCCATAGTATGCTCACCTACATCCTCGTACATCCTCGCCAGGTTATAGAGGATGCTTGTCGACATCGCCTCCCCATCCGCACCCTTCACACCAGCTGCCGAACCGCTAAGCGCACTAACACCCGTCAAAGCCCTCTCGTACCACCCCCTCGCCACATCCGTCTTTCCCTCTAAATGTGCCAACACCCCAAGGTTATTCAACAACCTTGGATCTTCACCCCGCGACGCCTCACTGATCTTCAACGCCTCCGAGAAAGCCTTCCCTGTCCTGTCCAGACTCTCGTTCTGCCACAACTTCGCGACCTCGATATGCATTTGTATATCGTTCGCGACCAGTCTTGAAGGTTGATGGGATTGAGCTGAATGACCGTTCTGACGGCCATTGGAGGTGGCGAGGGCATGTTGGTCATTCCCTTGTTCGATGGCCTTAGCCACACGATCGAAGAGCTCGCGAGCACGGATTTTTTCAGACGCTGCGTCAGATGATGAAACACCGGGTCGTGGATGAGCACGGAGGGAAGCAAGCATGACGGTTGCCTCGAGGGAGCGTTGGGGATTCGGAGGTTGGAGAAGGGTATCGAGAGTATGGATGGCGCCGGGTATTTCATCTGCAAAGCGTATACGTGTGAGCTCAGAAAAAAGTTGTCCGCTATAGTCAAAGAATAAGCGTACCGTTGCGCATCTGCATCTGGGCAAGACCGATAGCCGCGAGGACGTTCTTCGGCATGCCGCTTGCAGCGACCTTGAAGTGTTTTGTGGCATCGTCATAGGAGCCCTCCGAATGGCAGACACGACCGGCGCGAATATAGCCTTCATTCAGGAGCGTCACTGTGTCTGCGAATTGAATAGTTCGTTCGGCCAGTTTGAGAGCCTGAGAACGATAAACAGTCGCAAACGGGGTCAACCCTAGGCTAATGGCGATGAAATAAGCAGAGAAGGCAGGACTTACTCGTTTGTACTGGCCCTTACGAAGAAAAATATCGCACAGCGCGTTTGCGGCAGCCGCGTTCCTCTGGTTCGCTTTGAAAGCGCTTTCAATCAATTTCGTACCAGTCATGATCTCATGGGCGCGTTCAGCTTCCGACAATAAAGGACTTTTGCTCGTATTGAGGGCCTCGAGGCCTAGGAGAACGTGAGCGGACCATTCAGAGGGGTTCTAGCGGACGGTGCGATCAGAATAACACTTGACGAAGCCGAGGGAGCATAAATTCACAACTCACAACTTCAATGCTGCGCTGCCAAGCTGCCTTTGCCTGCTCTTTATGGTTCAAGGCCCAGAGACAAAGACCAATACCGATACGAGGGTCAGGGAGACATGATGGATTCAGTTGGAGAACTTGTTGGAAGGCCTTCAGAGACATGGCGAATTGACGTCGAGCATATAATATTCGAGCCTTTATCGCGATCATTGAGTGCCACGATGAGAATGAAGCGATACAAAAAATAATCCTACCTTGCCCATCAGTGCAATCAAATTCCTAGGATAGGCAGATAGGATGGCTTCAAACTCCCGTAACGCATCGTCAAGAGACCGGTTCGAGAGCTGATATGTAGCTGTACCAAGTCGTGAGCTCGTAGTCGTGTGGAGGGCAACGGGCAAGGTTTAAGTCTTACCGCGAGTGAGCATGAATAGTTGTGATGGTGGAATGCCTTCTTGATTACACGTCTTTTCGCATTCGTTGAGGTATCGAGTCGCTTCTCGCATGTGCTCGTCTCTCGACTTTTCCTGGGTCATAATGTCCTGACCTGCAGATATGTTCATATAAAGTCTGAGCCGAAAAGATGAAAGACTCACGAGCGTTCGCAAGCTTCATTTTGGGAGCTCTCCGAGCCTTGGCAAGTTCGATATTTGCCAGCAGGGAATAGAGAGGTGGCAATGACGGAGGATGAGTCGTTCCAGGTTCTGTGAAACCTACGCATGCAAAATGTGTTCAGTATTCTGACATTCTGAGTGAAGAGCAGAGCGCACAAGCTACAGCATCCTTCGCAATCTTCTCCGCTGCATCCAAATGCCCTCTTCGGAGGTATTCCCCTGCGAGACGCGTCCAGACGCTGACCTTCGGTCGACCTTCTTTGAGTACCTCGACGACATCGTCGGCATTTGCATCGAGAGTATCAAGTTCAATGTTGATGACTTCTTGTCCTCCGAGCTCAATATCAATTGAGCGACCCGGTGCTGTGTTCCATGGTTGAAGAGACATGTTCAGGTTTGGTAGAGCCTTAAAGGCAGGCTCTCCTTAGACCGGAGTTTTTTCCAGGCAAGACCTAGGAAGAGCAGAGTCTGCGACATATATTGTTTAGATTTTCAAGAAAATGAGACGGTAATTGTTCATGACAAAGAGAGCTGCACTCACCAAGCCGCTCTAGAGGGTGTGAGTTCTGCGGCAGAGTGCTTGAGGCAAGTCGCGTTCGCCAAGGCGAAGGGCGCTTACGCAAGGCGCGCGTGTCAGCATCATATTCTCGCGTGGCAACAAGGACAAACAGCGCCTTCATCATCGCCGACGACGTCGAGGACTAGTCCATCCACATCGCGCGCCTCGCGTTGCTGCTTTCAACCTTGCTTTCAAGGTGATACCCATCTTCCCCTTCCATTCACCTGTACTTCTATCCTTTCGACATCATCGAAGGCAACCTTTGTTGTCAAATACCGCTGTCGACGACAACGACACAAAGACCTTCCAAATCTTCTTCAGCGCCGCTGATAACCTTAGGCGTGTCTTATTCTGTGTTGTGGTTGCAGAACAAGTTGCCACAATCCTCAACTAAGGAACCTCGCCACTTCCCAGAGTTACCGCGGGGCCACCCATCTCATCTCTCTCCTCATCTCTCCACGGACTTATTGCCTTCGCCTCTCGTTCTTTGCCATGACCGTGACGCACAGGAATAAAAGGCAGCAGCCAGAGGAGATTACTAGTGAGTCTATTCGCTTTCGTATGGTCTCCATCCCTATCCTACGCCCTCTATGCTCTTTCCGCCCACTACTGAGGTTCTCACGCCCGCGACACATTACGTAACCGTGTCTTGTCTTTAACCTTGCTCACTCGTTGACTCTTTCTGGTCGGGTTTGTTGCCATTATTTAGCTGTCAATGAACCAGGCTTTCAGATCGAATGCGACGGCTGCCATACGGACTTGACGCACTCAATAAGGATCAAATGCGCTGATCCGGTATGCGAACCTGGTGATGGCGTCGACATCTGTCCGGCTTGCTTTTGTGCAGGACTAGAGTTCGCGAAGCACAAGAGGAACCATGCATATCGCGTCGTGGTGAGTTCTCCAGACCTCATTCCCCCCACCCTATACGCTTCGATTTACTCAATCGATGGTTTCTTTGCCTCATGTGTGATCAGGAACTACATTCATATCCGATATTCTCAGAGGACTGGGGAGCAGACGAGTGAGTGGTATCTTCAGGTTTGACTGGACACGAAATTGACGGTCACCTCTTCATCACTTGAAGGGAGCTGCTTCTTATTGAAGGCATCTCTCTTCAAGGGCTGGGAAACTGGCAGGCTATCGCCGAGCATGTTGGTACACGAACGAAGGAAGAGGTAGAAGACCACTACAACACCGTCTATGTTGAGTCACAAAGCTGGCCGCTACCGGTAAGTGCGCTCCTTTTACCCCAGCTGAATATCTCTCACTCTGAACTATCTATTCCTGCTATAGCGAATGGATGTATCATTCGATATCGACCCCTCCGAATTTCAGGAACGCAAACGTCGTCGAATATCATCCATGAATGCCAATCCTCCAGCAGGCCCCAAGGTCGCCCCCACATCTGCTCCAGGGAACCACGAAATCGCTACCTTCCTCCCCGGTCGTCTCGAATTCGAGCATGAGATCGACAACGAAGCCGAGGACCTCGTCAAGGATCTTGAGTTCGGGCTGTGCAATGAGTGGGGAGGGGATAGCATCATGGAGGACGAGAACGATCCGGATGTGAAGACTAGGGCGAAATGGGAGGAAGAGAAGTTCCATACGAAGGATAGGGAGAATGAAGGGTCGGGGAGTAGGATGGGCACGCCGTTTGGTGGTGGGGGGAAGACGAACGGGTTGAAGCATATTGGGAAAGGCAAGGGGAAAGGCAAGGGTCCGATGGGTAAAAGTATGGGTGGGAAGAAGAGCGTGAATGGGTATCATCCACATCATGGCATGAAGATAGGCATGAACGGGGTGATGAAGCAGGACAGTTCTCCGCAGAGACACGTCAAGACTGAAGATTCGAATGGCGAGAACGGGTCGAAGGAGAAGGACAAAGATGAGGATGAGACTGAAGAGAACATGCCACCAATACCGTTCGAGACCTCAGATTCTCTGGCCTTCAAGTTGACATTATTGGAGACGTACGAGCAGAGGGTAGAGAAGAGAGCTGAAGCGAAGGCAATTATGTTTGAGAGGGGGCTGTTGGAGTACAAGAAGGTTTGCTCGCCTTATTCCACGCTCTCTTGCAGTGCGGGTACTGACCCCTTTTCGTTTATGATCTACGTAGATGCAAGCAGCTGACAAGAAGCGACCAAAGGAAGATAAAGACATCATCCATCGATTACGGCCTTTTGCACGACTGCAGACTGCAGCTGACTATGAACAATTCTGTGCTGACATCCTCTGTACGCATGTCATCCTCCTTTCCGATCTTCACTTCTATAGAGCGATCGACTCACTGTATCGACCTGATCGCGCATGTATTCTAGACGAAGCTATTCTCCGTAAACGAATAGCAGAACTACAGCAGTACCGCCGACTAGGTTTAACCACAGCAGCCGACATCACCAAATGGCAAGAAGACACGTACAAGAGGGTACGTCTTACATCTCCTCTCTCTTATTTACTGCCTCTAATCTGTTTTCAATCAGGAGCAAGCGAAGATGAACATGTCTCGCGAACACTTCTCCTCCGTGCAACTTCGCGCAGGCGGCAGAGGCTCTCTCGGTCCAGAATCTCGACGCGCAAGCGTCTTGGCTGACTCCGAAGGCCGCAAGAGCCACGATCGTGAACTCACACCCAAGAACTCCAGCGCCCCAGCACCAGGTCCCACAGGTCGCAAACCTCCCGCCCCACTAAACCTCGCTAATTCTCCCTACATCCATCTCCTCACACCGGCCGAACAAACCCTTTGCTCTAGTCTCCGCATTCTCCCGAAGCCATACCTTGTTATCAAGGAGACCCTTATACGTGAGTACGCACGCCGTGGTGGCAAATTGAGGAGGAGAGAAGCGAGAGACTTGGTGAAGATCGATGTGAATAAGACGAGTAGAGTCTGGGACTTTCTGGTGCAAGCGGGTTACCTTAGAATTGGAGTCGATCTGGCCAGCGTAAACAATGCGGGACAGGCAACGACACAAGCTTCGGGGACGGGATCACAACAAGGACAAGGGTCGACTCAGACGGAAGGCCAGCAAGAAGGGCAGAGCACTTCGATGAATGGGATGATGAATGGTGTCGGCACCGGGTAAGGATACTCGAAATATATTCTTCTGGTGCCCATATTCACAATATTTTGCCCCAGGTCTTCATCTTCCTCTCTCAATGCCACCGCGTTAGGCTCGACACCTTCACCTCGCAAAACTCCATCTTCTTCCTCCCTTCCACCTGTACCTGCACCGAGCGGACATGGGACATCCTTAGGCCCGCCTAGCACAAGTCAGACCTTCGTGAACGGGAATGGGTATGGGTATCCGCCTGCGAACGGGCTTCCTGCCGCACCAAACAGTGCATCATTTTCATCCTTCGCTTCTCTGACGTTTCCGAACGCACCAGCGTATCCATCGGCAGGTCAATAGCGTCCAGAGTGTTCGTTCACTATTTATTTTGTTTTTTCCTCTTATTATTTCCAAATTTGACTGTTGCTGCCTCTCCTAGTCTACGACCCTTCATCCCATACATACCCTTCCTACTGTTCCTCTTTTCCCGTCTCTCGTCGCCAGGTTCAAGTCCCTCCCATGTCCTCATTGTCTATATTTTACACCACTCACCGCATGCATCACTTTGTACCCTACACACGCGCGTACGCACCTGACTCCTTCCACTAAGCATTGTAACCCTACCCCATCACACCTTCCTCCTCTCACCTTCCATATTTACATATCGTCGCATTGCAACATTCGCCTGCTCGCTCATCCTTTCCTCGTCCACCCGTCTTGTCGACCAGTTTTATTGCTATTTGTACTTTTTCTGATGTGGAATATTCGCCGTGCAGTGCAAGGGACTTTTCTCCTAGTTCACAATGCAGCTGAACTCAGGACTCTCTTTGAAGTTGGCAATACGATGGCCACATAGTCCGAGGCAGACAAAGGACCAACCACACTGAATTAAGTGCTGAGGATAAAAGGGATGCAGGGTGATTATTGTCCGTGCTTTCCGCGCAGCTGTAAGTACATGGTACGGAACATGTAGTGCAGATAGCAGAAGTCGACTAGGCGCTAGAGATCATATCTTCGTAATGGACGACATGGGCGGGAATGGTTGAGTGAGCAGGTCTTGGATGATGCCTGTGTCGACGGGAATCATTGCATTATTGAGGTATTCGTCATTCCTGCCATGTTGCATAGGTTTGGTAAGTACGCTCTTCTTGAGTGGGTCGACGAAGACACGTACCAGAACTATTATGCGAATGAGAAAGGATTGTAAGATCAAGTTAGTGTAGCTCGATGCATAGAAGAGCATCAAAGCAGTGTGCTAAAGGGATTCACGACTCGCCTTCGAGTAATGTCGGTTTCCAGAATCGCAACTGTATTTCCTAGTCAGCACAAGTCAGAAATCTTTACAGGCGAACAGTCAACGCACAGGACAGTGACGATCTTTTCTCCATTGTTCCAGCCCATCTTCTTCACGAGCTTGATGCACGCAACAAGGTTACAAGCGCTGCTAGAGCCCAAGAACAGACCGTCGCGCTGAACGAGGAATCGAGACATTGAGACAGCCTCGGCGTCCGTTATTCTTGTCCACGACACGTCAGTACGAAATCCATGATACAGAACGAAGGAATGGATTTCCCTCACCGGAAAGCATCGTTGATGATAGGCAGCGCCAGCTCGATGTTCTTCGTCAGGCGATTGATACCACTGTTCCGATAGAAATGAATCAGTGTGATACGGTCATATGGGAGATAAGTAATGCAGGGTGGCAACAAAAGGGATGCGCAAGCTATGTAACTCACATGCCCTCGACCACGGTGTCCACTTGATGTCTCCGCTTGGTGCCCTCGCTCTCTTTCCTGTCGTACATTACCCCGTGCATGACCTGACAATAGGCATACGGATATCAATCGTGCACAGCGCAACAGTACATTGCACCAGGGGTTTTCCGAATTCGCATCGCCAGTAAAGTTGACGTTCACACCCAGCACCCGGCATCACAAGAGCCCGAATTGTTCGCAGCAAGTCAAAGAATAGAGATAGACCAATGTCAAATTGTTTCCGCAATGGAGAAGAGATATACGAGCAGTTAAGGGTAACGGATTGCTTACCTTATTATAGAGCCCGCTACCCTCGGGGTCAGCGAGCGCGATGGAGACGTCTTCGTTCATTGACTTCAGAAATTGACCCGTGCCAGCTATGGTCCCGCCAGTGCCTGTCAGAATGTCAGCGATAGTACTGACAAGTTTTGTGATGATCAGTGCGGACCACGCACCAGCGCCAGCCACAAAGGCAGTAAGGTCGCCATTGGTCTGTCTCCAGATCTCTGGGCCTGTTCCGCAGAAATGGGCATCGAAGTTGCTTCGGTTCTAACATCGTGGAATTCGAAATCAATTATAGGTGTGGCGAGGGGGATTAATGAGAGCGCCAGGAGTGCCGCACATCATTAAGGCGCAGAGTTGGATTATCAGCGATCTTCTTGAGCTTCGTGTTCGCTGGTTGAAATACGTACCTCGAATTGATCCGCGAAGAAGCCGCGGGGTTTCGTCCTCAGATCCTCTTCGGCCTTTAAGTTATCCTTGCTGCTCAGCGCGTTTCCGTTTCCATTGGCGACACCATTCGTGTCAGCGGTGGTAACCACGACAGACGAATAAGTGTGTTTGATAGCTTGCGGGTGGGCTCCCAGCGTATGCGCGTGCTCCGCGGCTTTTGCAGTCGTAAAGTGCAGAGCATACTCGCGAGCGAGGTTCTACGGGATTTGATAAGGAATATTTTCATGTACGTAGAAGTAGAGCACAGACGTACTACGTACTGGGAACGGCGCAAGCAGAGCTTTAACTTGAGAAATGCAGCCGGAAGGGAAAAGGGGTGCAGCTTGCCTGTTTCTTGTCTACAATGCTGGCGGGTCGGACCCTTTCGATGTCGGCACCTAACGCTTGCAGGGCATGCACCTTCTCAATAGCGACATCATCCGGCATAATGATAGCTGTAGAATAGAACGAATTATCAAGAGACTGAAAATGTCAGACGGCAGATATGAGGTGGAGATCGCGAGTGACCAAGACAAGCGGTTGTAATCTCGGACCAACCGAATCGCTCAATACCAGCATCGGAGCACCCAGTAAGAAATACTGGTAACAAATTGGCAGGGATGTCTGAGGCGCTTCAGAGCATAGGCTAATACTAGTACGACAGGAAAGGCGAGAAGTAGCGCCAGACCGCCACACCTTGGGAAAAGCAAACTCACTGGCGTCATATCCTCTGCAACTCGTTCCTTCAGCTAGAACAAGAATGTCAAAAAAGTGATTCGAAGCTGACCTGGCCTTCGCAATTGTGGCTATTGAGATTCCGGTAGAGCCAACGGTCCCCTCGAATATGCGTGAACCAGTGTAAGGATGAAGAAGGCCCTGGAACCCCGATATGTTATGAGTCTCTCTGAACAGCGATTAGGGGCTTCCCTACTTGTTGCTCTGCATCCTCGATCACTGAAACGACCCATATTGTTACAGTCACCCAGTAATGGTCTGAATCTCTATGAATGGACTCACTTCGCAATGCAACACGGTCTTTCACACTTCCTCCCGGGTTTAAGTACTACAGATCCCCAATGAGTACCACTGTCCATAACATGCATGATGGTGAGCACATAACCGACCTCCGCCTTTCCAAGAATCTCTACGCCCAAAGCATCACTCAGAGAGTTGATCCTAATCAGGGGTGTATGACCTAGCAACCAGATATTATTGGTAAAGGAACGACAGAAAATGGCAACCATGACATTTTCGATAAATTATCCAAGACGCTTGCTACGATCAGATCCATACCTATGAGGCCTGTTACTCCGTCGAGGATCTCATCGCTTCGGAGCTCGATAGGTCTCGGTACGGACTCAACTGCCTTCTCGGCGTCTTCACGCCGTTTGTTGTGGTAGTAAAGGGCGAGGGATGTCGAAGAAAAGGAAAGTGAGACCCCGATGAGGATGCCGTAGAAAATGTGTCGCGCTGCTGAGGGCGATGGCAGCCACGAAGCCATAGCTTTCTTTAAGCCTATTCAGCGGAAGATAATATGGTCCACGGAAGCCAGCTCCAGGGGGAAACGAGACCAGTTACCGAAATCAGCGCAGAATGAGATCCAGGGGAAGTTGGAGTGAGTCTGCACGAAGTCTGCACCATCCATGCCGAGACGCGGTGCCACATTTTCTGGGCGTGTTTGGTCACGTGAGCTCCGTACACGTATAACATATCCGTTCTGCATCCGAATTCTGTCGCAAACCTTCGTCAACTTGCTAATAACGACTGTCATCTTTCTGAGACCTACTGGAGCGACCACTGGCAGCATCTATTGGCTATGCTAGCAACTACCGTCTTACCTCAGTCTGAAGAGTACGGCAGATATCCAGGGCCGGCGTGCCAGCGTTTCGGAACTTGCAGTGACACAGGCTGCAGCCACTGCGCTAATGAACAGGCAAACTACGAAGGGACATCAACAGTGCTCCATGCATATGATCTTGACGTGATTGTGGCACTGGGCAGATTGGTGTGAATGACGAAACGAATCTCGCGATATTTATCATATTGCTTCAGATTCACTTGCTTCTCCCCGGCCCCGAGTCTACCTCACCAATCCCAAGCTTGTCGAGTCGTTAACCACAATCTGTAGAATGTCTTATCATCTTATAATAAAACTATCTTCAAGTAAGTCATCTTATCACAGCCCTTAGCCCAGACACGGCCATCTGCAAGTAGGATGATCATGCTATCGGTCTCCGATATGCGTATATTTTGCCTTCATTCGTCCACATCATCATCCTCTAGCTGCTTTTCTTTCGCTCCGTATCTCATTGATACTCTATAAAGGAACTCGTCATTCGTTCGAGGCGACGGAAGACATGCTTCCGTGGCTCGGTCTATACCTTTGTCAGCCTTTTCGGGAACGCCATAAGCCAAAGCGGCAAGTTGACCTGTGCTGCAATGCATCAGAGCCAGGCACTTGGAATCTCAACTGAATAGCTGCCAGGGAACTATTTGAGGCGCGTGTGGTCTGACCTTGATAGTGAAACTTTTCAGTCCATCTCCCCTCACTCTGCCAGCCAAAGGGCCGCTGAGTACGGCGTTCTTGCCATCAAATGATGAGAACTCCTCCATTCTTGGGTAGCATTACTGTCTAATCTCACTCGGGGGCCAACGTACTAACTTCCCCCCCACCTAAAATCTGCGGCGGGGTGGGGGTCTTCTGTGGTTGGTTAAAAGACCGACATCCACGGCTTATTCCACAATCCCGCCCCTCAAGCCTCAGCTCTCAGCCCTCGGTGTAGTTTTCACGATGCAAAATCTTCCTTTCACATTGGATCTGCTCTTTGCCTGCGTGTCCCTATACCTGTTAAAATGGTATATCTCTTATCGACATGTTGACAGAAAGATCCCTGGGCCGGCCGGACTGCCAGTCATTGGGAACCTCTTCGACATTCCTAGGGAAGACGAATGTCGGGTTTTTAGTGGATGGGCAAGGACATACGGTGCGTTTCACACTCCTTTCCACGCAATTTATTCGATTGCTTCATCCCTTCCCCTTACTATCCCGCGTGAATTAGGCGATATCTGCACCGTCAAGGCCCTCGGAAAGCAGATTGTCATCTTGAACTGCCCCCAGCTTGCACACGACATGCTAATGAAAAAGGCTTCTATCTACAGCGACCGGTTAGGCATGCTCAATAATTATTCTTTCATCACTCTTATCTGACATAGCTTTATAGTCCACACTTCACCATGGCCTCCGAGCTCGTTGGCTGGGAGGATGCTGTCGTCATGCTCCCGGCTAACTCTTCTCGTTTTAAATCATACCGGAAGTACATGCACCAGGTATGTTCATATCTGTTCGTGCTCGACCAATCCTATTTACTAGTTAAACATTCATGTCTAGGCTATTGGCAGTCGCAATAGCGTGACAATGTTCAATGACATGATGGACGAGGAAACCATGCGGTGTCTACGAGATCTCCTCGTTGAACCTAATAACTTCGAAGGACCTATTCGCAGGTCAGTCAGCTAGACTCTGGAATTGAGATTCTCTTTTAGCTGTAACCGTCCTGAACATTCAAATGATCACTCGTAGGGCTGTTGGCACCATCATCCTCATGATCACGCATGGATACAGGCCTTCGAGCAGTGACGATGAGTTAGTGAAGACGGCAGACGATGCTACTGATCAGGTCTATTCGCCGGTCTTGTATCGTTGAAGCGTGCACCTGCTGACTTGCCACCAATACCATAGCTCAGCCATCTATTGGCGCCTGGGAACTTCCTCGTTGACACCCTGCCCTTCTGTAAGAATTTGCCATTTTCTGCATACTCGTGCATCGCCGACTTCTTGTCTGTTCAAGTAAAATATACCCCTTCATGGGTACCATTCCAGAAACTTGCTGTAGAATGGAAAAAGACTCTCTATAGTCTCACCGATGGGTCTTTTGCCTTCGTCAAGGAGCAAATTGTTTGTTTGTTTTTTTGTCCTGATCTTCACTATGACTTCTACCCACAGAAACTGACGATGGTCATTGCTAGGCTTCTGGCACCGCTCGGCCAAGTCTTGTGAGTAACTTGTTGATGCACCAGGAGTTATCTACAGAAGACGAGAAGAACGTCAAATGGGCAGCGTCATCGCTCTACTCTGCTGGCATCGACAACGTTAGTCGACGTTCCCTCTTCGTCTATTCTGTTATGTTTTAACGTTTACGCGTGTGTATATATTTAGCCCGTCAATGCTCTCGCAACCTTCTTCTTAGCAATGACTATCTACCCCGACGTCCAACTTCGAGCGCAGAAGGAGATCGACTGTGTCGTAGGCTCCAACAGGATCCCTGACTTCTCCGACAGGTCTCAGCTACCTTACGTCAATGCGCTTGTGAAGGAGCTTATTCGGTACGTCAACACGCATTTCTCGTTTTGTCTCACGAGCTGACCATACGGTCATGAAGGTGGGGGCCGACTGCACCTCTTGGTGCGCCGCACTGCGTCACTCAGGATGACGTCCATAATGGATATTTCATCCCCAAGGGCACAACCATCATCGCAAACATCTGGCATTTCCTTCACGATCCGAAAGTATACCCAAATCCTGAGATCTTGGATCCCACACGCCATATCTCCCGCCCAGGGAGCCCGGCACAGAAGGACCCATATGATGTTTGCTTTGGATACGGAAGAAGAATTTGCCCAGGTACGTCGAGCCCTGCAATCGCAGTGGTCAGAGCACTCACGCATCGGAATGCACAGGTGCCCAGCTGGCCGATTCCATCATGTACATATTCGTCGCAAAAATCCTCTGCATGTACAACATCAAGAAGCCATCGGCCAACGCCACGGATCCGAGGTGCGAGTTTACGAGTGGCGTGTTGGTGTGCGTACCCTTACTCTACCTTAACCACTACTATATATTGATTTTTGTATTCTCACTGGGTAACTCCCAGTAAACCGAAGCCGTTCCAAACAAGAGTTACGTTACGTTATGAGAAGGCCCATCTGGCCCGTTTGTTCGACTCCCTCTGAATACTGCAGTTGATGCATGTGTCATTGAAGCTGCTGAGTAGCCCACACCAACCCTTAATTATCACTTCACCACATAACCGCTTGCATCGGTGTCTTGTTCATTTCTGAAGATTTCCTCGTGTCCAATCCATGTTTACCAAATATGTCGTCTTTCTTGTTACATAATGTCACTCCATAATACATTGCCTTTCAACACATCAAGAGTCGTAAACCGAACTTTACCAGGCACTAACCACAACTTTTAACGAAACCTTGTGCTCATTTCTCACTAAGTATCGAGGTGGTTTAGGTCCGAGAAGAAATCGGTTGGCGTACAATGATTCGTCCACATACTGTAGTCGCACATGTTTTCATTTTAGCAAACAATATTCATAGGTACTGCGACTTTACAATCATAGCCGTCTCAAGTACTGGTACTCAAAGTCACTGAGGCGGATCCGTCAGTAAAAGGAACCACCCATGCACCTGCATCCACCTCGAATTCACCCGTCGGAGTCAAGGGGCCTGGCACACCGTCAATGTTCGCCGTCGTTTTCACCAACAGCCTCCCTACCGGGGCCTTCGCCGCCGAGCTCACGCCCGCAGGCGCATCGGAAATGGTAACGTTAACCGTCATAGCCTCCTCATCGAATTCAACTTCCTCGAACGCCCCCGCATCCAATACTAATGTCTGTCCCAGCGGCGCCACAAACACTCGCCTCCTGACAGCATCCGCAACTCGGACTCGGATCGTAGGACTTGTCGAGAGGACCTCACCGCCGAATGCCTGCCACCCGAATGGTTCGAGGTTCACGATGTATGTGGAGGTGCCCATGGCCAAACCTACGAAGTTGGGGCCGTAATCTCCACTATAGGCATCCCATTCAAGTGTGTCCTCGAAGGAGTGGAAGGATGCGGCTGCGAAACCCCCCTCGTCGATGTTGGAGAGTGGCCCTGAGATGCCGCCGAAACCGGTGCGAAGGAGATAGGTATCGCTAGGATCGGATTCGAATGAGGAAAGAAGAGGAAGAGAGTTGAGGCCACTGCCATAGTGGTGGATCTATAAAGAAGGAAAGTAAATTGGAGCTGTAATGTGATGCGGAGATTTATGAGATACCTGTCGCTCGATGCGTTGAAGTTTTCCTCCATACACGTTGTCCCTGTGATCATATCAGCATTTAGCGGGTCAGAACAGCGAAGATTGACTTACCAGTAGCGTCTGGCATTGCCGTTGTACCCCCAGTGAGCGATGAGAGGCTCATACGCGAGTATGGAGTTGACCACATTGACCGCCGTTGTGCTGTCGTTGAAGTATTTTGCCCATACATAGACCCCCTCTGAAGAAAAAGATAATAAGCTGTCTGATAGATTATATGACCAGCACAGAATCAAACCTTGGCCCGTGCTGTCCCAAGCCATCTCGCTACCGAAGCTAAAATGGCGCGTCAGCATATATTGAGATACTAAGTGTAATAAACCTACGGGTATCGCTCCGTGGCCCAGACAGCCTCCCGAGCCTTCATTCTACTCTCCACCAGGGTGGCGTTGGCTGTGAGCCCCTCTCTCTTCAGATCATCCAGCAACAGTTCAAAGACGGTCTCTCCCATTAGTCCATCTCCGGAGTAGCCCACGCTACCGTTGGTCATCATCGCGATAGTTAGAACTGCCTGGTTTAGGTACCTGCAGAAACATCATGAGGAAGGAAGGTTAGGAGAGAGCATAGACATTATCATGAATAACTCGCCATTCCCAAGACGTGCTGGTGAGGTTGGGGTAGTTACGCGCCACACGGTAGAGTGACCAGTACGCGTTCGTAACGTGCACGTAATCCTGCATACCACAAAGGATATCAGATGCAAGTTTATACAGGTAAAATAGATCAGGCATACATATGCTCGGTCGGTGGCATAAGATTCAGCTTGCGTCCACGACCACCAGTTGGAAAAGTCTAAGTCCGACGGATAGCTGTAGGTTGGCACCAAGGCTGGCTCGTAATAGTACACTGCCTATACAAAAAATCTAACCTGTCAGCGGTGGTCACATAGTAGGCGTTCATGACCATTTTACCTTCTTGACAGAGCCTGATTAGCTGAGGGTCAGTCCAGATACTCCCAGGACGTGAGGATGAATGACTGACCATCAAGATTTTGAACGGACCCGTGGAGCGTCTCATTAATGAAGACTTCCATCTTCGCCACCTCTGCTGCGTTCGGTTGAACGTATTGCTTCATAGAGGCAGCCAGCCACGATCCAGCTCCGGCTTCGTCTGACAAACCGGGAATCCACGCTCGTACGTCATCTCGAACAATGGCATTGACCGATCGGTCATACGAGATAACGGAAGGTGAGCGATTGAAGGGATCCGACGAGTTATCGAACCACTGCTCCGTTGTGAGGAAGTTACCAAGGTCGCTGATAGCTTCGACGGCTGCCTTTGTCACGTAGTAGTGTATGGTTTGCAGGGTACCATCTTCGTATGTGACTGACAGGCGAGAGCGACCCCACGATGAGCCAGTGATAGTGTATCCCGTCAAAGAAGAGTCTTCGTTGGTGGTCCAGATTAGCGCACCCTCCGGTTCGACCGCCAGAGAAGAAACCGCAGAAGAGTAATTCAAGAACAGTTTAGCAGGAAGATCTTCTGAGATGATGAATCCAGGAATACCGGCGGCGACTGGGTGACCGATGCCGATGAGCGTCTCCTCGATTTGACGAATACTTGGGGCCACAACGAACGCCAATCCGTAGGTCCGCGTCTCGTTCGGTTCTAGAGTCACTGAAGTTGGCGCGTTCCATGGAGTCGCGTTCGCCCACTATACATACAACGGGTCAGTGCATCGAGAACCTGAGCACCAAGCGACGTACTAACCTCGTTCTCTGCGTACGCCAGAGTATGGAACTCGAATGAATAGAGTCCCTCAAAGGTTTGCGACTGATATCCCAAACTGGTGTCTTCATCCTCCGGGAGGAATCTCCAACCTTCAAAGGAGGAATTTCCGACGGGAATAACGACGAGTGGAGGAAGTGTACCAAGGAGAGGTGTCACCTACAAAGATATTCAAATAGTGGCCTTTAGAATTCTAAAGTCATGAGACCTACCTGGACATAACCAGCGTCAGCACCGATATACGGATCAAAAAGGCTGCATTTCTCATTGGTCTCTGCTGCGGTACGGCCGGTGAATATCTGGAAAAGGGGAAGCATTAACAAGGCGATGGAGCGACGGAAACAGAGTCGAAAACCAGTGCACGGACGTTGTTGAACTCCAAGGCTGCACCCAGAGCACCGATCTCCACAGAGCTGTTCTGAGAGTTCGTCACATCGAACAGCAACTGGAGTTGATCGCCCACGGTGACCCAACGACGTGTGATATTCAATAAAGAGTTGGAGGGAATAGTCGGGGCCAAGCTTGCCGCCGCGAGAGTGCTTCCCGACACATCCATGGCTGTTAAGTTTCCACGGGCGGCTGCTGAGTCTCCACTGGTCCAAGTGCTCGAGCCCGTAGTGCGTGCTCGGAAGGTGATGTCGCCGAGATGATAATTTCCGTTGGATGCACGTTGACTCATGACATCAGAAGGGAGGAAGTCGAATGTAGAACCGCTTGCTTGCAGCGAATACAAGGTTTGAGAGTCTTTGACGATCTGGGCGGAGAGAGAGGAGAGGTTGAAGGACAAAAATCCATCGCCCAAGCCCAAGGTATCCGACTGAGCAAAGACAAGGCTCGTTGACAACGAAAAGACCAGCGATATGCTGACCGCACATCGCTGAAGCACCGATCTAACAATACCTGCTGTGAAACTTGTCAAAAATACACAATATAATGGAGATACTTACTTTATGCCCCGCATAATGCAATCACCCTTCTGGCTGTGCGTGCACAGAAGATGCGTCCAGTCAAAGAAGAACGTCGGGAAAATGGCGATTTTTTCTGACCTTATAAGGGGCAGAAACTCGAAGGAAGGAAGGAAAGAAGCCATGCAGCTGATAGCTCGTGCATATGCTTCAGGGGCCTTTGAGGAGACATGGTTGTAGGATCTCGGACGTCCTATACAGTCCCGAAATACGCACGCCCCGACGGGCCGCCGCTCGTACGAAGAAGTGAAGGCAAAGACTCCGTTCTCGCCAGCGAAGATGGTCGCGTTCTTGAGGGACTATCGTGGCGACCAGAGCATGGTGCTCGTCCGGATAAGAAATTGGCGATAACAAACTGGATCCGCAAGTGGCAGCGAGATGAGCAGCATACCGTACCGTTGATATAAATTACTCAGTCTTGGACTCTTGATATAAGGAAAGCAGGACAAAAATGTGTGGTTCACTGAGAAGAGTTCAGACCAACTAGGTTGAAAGAGGCTGCTGTAAGCGGCTAAAAGTTAGATTGTGGCGGAACTTGAATACGGCGGGAGGTGGCGCTGGTCCTGGAGCGGCGGTTTTCCAGCGGGTTTCCTCACGGCTTTCTTCACAGCTTTCTTCACGCATAATATCTCTGAATCGTCTCTGGACCATCATGCTTCGATATGAACTGTGGAAAGTAGCACAACCTATATACACGTCCTCTATGTCTCATTCAATCGCTTCTGGCCCACATGTTGCGCCTCAAGATATCGAGTTACGATAGAACTTGGCCGAATTGCGAGGCACTTACCCACAGAAGCCTCAGCGCTTCAGTTTGATGCGGCTGACGAACTCGGAAGCTTTGCCAGCAAACCACCACCATCACCTTCTCCAGTGAACTCGCCCCAACTCACGCTGCCTAGTCATGTCTGTTGTTCAGAAGCTATTTCTCTCCTCGCCCCGCTATGCCGTCGTCGGCGCGTCGAAGGACACCACAAAGTGTGCGTTACATCCGTTCAATTTCGTGATGGGTGCGATAGTTGTCGCTCACAAGGCTTGTCTTGTGCACACCAGTCGGTACAAAGGTGCGAGTCGTTTCATTGTCGACGTGATGAACACTGCTCACAGGATCTTCGTTGCATAAGACAGGTCTTAAAGTGGTACCAGGCGCGGTCGAAGCCGGTCACTCCCGTTCACCCTGTATGCTTCGCTCTATAGCTACCTAAAGGTTCCATTCATCTTAATGAACGTGTTGGCTCGTCCATGCTCCCATGATCACGATAGAAAGAGACGGAATTGGAAGGCATTTCTACGGTCAGGACGTTGAGTGATCTCCAATCACCGGAAGAAACATCCGTCAGTATCATCACGAATCCGAAGGTACGCTGATTCTACATTCTCTTTCATTTCCGCTATCTGATCCATGCTTCTGTTCCATGCAACGAAGATCACACTCGGTCTCCTCGAACAAGCCAAATCGCTCTCAATCCCCGCGCTCTGGCTGCAGCCCGGAGCAGAGGACGAAGCCGTGATCAAGTTCATCAAGGATAACGGTATGGAGGACAGAGTCATCTATGGCGGGCCATGCATTCTTGTCAGTGGAGACGATATTATGAAGAGTTTGTTGTAGGTTGGCAACCAACGACATGGTTCTACGCGTTTTCCAGAATGGGGATTATAGAGTATTGTGTATGATATTTTCCGAATTGTCTTTGCATCACTGGAGATGTAAATGTATCGAGCTTTGAGCGATCTCTAGATCACCCGCAGCGGATCATCGACGGCATCTCCTGTTCTCCATTACGCATTGACACGAGCTAGCAAGTTTCAAGCTTCCAGTGTCCCGGAGGAACCATCGACAAGAGATTGAGCGGGATCATACACCGGTGCGTCCGCGTCGCCTACGTAGGAGTCCGGTGTGGTCATACTTATCCGATTCATTTCTAGCTTGCATCTACCTATCATCGTCTTTCTAGATACGTTCAGATAGATTGTATAACGACTGTCGAGCCATACGCCGCTGGATGCCATGCAAGTCGTGGCGCCAGCAACTCAATATCGCGGGGATCGATGAACACCATTTCTAAGATGCTGTAAGTTATCTGCATTGCTATCACTATTGCATATGATAGCGATTGGTTAGTTGGGATTCCGAGCACAGAACCGGGGCGATCTCATCTACATATTACAACATCGTCTTGGCCCGGTGAAAGGGCGTACCAGCAGGGGTCCATTGCTGAGTGATAGTCCACGGTACTGTACCATGGTCTCCAGATAGATGTTCTAACGAGTCTTTTGAGGTGAGGAGAGGACAGTTTTGACGCATAACATTTGGCACAACGCTTGGTGTACCACAACAGCCGAACCCATATCGACTGAAACAAAAGGCCTGACCTCAGTATTGTGGTTTGTGACAGTGTGGAGACAGGATCGTCCGGCACAGCCCGGTGGATATCATAAGTTTCTTTTGCCCTCTCTTAAGAGACTTATAACTGACTTGCAAGTATTCACTTCTTTCAGGTATGTCTCGCTCCGTTCACTGTCCTTGAGATTCGCCAGGAAATATAGACTGCCTAAACGAACATTGTATCACTGGGCGACTGGGGCGAATTCACAGCGGTTTGGACAACAGACAGGCCCGCGCGGAGAACTCGCACGCACTAGACAACAGTTGCGAACAGGGCTGTTACAGACTACAGTGAACAGTACCAGCAACTTTGCTCTGAATCATATATAAGAGGTTGAAGTGATCCAAACCTCCATTCACACATCTTCCTTCCCCCTCTCGTCCTTTCCTTTCATTTCCGACTTGAAGTCGCTTTCTTAAGGACTATCATGACCTTCCTTTCCAAACTAGCTGCGCTGCTAACAGCTGCATCCGTTTCATCTGCCTTGCCTGCGTCGCCTTGGGGTAGTATTATCCCTGTTCCCCTTGAAGGTGATTTCGCGGCAAACAACAAGCTTGGGCTTTGTGCTGCTGATGTCAACACCAGTGTTGCCATGGGCTGGTACGCTAGCTGGCACGAGGGCTACGCTCCTCTGGCGGAGGTAAGCTGGAACAAATATACACACATGGCCTTTGCATCTGTGTATGTCCCTTTTTCATTCATTTGTTTCTGGATAAATGCCGGACACTCACACTTGGATATTCCAGCACAACGAACTCCAATTCTTCTATTGCGCTGGAGGAAACCAACACGACCCTCCTCCAAGAGTTCGTATCTACGGCTCACAATAATGTGATTATCCTTCATATCTCTCTGATCTCTTTCTGTCTGCTGACGATGATATGTCCTCTCGACATGAAGAGTGTGAAAGCGTTAGTGTCTGTTGGAGGTTGGGATGGTAGCAGATTCTTCTCATCTAGTGTTGGAGACGCCACAAACCGGACTGCGTTTGTCAAAGCCCTCACTAACATGGTCAGCAATTACAGCCTCGACGGCATTGACTTTGAGTACGCCACCCGCCATTCTATCCGTTCTGCTGCACAGAAAATTGTGTCTGACGAATTCGTGGTCCCTAGCTGGGAGTACCCCAACGGGGCAGGGCTCAGTTGCAATACCATATCTCCTAACGACACCTCCAACTTCCTCTCACTCCTCCAAGAACTGCGCGACGATCCCATTGGTGGCTCTCTCGTTCTTTCTGCCGCCGCATCAATTCGGCCATGGAACGACGCCACCGGACAACCCTCCGCCAACCTCTCCGACTTCGCTTTAGTCCTTGACCATATCGCCATCATGGACTATGATCTCTTTGGATCGTGGTCTGACACCGCTGGGCCTAATTCAGCTCTCAATGATACTTGTGCGCCTACCACAGCTCAGACAGGATCGGCTGTGAGCGCCGTGAATGCATGGAGCACGGCAGGGATTCCTAAGGACAAGATCGTGCTTGGAGTGCCTTCATATGGTCGCTCGTTTAACGTGTCGAACGAGAATGCATTCCCCAATGGGACGAGCACATTGGCGTTATTCCCGGCCTTTGATAAGAATAATCAGCCTTTGGGGGATTCTTGGGATAGTCCTGGTGTTACGACCGATGCTTGTGGGAATGAGTCAGGCCCCAGTGGCGTTTTCGAGTTTAGAGGGTTGATAGAAGTATGTTTGGTTTCTAACTATCGCGGTAGACATCGTACATGAAACTCATATATACTGCATCGTGTTTCAGGAAGGGTATCTGACGGAAAATGGCACCGTTGTGGATGGGGTTGACTACGTCTTCGATGACTGTTCGCAGACGGTAAGAATCCAGCTTGTTCCCATCAGCGAAAACGTTACTGATTGCATTACAATTCCAGCCACGCATCTACAACTCTACATCTCAAGTCTACATTGCCTACGACAACGCACAATCCATGGCTGCCAAGGGCAGTTTCATCGCCTCCCAGGGGCTTCGCGGTTTCGCCATCTGGGAGACCGGAGGGGACAGGAGCGATATTCTTCTTGACTCTATTCGCTCTAGCATTGGATTTTCATGAACAAGGTATCACCCTCAGGCTGGCTTGCGGGAACACACCTCTTGTAGGGTTCATGATTTGGTGGCTTTTGATTTCTCTTTCTTCACGGGCTTCACGGGTTTCATGATTTTCTTACGTGGACATACGGTTCCGTACTTTCGTTATTGCAACACTCACTTATTGTACATCGCCACTGTCGTCATTTGTAGCTTTCACGTTCTACATTAATCGACCTAGTGACTTCAGAGTAGTTATTGTCATCGTCCGCCGGCATTCCCTTCACCGATAGAACCATGGAGGTTGATCACATCCATGGGATATGGAAGCATATCATTCCGGGACTCTCCAAGCGAACAGTGTACATGATCCTCGTTATGCCACTGTGGCTCTCATCACAGGTCACATTCTCATTCAGAAATGAAAAGCCGCAGGACTAAGATCTTCATCTACACTCATATTGTCGTACACAGCCAGCGCATTGGTTAAACAAAAACATTAGACGTGTACATTCCCCACACAAGCACGCTCTCTACCGTAACGAGGTACTTGCCGCTCCCTCCATCTAAGTTATGAACCTCCAAACTTCCATTCCAGACCATCGTAGTATTTCCACGGCCACCACTCCACAACTACTATTGTATTCACAAGTTCCCCTTCACAGGCGTTGGAGCAGGAGGAGGTGGCGGCTTCTCATATGCCCAATGTGAGATGAGCACGCCCGCTATAGCAGTCGTCGGCGGAACTCTGAACGTCGGCGCATCCTGCTCTTTCTTCACCGGTGCACTCGCGGCAGATTGAGCTTTATTGGCCGCAGCAGCAGCGTCTCCAGCGAGTGGATCACTGCCTGAGGTGACCGTGTCCACCTTGCCTTCCTGAACTTCCGCCACTTGTTTCCAGTCGCGGCGAGTGAAATTCGTGCCTTGAGCGTGTTCTAGGACTGCGACGACTTCTTCGCGAGTGTACCAGCGGGCGTCTAGACGGCAAACACGAGGTGAAGTTCGAAGATCAGCGTGGAATCTCCGAGTGAAGAAAGTTAGATGAAAGGATGAGGGACAGGTACCTTCGAGCTCGTTGTCAAGATCAGTTCGGATGGGCTGTGCTGGGTCAGCGGTAGCGAAGAAGCCGACCATCAAGTTTGCTGGGAATGGCTGAATGGAGGGTTAAAGCGTGGTATCAACGAGGTTGAGTCAATAATTTACCGGGCGGCGAATTCAATTATTACTGTAAGGAATCGTCGCTTACCCAAGGTTGCGTAGAGTGGTATTTGACGTTCCACACCCTGACACCGGCTTCTTCCCAGAGCTCACGCTTGACAGCATCTTCGAACGATTCACCGGGCTCGATGAACCCTGCGAGGGCAGAGTAGAAACTCCCAGGGAACTTTTTCTGTAGGAAATTAAGAGCACAACTCCGTCAGTCAATCAAGGCACGTCAGACACGGAGATCATAATCTCACATTTCTGCCCAGGAGAATGCGGTCATTGGCCTCGTTGGTGACCGCCATAATCACCACAGGGTCTGTTCTAGGGTGAGCAAAGTTGTGCAGGCCCTTGCTATACAAATGCAGTCAGATTGGAGTAGCGGCTGTGTCACACGATGCATACGCACGCAGTCGGGCAGGGCTCTCTGCCTGTATTATCCGCCCATGGAGTAAGTGAGCTGCAAGATAGTTTCCACCCCGCCCAGAGGGAGTACACAGGCGCAGCACAGGATGGGCAAAACTTGCGACAAGAAAGATATGGACGTTAGCCACGCGCTGAACATCAGGGGCAAGGCACTGACCTTGTTTCTGGCGTTCCAGTCGACCATGCTTCTGGCAACGGCAAATAAGCCAGCCTCATCCATGTCCACCTTCTGCATGGCCGCACGAGGTTCAGAGAAGGTGAGTTGCCGGTCGCGGAGGAGGTCATCCACTTGCCCTTCGGGTACATTGGTCAAGTCGATAGTGAAATAGGGCGTGCCATTAAAATTCTGGGCGGTCACCTGCGGATCATTACCGCTGAATTCGCTTGAAGGTAGAGCTTCAGCCTTCTGTTGATGTTCGTCAAGCCCAAGAAATACGATGGGAGGGCCTCGGAATCTTGCGGTCTCGACAATAGAGACACCTTTCTCTACCAGCTCACCAGCGTTCTGACCTTGGCCAAAAAATGGCTCTGATCCGATGAGGGGTCGAATTTCGTCGGTGGTCAGGCGAGCAAGAGCAGTACCCGAGATGAGAGGATCTCCGCGGCGGAAAGCTATCCAGCGGGTCGATGGCGAGATGGCGATGGCGTTGAGGAAAGTGGCTGAAGTGCGAAGCCAAGAAAGGCGATTCAAGGGAGATCCACCCAGAAAATTAACATATCTGGATGTCGAGGAGAGATCAGCATGACCTTGATGCAAGCATATTTGGAGGTATGGAGATTTCGGAGAGACGGATCGGGCAGAGACAGCTCACGTTTCGGACATGGCGAGCTGTCTTGCAACGGTGGAAGAGCTGCGCACGGGCCACGCGTGACGCACAAGGAGATGGAAACGAATGCTGTTGACCGCCAACTTGATGGCGGAGGCTCAGGTCAACGTTCAAGCTCAAGCTGTGAGACGAGGCTGGCGTATGTACGATGCTTACTGAGCTGCTTCAGTGTGGGCCACGGTGCCGCGGCGCTGTGGCTCACTAGCGTCCTTTGGCTCCGGGGCGCGCCGGGCTGTCGGCATGGGCCAATGTCACCCAGCGACGCCGCGACGAGCAGACGGTTACTCGGACAACCTTGTTCTTGTTCGGCTTTGTTCAAATATCAAGATCGATATGGCTTCTAATGCCACAGAATCCTGGCCGGGGCTCTTCGCCGCCCTATTGTTCTCCGTGCCAGGATGTGCATACTCCCATCGTCCTGCGATGCAATCCCAAGCATCGATTATCCCCTAACTGTGGCATGAAAATGTCCAACAGCTGATCATCGCAGATAGACAGCCCTCAGTTGGCCTGAATAGGACGTGTCTTTGAGGCTTCTTGATCCGGCCATGGATCTGTGGGTGCTTATATGTAAAGGGACCGACCGATGGCATGTCGTGTGAAGCGTCCCGGTTTCACTTCCATTCTCCCCCGGAGGGCGTGCTGAAACCGGTGCGTGTGCGTTACCTCATTTCAGAAGACTTGGCCTGACGATGACTTTCTTGATTCCCCATACAATGCCCTTCATTAACCCGGCCCTTGCCTCGCTCAGCGGCCTATCTCCTCTCGTGCCAACAGGTGCCAGCTCCGTTGCCTCCTGCCCCCACTGCCGAGCTCGAACGCAGCATAAATAACACGCCTCATTGCGCCTCAGCCTTCGTACTTTCGCCCTCCTCCCACAGCCGGCATCTCTTGTGCGGCTTCCGTTTCCTACCCCAGCGCCTTCGGTAAGCATCACCTTTAGCACATGCTCTCGCTCTTTCATCTTGCCTAACTCGACCTTCTTGCCTTTAGAGACTTCCTTTTGCGGTCCAAGCACTTAAACAGGATGCGCCAGAACGATTCACTTCACGCTCATCATGCCTGGGTGATCCGTGTACCAGACATACAGCTTCTGGATGAGCAGGCCCGCGATTCGGGTAGGTTTCTCTCGCTTTATAAATCAGCTGTGGATTTGGCTCGCTGACATTCAATATTTACTTCTGCATGTCACCGTACGATCTCTCTCAATCACCTTCTAGATGACCTTGCTCATACCTTCGAGTTGTTGCAGATGGCACATACACCCCCACCACCCCCATCACAGCCCCCATCCGCCAGAAACAATAAACCATCATCACAGCCCGCCACAACGCGGACATCGAAATCGCTCGCACAGACCATTGCCGAGGAATGGTCAAGAGAGTCGAAAGAAGCGAAAGAGAAGTGGAGAATGGCGGACGCGAAGCTCAGGGATTACTTCCCACCGAGTCGATCGAGTGTGCAGAGGAAACCAAAGGCAAAGATGTAGGAGGCGGACGAGGGGGACTACCTGCCGGTACAGTGAGCAGACGAGAGTTGGTTTGGCGGCCTTCGGACATGAACCTTAAAGCATCTAATCTAATCTATATTTGAACATCTCTATCTTACGTCACCAGACCTCCCAATTTGTCATATCGTTATCTACGTTCGCGAAAAAATATTGGTTGCAGGTTCGCGTTCTGCGCCACGTTCTATATACCGCACACCCTCAGTCCACTCGCGTTCTCGTTTAGGACTTCTGTCTAGAGGGAAAAAAATGTCGAAAACAGTCAAGGATCTGACGGCTGGAACGGCTGGTGGAATTGCGCAGGTGCGTGGGTGAGGTTCTGCATGTGGCAAAGCTGAACGTTGATCTGTCGTTTTGATGAAACCATGAACGCAACAGGTGCTCGTTGGGCAACCGTTTGACATCGTCAAAGTGGTGCGTGGAATCTCACAGATACAATGCTCTCCAGGCATGTTGAGATTGATTTGCGCCGCAGCGTATGCAAACGGCACCGCAAGGGACGTACAATGGCATGCTTCACTGTGCAGGCGGAATCTTCAAGAACGAAGGGCCTCTCGCTTTCTACAAGGTGTCGTCCGACCAGCGCGCTCGACCTATCCAAATGCGCCTCGAATCTAACAACTCGACACTTGCGCGTGTTTGCTTGCTCCTTAGGGCACTCTGACCCCACTACTGGGTATCGGTGTTTGCGTGTCCATCCAGTTCGGCGTCCTCGAGTACACGAAACGGCTCTTCGCAAACCAGAACGTCCTGAATGGTCGCGGAGGACCGGACGGAAAGCTTCTGACCAGTGGACAGCTCGTCACAGCAGGTGTCTTGGCTGGAATCGGCAACGGCTTTGTTTCAGGACCCGTCGAGCACATTCGTATTCGTGCGTCCTTTTCACGTTTATTTCTGTCGTGTGCCCTGTTCGTAGATGTTGAAGCCAGTCCCCTTCGCAAGGGCTACAGACGCAATCGAACACGAACCCGATCTATCGCGGCCCCTGGGACGCCATTAAGAAGATCAGTTCCGCGCATGGTATTGCGGGGATTTACAAAGGCCAGAACGTCACCTTCCTCCGCGAGGCCTCGGGGTACGGTATCTACTTCTGGGCATATGAGAAACTCGTACAGCGCGAGATGGCACAAAAGGGGATTAAAAGAGAGGAAATTAGCGCCACTAGTGCTGTTCTATACGGTGCTGCCGCCGGTTATGCTGTAAGTCATCAATACTTCTGTGAAAATCCGGTATTGACCGTATGGCCTGGTGGCCGTCTGCTTCGTCTCAGCTGTGGGCCGTTATTTACCCAATAGACATGATCAAGTCGCGGATGCAGACAGATGGCTTCTCGCCTGCAGAAGGTCAAAAGTACAAGTCTGCCGTGGACTGTTTCCGCACTGTTATGCGGACAGAGGGCGTCGGAGCGCTTATGAGAGGGCTGGGCCCCACGTTGATTCGGTGCGTATAACACGACCTCGTTATTCCGCAATAACCACATCTCATCGCAACTTTGTTTTCTCCTTTTCTACCTCGGTCTCGTGGTACGCCACCTCGCTGCTTGTCTGATTGTCGACGTGTCGGGCGGCCTATATTTTGTTTGCAAATCTCGCGTCTCTATCACGGTACTCGACGGATATAGGTCTCCATTCGCCAACGGCGCCACGTTCCTCGGATTCGAGATGGCCAACCGGTTACTCAACTCCTTCTGACAGCTGCGACTCCTCAGCATCAGTCCTACGATTCATGGCGTATCGCACCCTGACGACGTGGACGGAGAAAAATAGAATACACGCATCCTTGGTCAGTGCTATTGAGGATACCTTACTTGGTGTGGCTATAATGGGATCTAGAGCACATATAACCCGTACATGCAGAGACACCTATAGAGAAGCTTTCTCAGCTACATGTGCAACCTCGTCTGCATGCTTCCGACTTCTACGCCACCAGTGGTCCACAACTGCTCTGCTCCTCAAATCGAGATGTTGTCTCTCAACTGTCATATGTGGCGTCCCGTCGCGTCTCGCGCAAAACGCGTGTTTACTGGCTGGCCTCCCCTGGCAGCTATAGCCGTCGCGAGAAACCTACCGGATTCAGAGCGCACGCAACCAGTAGGATGAAAGGTCTGGCTGCCAAGTTTACATATACGGTTGTAGCGTGTCCAGGCCTGTCCCGTAGGGTGACTTGCTTCGGCCTGAGTCGCAGCTGCTCTTCCTTGGCGGACGCTTTGACGATATGGATATCCTAGGATGTCGTGGTCTAAGAGAGTCAGTATTCCCACTGGCTACAGGCAGGCTGAGCATCCGCTGAGACTCACTAGTTCGGGGTCATGTCATCGTGCTTCTTACAGAACTAGTTTGTGCCTTATTCCCACTCACACCGACACCTTGAGTCAACGGAAGGCCCGTCTCACGGAAAATTAGGGATACCAGGTAAATGAAAGCGAAGGTCGGCGGGGTTATGACGGTGGGTACGGAACCGTAAGTGTGAGGCTCTGTTCGAGGGGTACACACCAGCAGATGCTCGTGAGCTAATTATAGTAGGCTGACCTGTCGAAGACGAGCTCTGTCGGTCTCGTGAACTATGAGACCCTTTATCAAGAAGCCTTTTGCTGGACGAAAGCGTCAGGACTGTCGGTGCTCATGGTGAGCGTCCGGCAACATGCACATCGAAGCTTCATTATTGTAGTGTGTACTTTTTTGGACCAGTTTTATTTTGTCGCCCTTTTCCAGGCTTGTGGGAGATGTGCCTACAGTGCGATACGTGATTCGAGGAGAATTCGAAGATCTTGAGCTTGCTGTGGCCCGGGTTCTGGGTGCACTGTGGCACCAGAGGGGCCACAATGCACGTGCGTCGCTGAAAATTTGGTCGCGAAAGTCGAATATAATATTCTATCGCGTTGGCTGTTCTCAACGGTCTAGAGGAAGCTGCTCTCTGTTTCAGTAGTGCTCTGATCTGTATCATACCTGGCCTTTGGTTTTATCCTTGCTACCTTTGACGACAACACTTGAGAACGCCAGGACATCATGCCGGAAGCCTTCCATCATAGACCGGGTGCATTGAAGCAGGTATGGGGAAGTCTCCTAGGTAGCATACCTCCACGACCTTATGCTGGAATCGTATAGACGAACAAAAACTTTAAGTCAAAACATGCTACTAAGTCGTCCTTAAAAGAACTGGCCAAAGGTGTGTCGACTGCCCCAATTTTACTTGCTCACATCGCATACACACCCATCGATCCTGAAGTATACCTCCTTCGCTCTCGGTAGGCAAAGTACAACGCCCGTCACCAAAAGCTTCATCAGCAAGCAATGCCGCCGCGCAATCAAAACTGAATCGACGGAACCACGCAAAACAGACTCAGAGTACAAAACGTCAAGCTCTTGTCTCTGCGACTCGAATCTTCAGCGGTGTAGATGGAGCACCACGGATCGTGGCCGTTGTGCCTCTTACAGAAGATGTGAATGCGAAGGCGGCTGCTTCTGCGCTTGCTGCATCATTAGATGTTTCTGTGGATGATATGCCAGAGCAGGGGATATGGAAGATCAAGTGCGTTTTATATTCACTAGCATGTAATCCTATTTCTTTCTGACAAAACCGGCTGACGATTTTTCGTATAGAGCAGAACGCTTCCGAACCTCCCTCCAATTCATCAACTTAGCATACCGAGACCTGTACGCCACCCTCGATGCCTGTAAAGCAGCCGACTACGTCGTCTTCATTCTCTCTCCTACCGTCGAAGTCACCCCCTGGGGCGACATGCTCCTCCGAACTCTCCAAGCTCAAGGTCTCCCCGATGTTGTCTCTGTCATTGCCCCCGGCTATCCCATCGACCCAAAAACTCGCCCGGGGATCCTCAAGTCTTTATTATCTTTCATGCAATATTTTGCGCCGGAACAGTCGAGGGTCTTTGATCTGGAGGTGGGATCGGATAGGTTGAGTGCGTTGCGGATGTTGTCGGAGGGAAAGCCGGGAGATGTGAGGTGGAGAGAGGGAAGGGCTTGGTTGTTGGGTGAGAAGGTCGAGTGGGAGGAGACGAGTGGAGAGGGAACGTTGAAGGTGACGGGTGTCGTACGCGGAGCTCAACTTTCCTCGAATCGGTTGGTCCATCTACCTAATTATGGAGACTTCCAGATATCCAGGGTAAGTCGTTTTCGCCACGTTTTCTCGACAGACTCTAACTCAAACTTAAAATTATTACACTTGAAGATCGAGTCTGCACCCTTACTCCGCCAGTCGAAGGGCCACGGTACTACGATGGACGTCGAGCCCAGCCTTTTGGCTGAGGCGAATGCCGATGATGCTGATTCCTTGGTGTCGAGCAACGATCCTGATGAGATGGAGAACGAACAGACATGGCCTACCGAGGAGGAGATGCAGGATGCTTCTCAGATGGGCGACGACCAGCCGGAAATCCCCTCGGCAAGGAATGGGACGACGCCCAAGTCCGTGAAGATTCCGAAGGGTATGAGCGCATATCAGGCCGCTTGGATCGTGGACGATGACGATGATGCGGATGGTGAGGATCGAGAGGGCGAGGGCGAGAATGGAGCCGATGAAATAATGGCTGATGAAGAGGGTGGAGAGCCGGAGGAGATGGTGGATTTTGCAGAGGTTCAGGAGATGGAATCGGAGAGTCGGAAGAGCGTCGCTTTTCAGGACTTGGACGTCGAGGAGGAGGAACGACAGTAAGCACACTGCCTCACACCCACCGCCACTTGCCTCTGACTGACCATACTATATCTCAGGCTCGAGGACTGGCGTCAGCGTAAACGAGAGGAACAAGACGATCTCGAGTTCCCTGACGAAATCGATACCCCGAAAGAGATACCGGCACGGACACGCTTCCAACGCTACAGAGGCTTGAAGTCTTTCCGAACAAGCCCATGGGATCCCTATGAGAACCTCCCTCGAGACTATGCTCGGATATTCCAGTTCGAAGACTTCAAGCGGACAGAGCGAAACATTTTCCGACGTGCTGAAGAGGAGGGTGCAGGTATCTCGGTGAGTTTTTGTGTCACGATACGATATCGTCTTTCCTGCTTGGCTTCGCCCTTTATTCATGTACGCTGATGGTTTCTCACTGACAGCCTGGAACGAGAGTGACAGTATTCTTGAAGAACTGTACAAAAGAGATGTCAGAGCACGATCCCAGTCGTCCTTTCGTGATCTTCGGCCTTTTGCAGCACGAGCACAAGAAGTCGGTCCTGAACTTCACCGTTCAGCGCAACACCGAGTACGACGGCTCCGTTCGGTCAAAAGTTTGTCTTTACCTTTTCATGACCTCATACTTCCACACTAACCGGGCACCTACGTATAGGACCCTCTCATTCTTTGTATAGGACCTCGACGCCTCCGTATAAACCCTATATATAGCCAGCACACCCGTGGCGGTGGTAAAGGCCCGAACAATGTACATAAGTTCGAGAGGTACCTTCGACATGGAAACACATCGGTTATGACGACGTATGGGCCTCTTGTCTTTGGCAAGCAGCCGTGTGCGCTGTTGAGGGAGACGTCGGATCCTCAAGGTACTTTGCTCTGCAGTCTTGACTTGTTGTGACGACTAGATGACTGAGTTTGATTTGTAGCGCCGGAACTTGTGGCGATGGGCACGTTCATGAACCCGGATACTACACGGATTGTGGCGAAGAAGATCGTCCTCTCGGGCCATCCGTTCAAAGTACACAAGAAGACCGCCACCGTCAGATACATGTTCTTCAACCAGGGTACGTATCCCCTTCCCTCGCCGTATTTATCATTCGTTATCCAACTCACATGTTCCTACTTTCTGTCCAATAGACGATGTACTCTACTTCAAGCCCATCCAGCTTCACACCAAGCACGGACGCACAGGTCACATCAAGGAGTCCCTCGGCACGCACGGATACTTCAAGGCTCACTTTGACGGCCCGATCAATCAGATGGATACGATTTGTATGAGCTTGTATAAGAGGGTGTATCCGAAGTGGGGAGAGCTATGGACTGAGAAGAGGGGTTTGGGGGCGAGCGAGGGTAGGGAGAAGGATGTGGATGCGATGGAAGAGTGAACGTGTTTGAGAGATAGTGTATGTGGACGGGGTTCGATGATTTCTGCGGTGTTCTGATATCTGTCTGTATTCGGCGCTGTTGTAGCGATAGCGGGGAAGTTGAATCGTTGTTGTATCGAAGCTTCAATGTCATCTTGTCTCTTTGACTGCGGTGTGGCGCGGATATGTGGCGCCTGGAAGTGATTATGGAGGAAACGGCGATGTTATTCCTTGGGCCTATGCGACTATCACTACAGTATGATCGTCTTGAAGACCCAATGGGCTCGAAATCCCAAACAGGGACGACTGGTCTCATTGTTCTCCAATTTACGGTATGCCATGCCCTAGCCCAGTCGTTGCCTCGTTGCGTTGCTCGCTACAGAACAAACGCACATCAAAATCCTTCAACTCGACTTCCATCATCTCGCCTCACCTCCAACGCACAACTCCGCTCTCCTTTCACCACCATCTCGGCAATCTTAAATCCTTGACTCCAACACAAGACTCATAAGAAATATGAGCATGAACGATAGGTCTGCTTCTGTGGCGGCGACTGTAGGGTCTGGGAACGATAGCGTTAGGGGTTTCGGGGAAGCAGACACCAAATTCGGTAAACCTTTGTTTCTTGCAATACTTCCCTATCCCATCCCGCTCTATTTCAACCCAAACTAATCTTCCCATCCTATGTACCACCAATCCTTCACGTCCCCTCTATGCAGACACGAGCATCACCCGCGAACGTACCGCCTCTCCAGGCGGCATGGGCATGTCCATCGACCCCGGCACCGGCAGTGGTCAAAGCTCAGCGCTGATGACCCCCATAGCCGACCCTTCTGAGCAAGGTGGCAATAATCCGAATTATCCCGCCAGTTTTGCGCGACGGTTGCCCGCGGGACAGGTGGGGACTACTTCTGGGGATCCGATGTCGCAGAAGAAGGTGAAGGAGATACAGAATTGGAGGCAGTCGCAGGTGATTCCGGAGGACTTGCAGGGGGCGTTGGGAGGTTCGACTCAGGATGGTGAGTGCTTGCTTGCTCGGAATGGGACTGTTCTTTGTGTGTGTGATTGCACAGGTGTTGAACTGAACTTGAATGTCTATCTTTGTGTGCGGGCTCTGCCGTTCCTAACTTATAAGCAGACGAGGAAGAGGACGAACTGGAGGAAGACGAAGAAGAGACAGAATCGCAGACTCAAGAAGTTCAATATCCCTCTGCTATCCCCTCCGCACGACTCGGGTCCGAAGCCCCACCTTCGCCTTTACGCCTCCTGCAGCGTCGGAATCAAATCTATCCCCATGCCAGTTCGTCTTACTTTTCTCGCCACCTGTCTTTCTTTCGCTCCCCCGTCCAGTTCTAACGTGATCGTCGCACCGTTTTCTTTGTCGTACATAGGCTCAGTGAGTCCCAACGGATCCATGCTCGTGCTCCCATACGGTCAATCCCGCTCCAACTCCGTCGAGAGCTTCTCGAGCTTCCCTTCCGGTAAGCCTCATTGACGCCATTCACAATCCCCACAAGGTTCCAACCTAACAAATATAACGCTGACCGTTCTTATTACCCCTTCACTCAACGCAACTGCTCAGCCGTCGACCAGCCAGAGTACGACAGCGATCAGAGCATGCTCGACGACCAACGTTCCTGAACGTTGAACGCGCAAAGACCTCTCCACCACTGCGCGACTTTGACTCTTATCGTTCCCGAAGTTATGAGTCTACTCTACCACCCACCGCCGTGTGAGGATGGGTGGACACGATAACGATAGGATACGAATAGTTCTGTATATCCATATCCGAGTGAACGTTGAAGCCGGCTGAAGTTTCTTTTTTGTTTGTTTGTTTGTTTGTCTGTTTGTTTTGATACACGATGATGATGATGCCGTTCTGTACGTATAACTTCACTGTTCGGGTTGACCGCTGTATGCATATATTCTTGATTTTGTTCTGTTTTGTGCCGATAAATATACGGTGTTATTCCCATATATATTGCATAGGGCCCATTGTGGTATAAGTAGCTTGGGCGAGAAAGGTGCTTGATCATGTCATGGAATAAACAGAGAGAGAACATCCATATACAGAAGCATCCAGAATAAAAATAAGATGCATACATATCAAGTCAACACAAACACAACACACACTTCCAGTCTCAACACCGACATGACCACAACTACACATTAAACCTAACAACCTGCTGCCCACCCCCCCTCTCCACCTTCAACAACCTCTTCGCAACCCCCCACCTCTGCACCACCTGCCCCGCAATCCCCACCCCACCCGTACTCACCCCCGCACTACCCAGCCCAATCCCCGCCATAGCGCCCGTGCCCACGAGCGCGATGAGCGCGTCGGCCTTCGCGCCTAAAACTTCTTTGAGCTTCGGGAAGGGGAGGGAGTAGTTCGGAGGGGAGGAGAGGAGGACGAGGAGCATGTGGGCGGTGAGGATTTGGGGGATGGAGGTTGGGCTGGTGGAGGTTGAGGGGTTGGTTAGGGAGGAGAGGGTGGAGGAGGTGGGGGAGGGTGGGGAGGGGAGTTGGGTGGAGAGGGATTGGAGGTGGGTTCTGAGGAGGGGGGAGAAGCGAATTAGTGGTGGTGGTGTGATTTGTTTGAGATTGTGAGGACGTACATGGTTTCCTTCGCCCGTGGAGGCTTATGGATTCCCTTGCCCGTAACGTCGTACGGATGTCCTGGCATGATGATATCGCCCACAGAGGCCCATATCTTTGCCTAAATGGGCAGAGAACGACCATCAGCCCCTATCTCGATGCAAAGGTAAAAGCGAGAGAATAAAAACGCACGACGATCCGCTCAACATCGCTCGTAATCTTGATCTTCAACCTCCCGCTACCACCGAGCTTCGTAGGCGTGCTCACGCTCTCCGTGAGCAGCGGTCCTTCCGCTTGTGTCGATGCAGAGGGTGGTGAGGCGTGTGCGTCTGGGTCGATCGAGATCTCGGAGACGTGGGAGGGGGTGGGTGAGGATGAGGTCGGTTCTGAGTCTTGTGAGTGTGCTGGAGCTAGTGGATATACGGAAGTAATAAGGATGTGTGGAATGGATTGGAGAGAGAAGAGAAGAAACGGACGTTTGCTGTACATGACCGTCTTCTCGTCATTCCCATCTTCTTCCTCGTCTCCTCCACGTCCATTGATCACCTCGTTCGGCGAAACCGTAGCATTCCCATCGTCTTCATCTCCATCCTCATCTTCACCCAGCACCTCCTCACCTAACCCACTTCTCGTCCTCGATCTCGACCTAGCCTTCGGGACCGGAGTGGCGAACGAGCCCGTAATATCTCCAAGCTCAGCATCCATCCTCTCGTCCGTCAGTAACGTATCGTTCATTCCGCCTTCGTTCTTGAACTGTAGAATCCGACCCGGTGCGCCTGGCGTGTTCCAGAAGGCTTCTTCTCTCGAATCGGAGGGCTTCAGGGGAGTGGTCGGTTTGGGACGAGAAGAGGAGATCGTTTTGGTGAAGGGGATACGGCCGCGTTTGCGTGTTAGGGCTTCTTTCTGTTCATACGTCCAGCAACAGTCAGTTCGCGAGCACGAGAAGACGCGTCCGAAAAGATAGTTAAAGCCACTCACGCGTGCCCTAAGCTCCTCGATCCTCGCATGCGCATCCCTGATCCTCTCCTCCTCCTCTGCCGCCATCGCCTTCGGGTCCTGCTGCTCGTGACCTCTCCCGTTTGGGTCTGCATTTTGAGCCTTCAACTTAGCCGTTGGATTCTATTCGAGCTTAACAAGGTGTGAGAAGAGGCGAGAACTGACTTGGATGAGGGCTTCGTTGAGGGAGGACATGTTTGAGCGGATGGAATGGATCTGGTCGAGGATGGCGGAGACTTGGGATTGGGCGCGGGGCATGGGGCGGATTGAGGAGCTGGATGGCGTTCAATCGTAAGGACCGAAGACATTATGAGCAAGTATAAGGGCAAGGGTGAATGAAAGGAAGGCGTACTAGCGATTGAGATACTTCAAAGCTGCCTGCGCATAGACCTCCGGCTCAAACTCCTTAGGCCGCTTGACATCGTCCCTCCTGCTCGCAGGCTGCTTCCTCAACGGCGTCGCACTAACAACATCTATCCTCGTCAACTCGGGCTGCATCACGACCGTCTGCGTCTGTCCACCGCCATCCGCGTCTCCCGCACCACCACCGCCCGTCGCCGTCGTATTTGCGGCCACGGTAGTCGTGGTGACAGACGAAGGCGCGACGACGGTGAAGAGACCGAGTTCCGAGGGGTCTGCATCGCGGATGAGATCGCCGAGGGGGGTGTGGAGGACTGCGTTGGTGAAGAGATTGCCGGTTGAGGAGGGTTGTGGAGATGTGAACGCGGCGGAGGATCGGATGGAACGGGCAAGGTTGTTGAGCCGGTCGATGTTGTCGGAGAGGGTGAGTGAGGGGCCCATCGTTGGCGTTGTGGTCAGCGTTGTGGTCGATGGTGGCGAGATAGTTCGACTTCAACTGAGAACGACGCGCTTGAGCCTGCCCTAAGGTCTGACGCCACACAACGAGTGGCCCATAACGTTCTCTCACCTTGCGCACAACCATCCCTCGAGAGATAGATGCATGGTTATCGATATGAACCCCATGACGGTCCATTCAATTGCTCATCCATGGCTATCCAGCTCCCTTAGCGAGCCTTCTCTCTGTCAGCTGCAGCATCGATGTGCTTCCTTGAGCTTGACACCCTCCGACGCTTTTACGCTCGACGACTCATCTCTGAAGCGGCCCAGAAACACCGTCACACGGTCGTCTTTTTCAAGCAGTCTGACTGGCTGGTATCGCCGCATCCGCGCAGGTCTAGACGAACCATCCAGACCCGTCGACGCCTATACGCAGTCCCCGCCCAATGAATGCATCCATGTTTCGTGATTCTACTTCGCTTTGACGTTTTGTGACAGTGTTTCCGCTATGTTCAGCCCACACGCACGGCCGATGTCGTTCGATCCGGGGTGCTCCGTGACATTCGTGTCGTTCCGAGCCCCCTTCGTTCGTGCGCGTTTCCTTCGTTCATACCTCCTCCGGGACTTATAAAGCAGTACATATGGGCATGCTGATCTGGCAAGCAATACCGCCCCTTCTAAGAAGCTTTTGCGCCCTCCGAGCATTCGCGCCCATCCTTCGAACACTAGTGCATCATGTCCGCACAAGTTCAGTAATGGATTGTTGACATTGCCCCTTCTATTCCCACTGAACTCTTTTTTTATATTTGGAACAGAGCGTCATTCCAGCGGATGTTGTCCCCCTTACTGACGAGCATCGCAAACAGATCAGCGCTTCTGCCCCTCTACTGGCGGAGCATGGACGTGCCATCACGCGTAAATTCTACTCTGTCCGTCCATCCTTCTTCACCTTCACTCTCTTCCACTCGAACCACATCGCGCAACACAAACCGACCCTCTCTCTCCTCTCCTCTCCTCTCCCATCACACTCCCATTCTCGGGCTTCTTCTCACTGAAATGGCTTCGCTCTACAGACCATGATCGCAGAGAACCCCCCTCTCCGCCACGTCTTCAGCAAATCAGCCCAAGACACAGGCCACCAAGCCGATGCGCTCGCGGGTGCTCTGTACGCCTATGCAACGAACATCAACGACCTGTCGCCGCTGATCCCCGTCGTCGTCCGTATCGCGCATAAACATGCCGCGCATGGGATTACTGGGGAGCAGTATGGGATTGTCGGGACGTATCTTATTAGGACGTTGTGTGAGTATTTTGGGGACGCGTTCACGGAGGAGTTGAAGGTTGCTTGGTATAACGTAGGTCTCTCCAGTCCACTACTGATGATTTCATACTTCCTCTATCTATCCCTACTACTTGTTCGGCATTCTCACTAATTTATATAATCCAGGCATACTGGCAGCTCGCCAAAATCTTCATCGACCAAGAAGCCAAACTATACGCGCAAGCCGCCTGGACCGGCTTCCAGGCATTCCAAGTGGCAAAGGTCGAGAAAGAGTCGGCCGTCATCTCGAGCTTTTATCTCGAGCCCGTCCATGGCTCGCAATTGTCCATGAAGCCGTTCATGCCGGGGCAGTATCTCACCGTACGGCTCTGGGTGGAGGAGATCGGGGCGTATCAGGTTCGTTGGGGCGTCTACCCTTTCCTTCCCTTTGTTTCTGTGTCTTATCGTCATCGGTCTGACTTTTCCTGCTCAATTGGTGAATGGAATACTATCCAGCTCCGACACTACTCCCTCTCCGACGCCCCAAACTCCTCCCAATACCGCATCTCAGTCAAACGCGAGCCAGGCCTATCCACATCCTCCCCCTCCAACACCTCCCACCCAGGCTTCATCTCCAACCTCCTGCACGAACAATACAAAGAAGGCTCCATAATCGAAGTCGCGCACCCTTATGGCGATTTCTTGCTCAGTACATCGTCGACGCCCACGCCCACGCCCGTCGTGTTCATCTCAGCCGGCGTCGGCGTCACGCCCCTGCTCGCCATGTTCAACTCGCTCACTGGCACCTCGTCTTCCAACGAGCGCAAAATAACGTGGATCCAGGGCTCGAGAAATAGTGCCGAACAGGCTTTCGCGGCCCATGTGCGGAATGTGGTCGGAAAGTCTGGAGGCAACGTGAAGGCCGTGTTTTTCCATAGTCGGCCGGGGGAGGGGGAGGTGCCAGTTAAGGAGGGGAACGGTGAGGGTGATTATGATTTTGCAGGACATGTGGATTTGGAGAAGGTGCCCAGGGAGGAACTGTTCCTGGGAGAGGGAGATGAGGGGGCGGAGTATTATGTTTGTGGGCCGGGGGAGGTATGTCTCTTTTCTCTTTTCTTTCGTTTCTTTGGATGGGGGAAGGGGTTCGGTGCTGATTATTTGGTTGAATGTTTTTTCGCCGATATTTTAGTTTATGGCGAGTGTGGCGAAGAAGTTGGGCGAGATGGGCGTGCAGAGTGGACGGGTGCATATGGAGGTGTTCGGGGCTGGTGGAATCTAGAAACAAAACGGGATTAGATGGTGAAGGCATTAGGTTGGGTTGTTCCTCGGGCTCTGTGCGACATTGATAATCGTCGATGTTGTACTTCTTGTGCTATTGCAATGTAATGATATGCACTGCTCATACATCACTATTTCCCTTCACTCGACCCGTGTAAGTGTTGAGATTGCACGCCACAGTCGACTGCGATTGAGTGGCACCGCGACACTGACTGAGATTTACGTCACGGTACGCGTCGAAGTTGAATGAAATCTGGACGCGCTCTTGTTCCTTCACCTTATACATATTACAAACGCATGATGGCCGATGCGCTCGCAAGACCGATAGCACCAACGAACTCAAACTCCCTATCGATGCCACCTCCCACAACTGCTCCTGCTCCTGTTCCCGCTCCTGCACCCTCCGCCGCACCGACAGAACCTCAGTCCACCACCGAGCCTGCATCGATATCCGCACCTGCGCCACTAGCACCAGAACCTACCTCCGCCCCCGCATCCACATCAGCCCTAGTGCCAACAACAGCACCAGCGCCAGCACCAACATCATCACCAACACCCGCCCCCACCCTGCTCACAACCCTCCAATCCCAAATCGACGCCCTGACAGACTTCAGCTCCCGTCTACAATCCCTGCGCGCTCTTCCCCCTCTCATCCTCCGTTCCTCCGGCCTTAGCACCAGACCGCTCAACAGCACCAGTCTATCCAACCTCTCCAACGTAAATAATGTAAATGGCGTGAATGTGAACGTTGGGGCGCCGGCTTCGGAACAGGTTCCGCTGGCGCAGACCGTGAAGAGGGTGTTGGAGGAGATGAAGAACGTGAAGGGGTCGTTGGTGGGTGGGAAGGTACAAGATGCTCTAAAAGCTGCGGAGGAGAGCGAGAAGAGGGAGGGGTTGGAGGGGATTGGGGCTGGTGTTCGGGGAAGAGGGAGGAGAGAGGTCAGGAAGAGGAGGTACGTTCGTTTTCCGTCGTATCTGAAGGTCTTACAATATTAATATATAATCACCTCTGGTCTGTCGATATCGTGCAGACGTTCCCCAACACCAGAATCCCCCCGTCCCTACCCCGCTTTCCACCCCAAACCGACCTCCGTCTTCCCCGACCTCCCACCACACTCAAAACCCCTATCCCTCTCCGCACTCCCGTCGTATATCAGGGAATTCAACGCGTCCGCCGCCTCGGGTACGGCGAGACTGCATGTATGGTACTCTTCTGACCGACTGCGGCCGGCGTCTGCTAGCGAGCTGAAGACGCCGTTGGTTTTGCGGTTCTTGATTCCGGATGTTGTGAAGGCGTATCTGACGGTTGGGATTGCGTCTGAGATTGATGAGGCGGGCGAGAGTGGGAAGGATGAGAAGAGGATGAGGATGGCTGTGAATGGGAGGACAAAAGCTATAGGAGATGGGCGAGGTGACGGGGAGGGGATGATAGTGGTGGAGAATATCACGACGTTTGGATCCAGAGAACAAGTGCGTCCATGAGCTCTCTTGGTACATCTCATCTGAACTCATTGTGATCCTCCGCACCTTCCAACAGAAACCACCACATTCACAGTCTGAATACCTCGTATTCCAGAGACTGAGCCAGCATCTACTGAGGATGGTCCAGTCGACCCCTCGCGTCCCTTTCCAAACACTTGCGGTGCGTTTCCAATTTCATTATCACCCCTCCACTCCATCAAACGTCGTTCTTTGTCCTCCTCACCCCTGTGGCCAGCCTATTCTAATTCTACCCATATATGAATTCTTGCCTTATGTGGCTCCCTCTCTATGATCGCTGACGCTGACATTCTCCTTGTTTCCCCCTGTTTGCGCGGCATCACCCCTCCGACACATTCACTTGTGATCGGCTGCATTCCTCGCCACGGTGAATCGACCCCCATTTCTACGGTCAACTGGACAACAACTTGACTGGCCCTCCCCGTCCGACCTCTCTCGCCGAATTTGACGCGCCGGGAACGCACTAACACATCTATGGATACGCCGTGCATTCGTGACGCGTTTTTTGTCTCACTTCACTAAACACTAACCGGCCGACACTAACCCGACGCGTTCTATCGACCCTCTGAATTATGTCCTCTTTCGTTCTCTTTCTCTTTCTCTGGTTTTGTTTTTTTCTGGCACGCACCCCGTGGTTGTGGTTGGGCTCGCTTTGTCCGTCGCCCTCTGCATCTGCGTCCTGTGCACCACACCACACCACACCCCAATCGGTCGTCGTGATGGCACGTCACATCATGCTGCCCTGCTCCCAATAAAAAATGAAAATGAAAACAAAAGACGATGATGGTCTCTTACCAAACCCTCTTCTCGACGCATTGCACGGTGTGTCAACGCGTGTTGTCGAGCGAGGGATATATTCCGCCTGTTGCGAGGATTTGGAGGCATGAGCAGGAGGATCCGGAGGAAGGGCAGATGCAGTTGACGGTGCAGGGGCAGGGGCAGGGCCAAGGGCAAGGGCAGGAGCTACAACCCCTTGATACGAATGGTGCGATGGGTGCGAATACGAATGAGGTGGGTGCTGGGGGTGCCGTCGCTGTTGTGGCTGCGGAGGGAGTAGCAGTGCCAGGCGGGGAGCAGCTGAGCATTGCAAGTCGCGAGGAGGGCGAGGGCACTCTGAAGGGGGGATGGGAGGCTAGGCATGTTACGTGTTTGAAATAGGAGGGGTTGTTTTTTTGGCCTCATTCGACCAGGGGAACGAACGGTGTCGTTAGGTATGTCGGTGTAATTTTACGTTTGCATAGTCTGGGGGATCATTGACGACGGGATGATTGTGTCGGTAGTTGACGTGCCATCCACATCGCGATCTTACGTTCGTGCCACAGTAGGCAGACGGTCCATGTCGGTGATGACGCGTTGACGGTGCCCTCTCGTCGAGATGTCGAGATCTTCCATTTGCGACGCTTGGCCTGCCATAGGCCGAGCCTCTGTCACATTGTGTCATTGGTTCATTGTGGTCGCGGTTGCGTCCCGTTTGTGCTACTATGTCTATTCCTGGCAAGGGCAAACACGAGACGAGATTGCTATGGAGAGATAGCCTGTGTCCGTGTACGATCCATTGGATTTACCTCTATAGCTAAATGCGTTCACGATATGCGCTCACAGGGATAGGGGCTACTTACCCATTACTCACGGGATGCCAGTGGGGTCGATTGTAGGCTCGAGTTCAGATTGTCGGGTTGGGAAAGAGGCGAAGACCTTAATTATTACGCTCTTCATGCATACAGCAAAGATAACGAAAACCCAGCGGATGTGGGCATCCTTTTCTAGTCGACCGAGCATATCGACGGGACGATATGGATAATTTCGTGGTTTCCGCAAAACTGGTCTCATGTCGATCCCCCAGTCTGTACTCGTATGTTCGTGTAGGCCGCAACCACCGCCGGCTCTTACCGCATGCCTGCTGGGAACCGATAAATCAAATGCACGGCTGCGCGTGCGGGAGCATCGACAAAATCGGCTCTGGGCATCTTGTCAACGGTCTGCTGCCAAACGCCAGACGCTTTCCGTCCGTCATTTTCGTAATCGCACGCACTTGTCAGGGCCGCCGGAATTGTGTTAGCGTTGGCCCTTCGGCTTTCCCTTAGAGGGCCTTCAACGCTGCAACTGCAGGGGTGCGGTCATGTCGGAGAAAGGCGTGACTGTTACGGCGTCCGGTGGCGTTGAGCATCTGCTGCTTCGTTGGCACACAAGCTGTTACTATGGTCTACACGAGGACGCGAAAATTCTTGGACTTCTCATGTGAGTACTAAGTCGGGTTGTGATTCGTGCCACGGCACATTGAACTTACATTCTTGTCGATTAGGTATTAGCATACAGGCATGTCTCTGTGGTGCTCTAATCATGATTATGGTCGTACATGTCAATATTTTACGCTAACGCAAGGCACGGACACACGACCCCATGACGCTAAAACGTCGACACCTTATGTTAGTAGGTACTTTTGTGAACTGTCAGACATTGGACGATCCAAGCTCGAAATGGTCGATGGTCAGACGTCTACTGGTCAAGAGCGGGGAGAAAGCTCCAAGCCACACAACGGCGAACTTTTTCCAATTCCGCTCCTTGTTCGTTCTCGGCCAATGATCCGGGAATGATTCGATCATGGAACCTGTCATCCGAAAGCGGTAAGCGTGGAGCGGTTGATCGGCGGCACGAGGCCTGCGGGTCCTGCGGCAGCACGAGAAAGAAAGAACAAGAGCCCGCCGTCTTGTTCGGATCCGACATCTCGAACGGGTCTGTCTGGCGTGTGCGATCTCGAGGTCTCGGCGGGTTGGTCGATTTGATACAGTATACTTGTGGACGATGTCGACAAAGTGACCCTCAGGCTCCCTTTCGTGGCCAACGGTCATCTGCTTTGGGCAGCGGGCACTTCACTGGACTCCAAGGAAACTATGCTAAGCGAGATCTTTTTCATGACTTGCCGGGCCTCCACCGAGCTCGCAACCTCGTAAGAGGGATCGGAAGCAGGCACTTGACTATCGCCGCATCGCTCACCCTTCCCGCTTCAGGCAGCGGAACCAAATGTAGAATACATTCTATTGGGCAACTTCGTCATCGGGCTTTGCAATCGAAACACTTTTGTCCGTCCTGACAGCCCTCTTTGTCCCACACTTTCATATTTAATTCCCTCCCAGCGAGCCTCCCCGCTTCCTCTCATCCTCTCTTCTGGCCCTCTTCCTCCTCTGCTCGCCCGCCCGCTGCATCTTACATCTCTATCGTTCCCGCCGTCTATAGCCTCAGTTACCCCACATTTGCGTTGCGAAACCCGAGCTCAGACCGACAGCGCGCTGATCGCGACTCACTCACCCCTTTCCCTCTGAATTTCCCCGGTTTCATTTGTGTCCCCCCGCGTCTCACTGCCATATTCACGCATCTCCTGTAAGTCAGCAATACACTCTCCATCCAAGCAACATATACTCACTTGCCTTCCAGCGGTTAACTTCCCCATACGACATACGACACAACCATGTCTTCCACCGATACTTACCCCTCCCACGAGCAACAAACGTTGGTGTGGCCCGAGCGTCCTGCAGGCGTAAAGTCAGAGTATGGCTTGTTTAACATCATCGATTTCATGCCCCGCGAAGGCGAAGACGGCATGGTCCTCACCGTCGAAACCATGTTCGACGTTGATCCCCACCGTCATCTATGTGTTCGCCTGATCATCGGACACATCTGCACCACCACCACAGTCCGCACCATTATCCCCCAGAGCGAACATCAAGCTGCCTTCATACGCGTCGAGTGCACCGTCCCCGACTTCAGCAAGCATCAGACACAGAACCCTTCGGTTCCGATTACTATACAGGCCATGGATGGTCAGGACCGTGTGGTAGATGGCATCACCTTTGGGAACTTCACGTACTGGCAGAATGGTGAGTTGCTTCTCTCGTGGCTCCATAAACGGGGGGTACTTACAAATGGCCTTGCTTTACAAGGGGAATCCGCGAATCTCGGGCATCCACGTAGCTTAGTTCACCCTACACCCCTTCGTCCTGGCGCCGTTCCAACCGAACCACTCTCTCTTCCCTCAAACCACAAAGCGAGCGGCCGTCATGCCCGCCGCGACCACGCGTCATCCCTCACCTCTCAGCTCCTTCGCCGTCCTGAAGGTGCCACCCCGCGGAAAGGCAAGGCCGAGAAGGCCGCCTTGCAATTCATCAACTCCGTCGAGGACATGTCCAAGGACTTCACCCCTGAAGAGTATCAGGCTGGGCGCCGCCTGGTTCGTTTCTCGCGCACGCAGGACGGCAACAAGCTCTGCGTTTCCTGTGAGGCCATCACACCAGACGACTATACTGAAGGCGACATAGTCGCTTCGTGCATTATCCGCGATAACCACGAGGAGCCCTGTGTCACTTCGGTCGATATTATCGTGCTGTTGCAACGGTTGGTACAGGACTCATTCTCTGTCGAGGAGAAGAATCGCATCAGGCGTAACCTCGAGGGATTCCATCCCGCCACCATCGCGAAGACGAAGCCGGATACGGAGGTTTTCTTCAGGAGAATCATGGACTTCCCTGAGCCGAAGCCAAGAAACATCGAGAAGGACGTCAAGGTGTTTGAGTGGACGGTTCTCCCAGCGGCGCTGGAGAAAATTATCCATAAATATGTACATACGCCCCTGGGTACATTCTTTTTCAGCCTTGACTGACCTGTTCTTTTCCAGTCTCTCTTTACCGTCCCAAAGCCCAAGATAGAACCAGCTCCCGAGCCCCAGCTTCAGTACCCGACCCAACAATCGTCTTCCGAATCCAGTTCCCCACTCTCGTACGGCATCGGACACAACGATCAGCCACCTCTTCTTCATCTCGATCCTGTGTTGATACACGCGAACAATTCGTCTGGGTCTTCGTGTTTGTCGCCCGAGTCCGCCGAGGGGTTGGACTCTCAGCACAAGCACCCATATTCCCTTCCGTCCATTCGTGGTGATGGCTATTACCCGTCTCATTACCATGATCACCAGCCGTATATCGGCCCTGGAATGGGTCCGATGTTGTCCCCTTCGTTGCGTATGTAACAGGGAAGTATGGGTGGTACTCGGTAGCGGACAGCGGACTCTTTGCCTATTCTTTTTTCTTGGTGGTCCATCTTCGGGCTTGGTGCATCATATCATCTCCTATATACTCTCTCTCTCTCTCGCCCACAGTTTCAGATTGTACACCATTCCCCTATCGCTCTGTCTATCATCTTCTATCAGTCTCTTTCAAAATCACGACCTCATATTCACGACTTTCACGCATATGCGCTCTTCGTCCTCTCTGTATATTTGTACGTTCTATCGACTCAGCAGGCTCCCATCCTAGTCTTTTTCTTGTTATTCTCTTTCTTCTGTCTCGTTCTGTCTTCCCGTGCCTCGCATTGTATATATCAGTCTCTGTGTCATAAGTCTTTTCGTCTAGTCCTGATATGAACAATCATTTCCGACCCTCATGCGTCGACCGACAACTTGAAGCTCAAGACCCTTCCCAGCGTCAACTCCACCAGCAGCGAACTCGACGGCTTATCAAGAGGATGAACAACAAGTTCGAATTTTTCATGTACACAGTCTCGGAGCAAGGAGAGATCCAATTGTACAACACTTTCTCCTTCGCGGGGTATACCAGTAAGTAGTGATCACTGAGATAAGTATCCGAAGTAAAAACGGAAACGAAACGAGCAGTAGGCAAAGAAAGATATCTGATGGCAGTAGCGTAGGTGGGAATAATCACGAAAGCGATACAATCCAAGACGAGAAGGAGAAGGAGAAACTGAGGGCGACAGCAAAGAAAGAACGGACGGAGGGTGTGATTCAGATTGTAGAGGAGAACGAGGGGCGGAAACGCGGGCTACAGCGCGGAATGAATGTAATGGAGAGATCGAGAAAGAGGCAAGGAGCGAGGGGGGAAAAAGAAGAAAGACACAGCATAGATAAGATAAGTAGGATGCAAATACAAGACGGAAGCAGGGACCCAAGCCCGCATCGCAGACAATAACCCGAGCCACAGGAAGCCAGACTTTTCACTCAACTCAATTCGACGTCTCTCTCTCCCGTCTTCCAAAGTTTAGTCTAGAGAATCGGCCCCTGATGGACCCGCCAACACTCCCGATAATAGACGCCCCTCCTGACATATTCCCGACAGAACCCACGACGTTCACGAAAGAGCCCTGTGGTGATCCACCATCTATCGACTCGTTGCCCCTCCCATTGCTGGTGCTAGCGCCACCTTCCCCTGGACCCGACGCCACGCCGTTCATCCCATGACGAGCGAGATGAGCGAGGTTCTTCTGCAGAGGTGTTTGTTTCGGCATGGACCCGTTGAGGCTAGCGTTGCTCATATTTGTTGTTCCCCCGTAAAGGGAGTGCGGAGGCGAAGTCAGTGCGGATTGGCCTAGCTGTAACGGAGGGATGACGAAAGACGGGCGATGTGTCGATGCGACGGAGGCTGTGCGCGGTAGGGAAACCGTATCGACGAAAGAAGTGGCGTAGGAGCTCGTCGGAGGTGGTAGGGGGTGGTGACTACGAGATCTGGGTGTCAGAGGAGAATCTGACTGGGCGTCGGCATTCAATCGCTGAATCTCTTCGTGGAAGTTCTTCCGGAAGAACTTCTCCAGAGTCTCGTGGAATGCCAGCATTTCAGGAGGACAGAGCTGGCCATGCAGCCGCAGGCAACTATCGATCATACGGACCTGAAGTATACATGGGCTTTATTATTTCTCGCCGAGAGCCAAGAAGAAATGTGACACTGACCTGCTCGTCGATACAACTCCTCAGCCGCTCGACCGCCTCCGCCCTGTCAGGGTATCTCAATAGATACTCCGGAGTCATGAACGCTTGCCGGTAGTTCGAGATCCCGCCATTAATAGGCGCATCCACAACACCGTTCAACGTCATCGACAGAGGATTTGTTGGCGGATTGTGGGATGTCTTCGCAAGGACTGAGTATCGGGTGTTAAGGGCAGCCAACTCCTTTGTCTTCGCCTCAATATCATGAATAGCGTTCTGGATGGGCGAGAGCTCTTGGGCATCGACGTAGACGACTTCTGAGCGCCGAAGCACGGTGGGGAACGATTCTTCCGTGGTGAAGAATATCTTCTCGACCCATGTTTCCTCGACGCCATCTCTTTCGATCTTGATGATCGGACGTGAACAGGTGAACAGGTTGATAGCACTGCGATTGAGGCCAATAATGAGCAACGGTCAGGCGTACGAGACTGCAAAAGCGAGAAATACCTGTGCTCATAGTACGTTCTGACGGCGATTGGCACACCCGGGTTCGTAAAGATGGGGAGAGTCTGGTCGGGCTCTGGAGTAACGGCGCTGCACTGGATGTATTGTTGGGTCCCGTAACGAATGTCGACAGGCGGGTCGCCGAGCGTACGAAGAAGCTGTGCTTCTGGGTGCTTGTTGAGCATGCGTTCACAGAACGCGCCGAACTTCTCCCATTCGAAACCACGGTACTGAGAGAAGTTGTTCAACAACATGCTAGGTAGATGTTTGTGGGAGCAGTCCACTTACGATAAACTGTTTGTTGCGGATGGCAGCGGGGAAAGAACTGCCGAAGAATGCCACTCGGAAGTAGTCTGCATAGTATCGCTGGTCTGTGACGATGTGTTCAAGCAATGCCGCCTGGTGCCGTAGGATCTCAGCCAAGCGTCCGCTAGAGAAGTCGCGTGTCAATTCTGAACTGCGTGGGTTCAAAAGTTTGAGAGGCCACTCACTAGTTGAAGGTAACTTCGGAGTGCTGGTACGCCAGTTCCTTACAAATCTCAATAGCGCTCTCCCATGCCTTTCCCTTGCCTGTACACCCAGTTCAGGTCGAGGAGCCATCATAAATTAGTGAAATGAACTAACCGAGATAATCCAAGATGAGCAACGACAACGTCTCCTTCCGATGAAATTGAGATTGTAGTGGCAAGCCCAGCTCTTCCATTGGGTCCACGAAGGTGTTGAGATCCCATTCATGGAGGTCCGAATGCAACTTCAGTGTTAGCGCCGCCTCGACGAAGTTTTGCGAAGCGAGGTGCATCTATGAAAAGCATCTAAGCCATAATCCTTTCTTCCGCAAAGTGAAATGAGGACATACATTGACCAGCTGATGCACATATTTGATGTAAATCTCGTTCCGGCCAACTTGACGTATAAAGTTCATCAAGCGCAGCTGTGGCACGAACGTTAGAGGAATTCAAACACAAAAGATAGTGTAGTAGAACACACCGTAGCAATAACCCGATCGTCAGCGAACTCCTCGCCATCAGGCAATGCCCTCACACTGAGAAGCAGCTCCAAGAACAGATCCACCGAATGCAAGAAGGTCGAGACTCGCTCGCGCAGCTGCTCGTCCACAGTCGACTGATCAAACAGATTACGAAGCTGTCCGACGAAGAACGCCCTGCTGATATCATCTCCCTTGCTATCCGACATGAAGAGCGAATCGAGCTTGTTGACCAGCTCGTTCTCAATCTCGTCGAAGTGCTGGTACTCTTGGTACTGAGAGATGATCATGCTGTAGAGGATGTGGACGGCATTGTTCCGGAGCTGGTCGTGGTGGCTGAGGCACAGGTTCACGACTTGGCCGACTAGGGAGCTGAGGGAGGTCTGATATGCCTATGAATTGTCACTTGTGTTAGTATGATTGTGAGCGAGAAGAAGAACGAAAAAAATGCTTACACCGTACCGCGTCACCGCTCCAGAGCTGGCCGAGACGTCTTCTGGATACCCAAGCACGTCCCAAAGCTGAAGCAAGATACCTGCTCCCTCACCGCGTATATCTCCAGCCAGACGCCATACGGCTCGTCGTTTCTAGCATACGAATGAGCATCTCCATCCCGTCACGACATCCACAGAAATAGGCTCACCTGAGGACTGAACTCCTCAATAACAAGCTGATCCGACGACAGCAGTTTCAACAGCATATGTATCCCATCCCTCCACAACTGCGCATTAAACTCCCACGAGACGTTCCTCGTCGGTATATAATCCCTCTCCAATATGATCGCCACGGCGTCCATCATCTTCGTCAGCACCTTATGCGCCAAAATATTCACATTCAGCCAGTTCCTCGGCCACGCCTCGTTGTCCAATATCGACGTCGCGACCCTGAAGAACTGCATGAGGAGGTTCGCAAAGTTCTCTCGCCCTTCGATCTCGAACGTCGATTCCAGGAAGTTGAAGAGGTGCTTCTTCGAGGCGGAAAGAACGAGGACGAGGAAGACGATGGCGATTTCGCCTTGGGCGGGACTGTAGAGGACTTGGCCGTCGGTCTGGTACGCTCCGGTGAAACCTTTTGCGCTGGTGGGGAAGTGGGCTATAAGCGAGAAGGGGTAGGATTCGGGGAAGACGACGGGGATGGGCGTGGGCGTCGTGGCGGGAGATCGTATTCGTTCGACGGCGGCGATATTATCGGCGCTCTTGAATTCACGATACGAGTCCAACAGCCTGCAGAGGAGAGAGAGAAAAAAAATCAGACTGATGATCCATGACCCTCCAATGGAGAACTTGGATTGGACTGACCTAGGAATCAACGACAACAAATACTCGATATTATCCTGCTCCTGCCTCAGCGCCAACCTATCCCCCAGAATCACCGGATCGACCAGACACTGCTGCAACTTATCCGTCATCAACGCAATAACCGTCACACAAAGCCTCACGCTCTCCAACCACGCCACCCTCGCCGCGTCCTTCACGCCCTCCGAATCGCCCGGCAACGTCTGCGTATACTCATCGAATTTGCCAAAATGCGGCTTGATCCACATCACGACGGCCTCGACGAGCAGCGATCTCGACTGTGGCGAGTCGAATAGGAAACCCTTGACGATCTGGAGATACATGATCAGTTTCCAGATCGTGATCTTTCCCTTGTTGCTGGCGATGGAAGTCGCGAAGGACGTGGCGATGCTGACGAGCTCGACCGTGCTGAAGATCTTCGCGAGTTCGGGCAGGATGGAGGTGAAGTGCTGGAGCGCGATGGTCTGCGTGCCGATGATGGAAGGAGGTGAAGTCGTGGCCATCATCCTGTTCACCTCGGACAGATGCGACCTCAACTCACGCCGGAAGTTCGACTCGAGATGGTCCGCCGTCGTCCCGCTTCCCATCCCGAGCTCCTTCTCCTTCTGCAGCTCTCTCGACCTCGCGATGAACTTGAAGATATAATGCCAAACCTTCAACGCCGCCCGAAGCGGCGACGCCGTGCCTTCGCCCGTAGGATCCGCAAGTAGTCTGTTCAAAGAATGGATGATATGCGACGACGCGGCGGCGCACGTGAAGTGCTTCTCGATGTAGATATCCAGCACAGGCTGAAAGTTGCTGAACCGTCGGTCTTGGACGATTCCTAGCACGGTGACGAACGCATTGAACACGAGATGGTCCATCTCGCCCGACGGATTGTTCTGCGAAACGAGGATATTGAAGAGCGAGTCGAAGATGTCCCTGAGGAACTTGACGATCTCGACCTCGCCCACGAACGTGAACTTCGCCAGCACGGCCGACAACATCTCCGGATCCTTGATCGACGTCCAGTTCAGCAGACTCAAGAGGTCCGGGTTCTGCGTATGTCGCGTCGAGCACAAGGAGGAGCGAATGACAATCGTATCCCGCATCGGAGGCGCGATCTTCTGCAGTTCAGACTGAGCACCACCACTGTTGCCACCACCACCAAAGACGTCCTGAGGGCCCGAAACAGGACCGAGGTACATATCGGGTGTGACCGAGCTCAGCCTATCCGCCCGATGTAGTGTAATCGTATGTATCCCATCCTCGATGAACGAGCTCCCATCCGGAAACAGCGCCAAAAAAGCGAACGCGAACGGGCGATCCATGGCCTCAGCAGCCGCCTTACTTATCGGTTTATCCTTCGTGCTCCGATAGCGGAACGTAAAGAACAGGTGCCACTGTGGCAACATCCCATCCAGAGGAAGTTTTAGCTTGACGAGCTCGCCGAACGTGGGTTGACTGTTTCGGATGAAGACCATCGAATTGAAGACGAGGATCTCGGGCTCGCCGCTCCCCGGTGAGATGACGCGGCTGACGGGTTTACCGTCTCGATCACGGACTTCGAGCGAGACTTGGATGTTGTTCGTCTGTGGGGTGGGGTTTCGAGTGAAGTTGGCGATACTGTGTCGGGCGGTGCTCGTGTGGGAGGAAGAAAAGTCGCCGCTCCAGAGCTTGATGTACAGTTCGTTCCGGACATCGCCAGGGAACACGACGTCTGGGAAGCCCAGGCGGAGAGTGAGAGGGACATCGAGGAGGAGAGAGGTGTTCTCTTTGACGATGGTCTCTGCATTGCCGTGGAAGAGCTTGACGGAGACCGCAATCATCTCAGCTCTGCAAGACCGGTGAGCAAATGCGTAATGAGTTCCACCAAGGCGAACGAAAGCACATACCTGGACGACTTCTCGAACTCCTTCGTACTTCCTGCGATGATATCCTGATGCAACATCGAAAATATCGCCTCATTCACCGGCACGAAAATCGGCATCGTATGCTCCTTCGTACTTGACACCTCACTCTGATCCGCCGCCAGCTTCGCCAACTGCGTCAACTCCAACACCGCACACCCAAACGGCCTCCTATACGTCGCCATATCGCTCACACCCGCCGCTCCGTTCCCCACAGTCCGACCAGAGAAGTTATTGTTATTGGCGAGTGTTTCGGACGACCAGCCGACAGGTGCCGAGGACTCGCGAGCTGAACCTCCTGATCCGCGACGAGGGTTGGATTCGATGGGCACGCCGCTGGACATGTTGTTGCCGAGCTTGAGGGCTCCGTTGCGAATTATGCGACAGACGAGGTAGACTGGGCTCTGGATGTCTGAGAGCGCGAGGTCTGTGAACATGGTGCGCATGCGCGTGGAGGGTTCGCGGGCGAGGACGCCGTTGTGGTTCAGGATGGCGCAGTAGTCCTCCGTGATAAAACGCGCTTCTTTCTTGTTATACAGGGAGAAGTAGAGTTCTGCGGTTTCGCCGGGGGAACATAGCGAGGCGACGAAGGCCCGTAGTTCGAGAAAGACGTGGAAGAATTTGGGCGACGAAGAGGAGGAGTTCTGGTCTTTGGACGATGGCGAGAGCAAAGCGGCGGAGGAATGGGATCCGAACGAACGTGAGTGGCCTCGTAGACGGCTGAATTCGGCGAAGGCAGAATGGGCTGGTGTAGGGAGAGGTGCGGGGCTCGCGCCGTCCATGCTGTTCGCATGTATCCTCCTTGCAGGCGTAGTTGGGAAGGGGATCGAGGTCGAGGATGCAGATTGTGACGTCGACACGTCCATGTACGCCAAACTGGCCTGCATAGCATACATCCTCACCCCACTCATCCAATTCCTCTTGTCGATCTCTCCCTCCACATCGACGGTAACGAGCCCTCCACCGGTCGGGTGCCTCACAATCACATCCAAATCCTGCGCTATATTCCCACTGACCAGACGTTGGACACAGTCCCGACGCAGATTGATCGTCTCCTCCGTACTGAGCGTCTGGGCCAAGAGCTGCCGTCGACCAAGATGAAGCGCCTCGATATGTTCCCGCACGGTCTGAAAGAGCTGATAATCCCGCCTGGCGAGATACTGAAACATGAGTATATGCCACTCCCTCAACGCGGACGCAATCTCGTCCACGATAGGCTGCGCGGCCCCCGACGCTGTATCATCTCCCGACTTGAGCGAAGGCCTCGGCGGCAAGAGCTTCATCACCTGCGACTCGGTCGGCGAGACCGAACGAATGCTAGCAGGATACACCGGTAGTCCCGCACGCGAAGAGTTGGCCTGGTCCGGTGGAGGACCCAGCTTGAACGACTTTCGTTTCGCCATCGCATCGTCTTCGTCTTCTTCTCTCAGCGCGTCCATACCCAAGCCCGTCGGACCTGCCCTCGCTCCCTCCGTCTTTGAGATGTCGGTCCCGCTGTTGAATGCGGAAGCGATGCTGGCGAGACGGCTCTCGGCGTCGGGAAGCTCGTCACGGACATAGATGTGGGATGCGGGGAAGATGCCTATGAAGACTTGTTGGGGTTCTTCGACTTTGGGTGTCTTGGAGGATGAGGGGTCGGAGGGTGCGTTCCAAGTTACGGGTGGTCTTCGAGTGGTGCATACGACATACCTGTATCCCAATGTATTTCGTGTTTCGCAAAGGCACACACGTAGAATCACATCAACAAACCAGCTGAAAGTATGAAATGAACAAGAATAAGTCACAACGCACCCTCTATACCAAATCCCCTCCGTCTCCTTCCCCTTCGGCGTATACTTCTCAAACGCGTAAACCTCGTCTCCGACCTCCAACGAGACGACATCCCTATGGACCAACGACTCCGCCGTGCTCGTCGTCGTGATCGTCGAATTACGCGGCCGACTCGAAATCCGAGTATCCCTATGCGAAGGCGAGAGCGGATGGACGGCATAACCGTATACGATAGCGGGTAGAGGCTCCCAAGCGCCCCTTCGTCCAGGAGCCGGACTCGGGCTCGGAGCCATGTGTCCGTTCGTTTAAGGTCTGCGAGTGGAGTGAGGGATCGAGATTGGGTGTGTGGGGGTGGGCTGCTTGATGACCTAAAGCAGGTTCGAGCTGGAGGTGTTGGTCGACTTGGGTGTGTTGTGGGTGTGGGTGTAAAGGATGGTTATGGGTTGTGTGGCCTGCCGGACACGAGGTCGTCGGCGTCTGTTGGTTCGACGGTCAGCTCGGCGCTTTGAAGCGCGAGCTCGACGATGCGGAGGCTAATGGCGGCGACGCGCCGGAAGGTGATGATGCGGTTGATGCTCTTTGCGTGCTGACCCTTGTTTTCTGTCGTGGATCCTGCCGCTGATGCTGATTCTGCACACCGCACTTCATAATCTCGTATACTCCATTTCAAACAGTACGAAATTACAATATAAAAGATACATGTATGAAGTATCCAGCACAAACAGCTAGAGTGCTATGGTCCACCGTCAGTCAGTCGCCACAAAGGACCCACAACATCACATATCGGGATCCGCGAAGATGCGAGAACATAAAACCCTTGATGTCCATCTCCGTCTCGTATTCCTGTCCTGCCTTCGAATATCCCTGAGGATCCTGTACCAAACCTCGCCATCCTGGACCTACGAAACGCACCGAAAGGAATCTCGTCAGCATAATCCTCCAAAAATGCCATAACGCACGAGTGGAAAAAGGGACGGAAAGGAAAGGGATCAGAGGACATAGGTTAGAATTTATATATGACTCCGCATCGTGCTTCGCACTCAGACAGCAGTTGGATATATAGAGTTGCATCTTCTCGAACGAACAAGACAAAAACTGACGCTCACCTGTCGTATGCCATATCAACATACAGCACTTTAGCATCAGCATACAGCAGTTCAGCATCACATCATGAAGTCCACCGGGGATTGATGTCGATGATATCCTGCACGGAAGAACGAGGACGGGAACGAGGAAGAGATGAGCATGAGCATGACGCCACACTGCTTCTGTGTTTAGGGCAGGCTCGAACGCGTAGCCTCTGAATCCTGTGGCGGCGCTGCAAACACTCACAGTCTCAAACGGCAGCTGCAGCATACGAGGGGTATTGTAGGTATCGGAATCGATTAATAAGAAAAACAAAAAGCGTGCATGGTAAGGATAACCGCCAACAAGACTCTGCAAATTAAAATACACGAAAGAAAACAAGCACCCGCCGCCGCCTACTCTTTCCACGAAGGTCCGATGTATGTGTATTATCCTCCCAACCCTCAACTCTCACCTCTCCAGCCTAAAGCCTGATCCTGATCCTGATCGTCCGTGTCTCCCTAGTACTAGTCTAATCCATCCGTAACCGCAACAACCAACAACAACAAGTGTAGATAGTGGTACCAACTAGATAATATCAATGATAGATAGACGGCATACATGACTCAATATGTTTCGCGCCTCTGCCTCTACCTCTGCCTCTGTCTCCGTCTTTATCGAGGCTGAACCGTTCACAATTCACATGCAAACAAAACAACTATGCGAGGATCAAACGACCGCCGAGCAATGTTGTCAGACCCGCAAGACAGAGCGCGAGGGATAAAGGTCCCGGGCTCGAGATCGTCGAAATAGCTCCAGCTGTCGTGTTGATTGTTGATAAAGAAAGACAAAACGAGATCCATGAGTACAAAGCCAAGCGACGAGGAAAGGAGAAGAGAAGAGAAGAGAACGTACAGGTACCAGTGCCCGAAGGAACGGGGACGCCTGTATTCGAAAAGGTAGCTGATCCAGTCGCGCCACCTAATTAACACAACACCAGCAGAAAAAAGAGTAGTCAGCACTCAATTTCCTGACATAGAAAGCAGGAAGACGGAAACAATCAAGGAGAAGTAGGTCAAATGCGCACTCGAGCTGAGGCCCGATGACAGCGTGCTACTCGGTGGACGCAGACTTGGTGTCGCCCCAAAAGACGTGATCGCCGACGACTTGGCCGGAGACGTAGACGTTGCGCCTGTCCCTACAGACCGCGGGTATATCGTTTGTTAGGTGAGGAGACAGTGTCTCAATCACAAAACAAGCCGGATCAAAGGGAAGCGGCACGAAAAACCCGAAAGGAAAAAAAAAAGGGGATAGAGAAGAAGAAGAAGAAGAAGAAGAAGAGACAAAAATAGGAATACAGAGGAAACTTGCGAACCTGTGGCGTCCGACCCACCAGCCACGCTCGACAACTGCGCAAACCCAACCGAAGCAGGATTCTGGCGGAACACGGCGTAGACGTTCTTCTACTCGAAAGGAAACCGCTGAATCAGTACGACCGTCCATCATGCCCATCCACTCAGTAAACAAGACAAACGAAACGCACCAAGAAGGTGTCTCCGACGATCCAGCTGGGTACCGAGCTGTCGCTACCGATGTTCGTGCCCTGTGAGATATCAAAGATACCACCGAGACATTGAGACTTAGAGACAGTGCCGAGGTTCATATCGTCTGGGTTGATCGACCATGACTGTCCACCGAACGAGAACGCGACGGAAACGTTGGTGTTGCAAGCTGTTCGCCACCAAACCACAAATTGCCCCATAAATCGTCAGAGGCTAACATCGATACGTAAAGGTGAACGCACGATAGGAGAAGAACCCTGCCATTTGCCCCGAAAGCGCCTGCGATCCCTCGACTTGGGACCAGATGTTAGCAACGGCGTCCGAAGGCCCAGCGATGAGGGTGGTCCCAGTATCAATGGCCGCCAACGCCTCGCTACTGCTGGGGGTGACGGTGTTCCCATTCACGGTAATCGCTATTCGGGACAAAGAAACGAGGCCATTCATCAGTTCTCCACCGTCGTCATGCATCCGCATCCTATTTTTATCGACGAACCAGAAATACTCTGCAGCCAATAGCTGGCTGTCGAACCGCTGGGGAAGTCCTGGAAGTCGATGTCGCCGGAGAACAAGGTGGAGTTGGTGCCTCCGAAGGTCAAGATTCCTCCGGGCTCTTCGTCGGTGGCCTGAGCGTCGTCCAAGAATCGCGTGAGGAAGACGGACATTTCTGGGCTCGAGAATTGGTTGTTGTTGATGAGAGCCTGCCAGAACGGGACGGCGCCGGTGGACGCGATCGTTTGGAATGCGAGGCCCATGATACCGGCGATGGAGCCGTCAACGAGACCCGATGTCATTTGGTCCACGACAACTAAGAGAACACGACCGCGAGGAGAGGACCAAACACAGGGCCCATTGAGACTTGAGAAATTCAAGGCACGGCCAAGACAAAAAGGCCAAGACAATAGAGACGTACGCATCGTTTGGTCCGAGACAGTGAAGTCACCCATACTGACAGTATCCTGCGCGAGAGTACCTATCACGGAACCCGAACCATAGTTGATCTGTACTTGGTTGGAGGACGTTTGAATGGATGACGAGGCAGACGTGTCGAATTCTGGAGTGCCATTGGGACACTGCGTGCATTGTGAACCAGCGAGCCACAAGTCGGATGAGCCTGATGGAGGATGAGTGATGTGAATCATTTCGGGGCAATCACATCACGGAAAAGGTCATGATCGTAGCCGGAGGCAACATACCAGTGTCGAGTACGACGTCAAAGCTCTGCGATGGGGTTCCAATGTTGATGGTGCCGAAGTAGCTTGTATCTGCACCCTAGACCGCGAAAATCATGAATTCTGGGGAAGGACGCGACGGAATGCGGGGAACTCGGAGGGCATACCTGATTCGTTATTGCGAAGCCAGTCGAGCTCTGTCTCCTCTGGAACTCAGCGGTAGAAATAAAGCCGTATTTCTGGCGAATAAAGTCAGCAGCCTTGGAGAAGCGGTCCATGGTGACTGTCGAGTTTGTCGACCTCCTAGTGGAGGCTCGTCTCGTGAGAGGAACATGGAGAGGCGTGTTGAAGGGCGACGGCGCAGCCGACGAGAGAGCAGAGAATGCGGTGAGAGCGACGAGGAGCGCGTTGACGGAGAGCATCATGACGAGAACTAGAACAAAAGAGCGAGATTAAACAAAGAGAAAGCGAGAGACGAGTGTGGGGACCGTGGGGGAAGAAGGAGACCTGCTGGAGAGAAAGCGGCGGCGCCGGTCAGCCTTGTACATCAAAGGGGGCATAACGCAAACCCTAACCCCAAGGAGATGATCCGCTTGGCGGCTATTCCTGGTCCCTAATTAGGGAGCAGGTCTTCACCAAAGTCGTCCTCTTCACCAGATTTCCTTTTTGGGGGACGTATGACTCCTTTCAGTATATAACTCCCATGATCACGCGCTCTTATTGCCCATGCGCTGTCCGTCGTCGCAGTTCTCCTTTGGGCACTGCTCGCACGTGTTCTTCTTTTCCCTGCTCGCTGCATACCGCGCTCCTTCCCTTTTCGGACGCATTCGTTTCGCCCACGTGTGCGTAGTTTGCCCCCTCGCTGCATACCGTGCTCCTTCTCTTTTGGGACGCAATTAATTCGCCCCTGTGTGCTTAGATGGCCTGCTCGCTGCATACGGCCGTCCTTCTCTTTTGGGCCGCGATTTCATCGCCTTCTGCTCGCTGTTGCTTTCCTTCTTTGTGCTCTGATCGTGTGCTCTCGCTCCAGGTCAGCTCTCGTGTTTGTGCTGCTCTTTCGTCGTCGCTGTTTCCTATTGGCTCTACGCAGTATGTTAGTATGGAATTGTATTTTTGTTCCTCACGTATGTATCGTGTAATACACCCCTTTTGGTGCCCCCACTCGCGGCAGTGTCTCGTCTCTCCGTTCGTCAGGTTCGTGTTCTGGCTACAACGTTTCGTCGTGTTCTGTTCTCTTTCAAGCGGCGTTGTTATACTACGGGGTTTACTACGGGGTTCGATTTTGCTCTGCAAGTTCGGCCGCTCAACTCTCGACACCTGCCCAATTACCGGTCGATGTCCTTCGTGTTATATGTTGATCACGCGGCTTACTGTGTCCTGCACAGAATGGCTTCGCGTTAATTTGGTGGCGGATGTTATCGGTTGCCGCTCGGTTGAAGACCAAACTATCCGTGAACTATCGGCCCTACGTCTGCGTTTTTCCGGGCCGTGCAGTTCTTGGCCTGATCGTTCCGTGTTCTGCATTCTTTGGCCGTGCAGTTGTGGGCCTGATCGAGTCATGTTCCGCTCGTGCGGCGCGAGCGGAGACTCCAAACCATTTCGCGATCGCCACTGTAGTGATCCCTACGGGTATTGGTATCGTCAACCCACTGTGGGGAGGGATCTGCAAAGGCAGCAATCATGCTTCAGTACGGTGAGATGACCAACAATACTGATGTTTGTCACATCTCTTTTGGAAGATTTCATCACGCTGGTTGAGGTCAAAGGTTATCTTGTGGGCCGCCTACTTGGCGCGGTGCCTTATGGCGATCATTATCCCGCGTGATATACCATGCTCACGTCATCTCAGTTACAAGGTTGTTCTCGTATTCCCACGATGCCGTTCATTTTCTTGTACTGAGGGCGGTTTCTGCACAGTTTCGCCCTACCCCCGCTGTCTTTCTCGCCCCGTCCTCTACCACATTGAACGACTCGCGGAACACCCGCCATGAAGCGCACTCGCTCGTCCTCTCCGGGTTATCGTCGCGTCCGCGAGTTTTGTTTACCTCGTTCGTCTTTGCTATTGTGCGAAGAACTAGCCTCTTGTGGATGTTCTCCAGGTATGGGCCGCTGCACGTTCGTTCACCGTAGATCCTCATTTTTGTATGGCAGAGTTTCATCAGCATGGATTGTCTACCCTTAACACGAACACTCTGTTGAGTGCCATCGAAGCCTCTCGTCTTTCACGGGGGGAAACCACCTTTGGCTGTGTCTCATGTGGTGCGTACTATCTCCATCGCCACTCTGTATGTCTCTGATGCCGAACCTACAACTGTAGGCCGTCGATGTTCATGTTTCTCTTCCGATCCCGCCTTTGAATCATGCGCTGTCCACGCAGAAACATACAGTAAGCTTTGGCGTGGCTTGTACAAGTTTCCCGCTCACTATTATCTAGCTGTGGTGACGTCGCCTTGCCTCTCAAAGCTTCAATGTGGTGTGTTTTTCTGTCTCTTCCCGATATATGATCTTGCCCTCAACGACATTTATAGACTATCCCGTAGACGTCGCTGTTGCGGCTTCGGGTCCATCCAGTCCTTCTTTTTGTGCGTTCCTTTCCTCGCGTTCTATGTCATTCTCTCATTGCTCTCTCGACAGCGGACACGCACGACTGCTCCGGTGAGTCATGTTTGTTCGTGGAACGCTTCCGCACATGCTGACTTCTTCATAGCGTGGCGCCTCAGGGGTGGTAATCGCAGTTATTGCTCGGAGTCGCTTCGAGATTCTTTGTCTCCCGAACCATCTCTCATCAGCTACAACTGCGAGTTGTGTGCCGAAGGAATTATGGAGGCCAATCAGCTTTCGGTCTCTACAGACGAAATGAACCTCCGCTGGGCGTTGGCGTATGTCGGTCCGTCTCGCCATGCGCGGGATTGGGCCACAGAACGTTTAGGACGTTTTAAAGTCGTTGTCGTACCGAACGTCTCCGTTTTGTTAGCATGGAACTTTATACAAAGAGCGTCAGTCAAGGACGTAGCTATCGCACACAATGTACGTGTGGCGAAACGTGATACCCGTGACTCGTTGATTCGTAAAATGAGGGGGCATACCTGTCACTCGTCTTGCGCCGATCTTGTCTATGTCTTTCGTGAGTTGGCGCATGAACGGAAAACTAATGTCACCATTCGTGCGGCCGCGAGAGCGGCTATGTTGCTCAATGGGACAGTTTCTGCTCCGCCTATAGACCCCATGCGTGATATGATGCACACATTTCGTGTGGAACCGGTGATTAATGTTGCAGATGGCAACCCTGCAGGTTTATTGATAGACGATCATCACGAACCGTATGCTGCATTTCCCGAGATGGCCTCGTCGGACCTTAAGCGGAGCATCGTACGGGATTTTCAGGACACCATGGACCCAGAGCTTTTTGTCTGGAAGTGTTGCGCTGTATGCGGCCAGAGAAAATTCAGTCATGAACTGGCACTATATGATCCCGAGGAACTCGATCTTGACATTCTTCGAAACGATAATATACCGTCACATCTATGGCCCACCTCTTATGCTTTTCGACTCTACGGTAGAGCTTTTTTGGACCCGGCTGGTATGGCAGACGTAAACCGCCTTGCGTCTTTATCTATTTGTGACACATGTTCATCTGACTTGGACCAGGGGAGGCAACCGCCGGATTCCATCGCAAACTTTCATTATTTCGCCTATGATTTGTTACCTCCTGACGTCCGTCAGGCCTTTGCGGACAGTACTGCTGTAGAACGCATGGTCATTGCTGCTTGTAGAACCACGCAGTTATCTTTCACCTATACCAAGGAAAAGACCAAAAGTACAGTCCGTGGACCTTTTCAACGCTACGTTAAAGGGAATGTGGCGATTATCCCGCAAGACATCGGCACTTTAAACAGTCTTCTCCCTTCTTCACCCGACGACGGTGACTACTCTGTTTGTGTTCTTTTTGTTGGCCAGGACACCGCTCCTTCTATGGATACGATACGGAAGATGCACCCACTGCTCGTCAATAAGGATCGTGTCTCGCTTTTGTTGCGGTTTCTCGTCGCTAATAATAAGTGGTATCGAGACGCGAATATATCCTTCAGCGAGGATCGTCTCGATGTGTTGTGTTCCGGTCCTGGATTTGACCACTTCAGTCGTGTCGGCGTTCCTACGTCGCTTGTTGAGATTCAGTACCTTCCTGACTCCGACTCTGTTGCTGAAGCCGTAAATTCCGGCCCTGTTGACTTCACCACAGCCGACCTTCTAGTTCCAGATGGGCAGACTTTACTACAGGTGTCAGGTTTTACGGGCTCAGGCCAAGGAGCCGTTGCGGAAACCACTCTCAAGGCGCGTGCACTACAATGGTGCTTAGATCACAAACCCTTTTTGTCTGTTCGTTCTGGTAACCGTCTGTTTCCCGAGAGAGATCCTCGAATGTTAAGTTTTGCCTTTCCTCATCTCGACCCCTGGGGTATTGGTGGTTTTAATAATCCACTGCGGCATGGTCGGCAACAGATCAGCATGGGCCGGCAGGTCAAAAATCTTATAAATAAGTTTGAGGGGCAATTTAAAACTGATCCTCAGTTTGCCTATGTCTGTTTTAATGCCATTCAAAAACTCGATTCGTACCGCAGCGTCCAGTTCCGTGTCAAAGCACCAGAATTGACGGCGTTAACTACCGAGATAGCAGACAATCGGGCTCTGTTAGAAGATATGGCAACACGATGGGCGGACGACCCTAGCGCTAAACCTTCATCTCGTGGAGAGAAACGCATGGCCGCTCTCATAAGGAGGCTGGAGGTCATCATGAAAGATATTCATGGGTCTAACGGACGGAAGGTCGTGTTGCGGAACGAGATCCGCGCTATGCTCAAGAGTATTGGATGTCCTGCCCTCTTTCTAACACTTAACCCTGCTGACCTTCATAGCAAATTGTTTCATGTACTGGCTGGAGGCGACCCAGACGAGTTTGCTAACTTAAATGAGTGGGAGCGTGCACGTAATGTCGCCGACAACCCAGATGCCGCTGCAATCTTTTTCCACATGATGATCGAGTCTTTTACAAAGCATGTTTTGCGCTATGGAACGGGCGATAGTGGTCTATTTGGCGTATGCAGTGCATACTACGGAACAGTGGAGGCTCAAGGGAGAGGTTCTCTTCATTGTCATATGTTGATATGGATACGGGGAAATCTCAATCCTCAAAAGCTTCGTGATCGCCTTGTGTCTGACCCGGAGTTTCAAACTGCTATGTTCGGGTGGCTGGAATCGATCATAAAGTGTGAACCTCCTGATATGGAACCGCCCCAAGATCCACCTGCCAACACTAACTTCGTGAAGCCAGTCCGTGATGTTGATGTGCGGACGTCAGATCATCCGTGGCTGGAAGAAGGTCTTGAAGATAGTGAAGCATGGGATAGAAACTATCTCGAGTTCGTCAAGGAGATGGCGTTCGCTAGTAATTGGCATGATCACAAAGAAACGTGTTGGAAATATCTTAAACCACATGAGCCGCGAGATGACGCTCACTGTCGCATGCGAATGGACGGAAAAACACGCAGCACGACCTGTTTGGATCCCGAGGCGTCCTCCATTTTATTACGCAGGTGGCATCCCCGGATCAACAATTATAATGATCTCGTCTTATTTCTGTATAAATGCAATATGGATATTAAGTTCATTGGATCTGGTGAAGCAGCGAAAGCGTTGATTTATTATGTTACAGATTACATCACGAAGTCTGCATTGCCTCTACATCTTGCGTTGCAGGCTTTGTGTTGGGCTGCTAAGCAAAACGAAGCTAAGTTCAATAACGATGACGATGCTACAGTAGATGTTGTACAGAAGAGCTTGATGGTTAAGGCTGTGAATTCAATGATGGCGAGACAGGAACTATCTCATCAGCAGGTCATGAGTTGGCTCGTGGGAGGAGGTGATCGCTATTGTAGTCACTCGTTCAAGACACTTTTCTTCCCGGAGTTTGATAAATTTATCGCAAGTTTGGAAAACCCCGAGTCCCAGACTGCGCCTTCCACCATGGATGAGGATTTGTTTGGGCCCGATAATGCAGCCAGCGATCATATGGACGCCGCTGGACAGACTCTTTCCGACTCTATTGAGCTCTCAGATGGCGACGACCTCGACGAGGAAGATATGGATGATGAAGAGGATGTCAGGGTGGTGGAAGACGTTTTATCCTCAGACAATCAGGGGCGATTGAATTTACAAGTCAAGCGCGGAAACATTACACAGCCTACGACACTGCTTCAAAACTATTCCATGAGGGGGAGCACTCCAGTATTTGATCGTCTCGCACTGTGGGATCATGTTGCACTGGTCGAAGAAGTGTTAATTAACTCGGACAAATTATCTTCTAGCAACAACATGCGTAGCGCAGGCGTACGTGTGCCATATTTAAGTCAACATCCTCATTATAAAACACATGTCAGCCGTCTTCGTACTCGTGTACGCGTTCTGCCCAACTTCATCGGCTCACGGCTGCCTCGTCGTGGACGCTCTACGCTTGAGGACGAAAGATATTTTAGAGCAATGCTGATCTTGTTCAAACCATGGCGCACGCTCGCTGATTTAAAGGACGATGGTGTCTCGTGGGGTCAGGCGTTCGAGGCGTACACGTTTCCAAGTCATCTTGCCTTTGTTATCGAAAACATTCACCTTGAAGACGAATGTAGGGACGCCCGCGACGAGCACGAGAAGAACAGGAGACGTGGTAAAGCAGGCGCGCTTATTGAGTGCGAAGACGGTTCGTGGGCCAGGCCAGACACTTCTGACGATGCATTGGAATTTGAGCTTTACCGAGACCCAAATCTAGAGTCTATCTATGTGACCGGCGAGGGAGGATACGACGATGGTCAACCCAGCGCTAGTCCTGAACAGATGCGGAGAGAATATCGTGTGAAAGAAACATTGCGCACCCTTGCAGAGTGCGGCGTAATCGACGGAGTTAGCGTTGCTACTTGCGCTCCTCCCCCAGCCGCCTCGCAGTTACCTGCGTTATACCCTGAGAGTACAATCGAGCATCAGCGCATCCTTATGGATAAATATAGGAAAGACAAAAGACCTCGCCCCGACGCCAATGGACGAGAACCCCGCATCCCCGTTCCTGATTCGAGCACGGCGCCTCCTTCTGTAACAATCGATACGATAACGGGTAGCAATTTATCTTGGAGGCCCTCCTCGGATTCACCAGCAGATATCGAAGCTGCCAGAGAAACTGCGGATAACATAATAAAGTCAGTTTTAAAAGATATGGGTGTTTGGGGAAATGTCGAACAGAGCGTAGCAGTGGCATTAGTGGGAGATCACCTGACCCGTTGTACCGCAGAGCAATTGACAATGTACGTCGCCGGTGAGGGAGGAACTGGAAAAAGTCATGTTATTAGATGCATCGTGGAACTATTCCGTCGCTGTGGCGTACGTGCTCGCTTACTACTCAGCGCACCTACGGGTATAGCATCTGTTTTGATTGAAGGGTATACAGTACACGCCCTTACTTTTTTGCCAAAGAGTAAATGGGCTTACAATGCTGAGGCGTTACATGACATCTGGAAGGATGTTGACTACTTGATTGTTGATGAGGTTTCTATGATTTCCGCTCTCTTCATGGCCCAAGCATCTGAACGTGTGCGCATCGGTAAAGCATCGGCTGCTGTCCCTGGTCGTCCATTTGGCGGGGTTAACGTCATATTTATGGGCGATTTTGGTCAGCTTAAGCCAGTGGGTCAGAAGAGTTTGTTCTCCGACGATCTTGTTCGTAGAGTTGGCGACTCTTTTGGACAAACCGTCGATGGTCAGCTCTCTATACATGGAGCTAGCATTTGGCGGCAAATAAATTCGGTGGTGAAACTAGAAAAGAACTGGCGTCAGGATGCCGACCCTGTGTACGCAGCGCTAGTTGGTCGTATCCGTCTGGGTCAAGGGACTGTACGCCGCCGTGAACATGGAACAAAATCTGACTATGAAATATTGTCAGATAGGCAGCTGAATGTGTTGAATAGTAAACGTGAGGAGCCTGAAATATTATCTGATCTGATCAACTTACAAGACTGTCCCATCGTTGTTGCAGACAAACAGCTCAGGGACGCTATCAACAATGCGGTTGTGCACAAGAGAGCGAGGGATCGTAACGCACCAGTGCACTATTACATGGCGGCTGATCGACGGAGTCGAAAAGATGTAGTTTCTCCTGTTCGCGAGGCATTGTGGGGAGTACGCTCGAGTGTTACGAAGGATTCTCTCGGAGCTCTACCACTGTTCGAGGGGATGCGTGTAATGTTCACCGAGAACTTGGACATCGGTCATCGAACCGTGAACGGCGCGGAAGGGACTGTGACCCACGTCAAATATAGGACGACAGAGGATGGACATAGAATAGCTACTGTGGTGTACGTCCATGTTCCTGGTAGTGGGATGGATCTATCTGCACTGGGAGTCCCTCTCGATGTCGTTCCAGTGTTTCCCACACGTTCGTACTGGGCATATACCGGCGCTAATGGAACTGAGTTTAATATTAGCCGCTTGCAGCTCCCTTTGCTACCTGCCTACGCGTACACTGATTATAAGAGCCAAGGGAGGTCTCTCACTACCGTCATCGCCGACATCGCGGCCTGCAGGAGCTCACAGAGCTTGTATGTCATGCTCTCCAGAGTAAGAACGTTGGGCGGGCTCGGAATCTTGCGGCCGTTTCCGCCAGATAAGATAACTGCTGGGCTTTCCCACGACTTGCGAGACGAGTTGAACCGCTTAGACCGTCTGTCGCGCCGCACCATCAACACATTTCTTGCCCGTCGAGGACAACTTTTCGAAGACAGAGATCTCCTCTAGGTTATTTGTCTCGCATTGTTATTCACCCCTTCATCTATTTTTACTGATTCTCTCCTCACAGACGATTATGCGCTTTCCTCCAGAGATATGGAGTATGATCCTGCATGAATGCGCGTTCGACAGTCTCGGTCGACTTGCTCTACTCTCGAAGACGATGCGTGTCTTGGTTCTCGAGCAGACCATCAGAGACTTTCACAGTCGTCTCGCGCAATGGTTCGACAACGTTCACACCCTTCTCGCCGCAATGCGTTTATGCAACGCCGCGATCTTTGGGTCCTGGGCAATTTGGTTCGCCACGAAGGCCGACGACTGGTCGCCATACAGTCTTGGTTTCATCGTACCTTTCAACAAAGTGTTGATACGCTACCTCCAGGAATACTTCCTCGACAACGGATATGTCCGTGAAGACATCACTCGCTCTCCTCAAAGCCTATGTGAACTCCACGGACCTTATCGCCAGCGGTGGCACTTCATCCATCCACGGAGAGGCACTCGAGTCCACATACTCCGCTGTACCATAAACTCCCCCGTTTGGGCTGTATCGACAATGGCATCATCACTATCATTTCTCTACTTTACCGCCAACACTTTCTTCTGCGCGTATCCCCAACTGCTGTCGCCCCGTGTCATTCTGCTCTCGCCTGCAGCGCGAAAACAACAAGTTCTCGAGTATCTCTACTCGAAGTGGTTACCCCGGCGGTATACGATCGGAAGCAAGCATCCTCTGGTTTTGAAACGGTTGGAGTCGGTGGGGGGCATTGCCGCGATAGAGAAGGACGAACGTTCGCATGGTGACGGAGGGTGTTTGTGGATTCCGATGACGGTGGATATTTTCAAGAAACCGGAAGAAGCGGAGGGTGGTTGGATGGCAGCCGCTATCAAGACACTGGCCCTTCGTGAATTTACGTGGCGGTGGCGGACTGTTACAGATGATCGTTCGCATTCCATCGCTCCCGTTGCAAGTTGATTTTTTTTCGTGATATTTAGTTATGTAATTTTTTGGATCCACGCCGTTGTCGAGTCTTGCACCGGCCTTCCTTTTTTGATTCGCACACAATCGTCGTCGTGGTTCACCACTTCTCATATTGACATGTTCACTCCGTACACTCTATAAGCACTACATTGCGATGTCCCTCAAACCCGACTTATCCGTCTCAATCACTGTCTATCCGTGCGCAAATCATTCCACGTTCGATGGCGATACCGCTGGGTCTCCGAAGACATTCTCTTCATCAAACTTCAACTTCTCTTCTGCGACGACGGCCGGACGAGCAGGGATCGCGGTTGGTTTTGACAGCGGCCCCGTTATCTATGTGGCGATGATAAGTTGAGCCAGATGAGCGTGGAAACTCTGATGGTGCGCACCTTCGCCAGCTCCTCTCCCTTCATCAGGCGAACGATTTGTGACGGAGAAATATGGACCGTTACAGTCTTCGACGCTGCGCCGACAGGTTGCCTGTCTCTCCTGGATGTGGTGATTATCTCGAACGTCGCTTGTATGTCAACGAAATCGCCATCGTTGAAGATAAGTGGATCACACGCAACGATACTGCCGGCATCCGTCTTGCGGCCGAACTGGATGCCATCCGCCATCCGCCATTTCTTGAAGAGCTCCTGGAGTTTCGAGTCGCTCGCAGGCATAGCCTCTTGTCTAAACGAAGAGCGCGCCGCCCCAGAACGATCCACCTGCACATGTGAGCTTTCGCACCGTCAGGGTGTTGTATGACGCTCACCTTCTCAAACACCCTTCTCTGAAGAAATAGGTCTTGCTTTTCGTGCCGGCGGTTCTCTCGGAATCCGGAGAGGTGCTTAAAAACTAAGCGTTTGACGTCCTCCACCGCCGCTACCTGGTCATTGTACTGCGTGGAGAATGGACCTGGCTCCAAGGTAGCAAAGAAGGTGGCCTTGTGGGCGGTATGTTCGTCCCTACATATCATGTTAGTCAATGACTGCAGAGCTATTTGTCTCTCATAGGTGAATCATTTGTTACGCACCCACTCCAGTTGCCGTACTGAAGGAAATTATGACGTCCTAATACTCCGAAAAGTCGAATGGAGACCCTGCTGAAAGACGAGAGCTGTCGTGCGTCGGCGCTACCTGTCTTGTACACTAACTCATGGGAGCGAGAGGGATCTCCAGACGCGACGTCGATGACTGTGGCCCAATCGAACAAGGCATCCTGGGAGGTCGGCTTCACCTGGCGTGTCGACATTTCGCTAAACTCGGTAGGTTCTTTCTTGGATCGCGCGATGTTGTTGGGAAACGAATCGCGGACGAGTCCGTACTCGTTGGAGCCTGTGGCCATGATGGTGTCATCGGTCAGTACGGATTATACCATGCATGAGGAACGACGTACGTTGGATAAACGACATAGACTTTTCAGGATGGAGTTGACGGTGTTGCTCTCTGAACTGGGTTCTGTGGCGACTGAATTCATTTCTTATATCCAGATCGTGGCAAATTCTCCGCCCGGACCGCTTGTTTCAATTCTGTGCCGAGCGGGCTCGATCTCGCCATCTCCGTTCGCTGCCTTGCTCCAACGGTTGGATCGTGAGGCGGTACCGGTCCAATGTATACCAGCAGTTTGCTACGCGCACAATCGTCGATAACTCCTCGCGGGCGGTCTGCTTTCCTTACCCTGTTCTGGTGCCGTGGGCCTCCTGTGTGCTCACTGCGTAACAGTGGTGCACTAACCACCTCGGGACTCTACGGAACGTAGGTATCTCGGAAGGATCCTCCTATTGACTATTCTCCGTCCGCCTTCTCGGGAAGAAAAAAGGTTGTTTGTCCTTCCCTTTCATCGCATACTATGCTTACTTCCCGCTGCAATCGTATAGGTGTGACCGGTAAACTCGGATCGCCGTCCAATCGGTACCTGAAACATCCGCTACTCCATGGCTGAGGCGGGCCGTTGTTCTGGTCCATCCGCTCTGAATAAAATTGCGCACCCCCGATGCGACCGCCAAGCCTCGACCTTTGCGGTCGATATATAAACGTGCCATCTTGTTCCCCAGATCGCCGTTCACCTTCCGCACACCGCTCTTCAGCCATGGCCCCCCCTAAGTCCAAGGATCCCGTTGTCGCTTCCAAACACTCTCGAGACAAAGGCGACGTCGATGGTCCCGATGATTCTCCTTCAAAGCGCCGGTATGTAGCCCCGCGTTCTGGACTATCTTTCCACTATTAACCTCCTTTCAGTCGCATTGCACAGGCCACTGCTAACGTCCCTCACAACGAAGGGGACGATTCGTTGGACGTAACAGCAGACGGGTCCGACTCTTTTTTTTTTACTCTTTCATTTCCTGCCGCTGACTATCTGCGTTTCCTTTCGTGTTCTCAGAGACGATACAACTGTTGGGAGTTCTCCTCCTAGTGCGGATTTGGCACCCAACGTCGAGCCGAAGGACGGAAAATCTAGGTTCAGCATCTTTTTTATTCATGCATCTTCGACGATAATTTTTGCTAACGTTGCAATTGTCGTGCTCCCTTTCCAGCGTTCCTTCGTCGTTGGCGGGGCAAGGGACCGCCATTACCAACAATGCCGCGACCGGCAGCTCACCCGGCGCAGATGACGCGGCCGTCAACAACTCTCACCTTCTCTTTACACGCCGGCAATGGTTCTCTAACGCGCTGATGCAGTATGCATTCATTCTATATCTGGCGTTCAGCTTCTTACTTGTATGATACTCTATCTAGGAGGCTCCCTCCCATGTTGGACTACCAAAAGCCGGCGGAGAACATCTTCGCTCTATCGAAGCTCCCCGTTCTCGATCTTGACTGGGGTAACTCTACGGCATCTGTGAACAAGTTATGCGTCAAACCCCGCTCTGTACCCGTCTCTGTTTGGATCGTTGGCATCATCGACGCCCTCTGGCTCTTCAACCCGCGCAGCGGCGAACCCGAGGCCCGTATTTCGGTGGGAGTGGCGCCCCTCGCCGACCATGCCCTGATGGTCGCGAGGAACGTACTGTGCGATTTTTCTCGGCCGGTGTCGAGTACGTCGTATTTTTCCTCCTGGTCTCGTTTCTTATTGACGTTGTCGATGCGTGCGTTTATCAGCCAGCGCCAAGTCTCTCTTCCACGTCAACGCTTCGAAGTGGACTTCTACTCAAGTTCACGGAGAACGTGCCAACCAGGTTAGTACTCGTGCTGTCCTTCGTCGGTGTCTGCTCATTCTTTTTCAGAACCAGGAGTTCGAGAAAGTCTACGATGCGCGCAACAAATTCGCCACCAAACACAAGATGCCCCGGCTTGCTCCCGAGGAACTCAAGAAAGGAGACTTAGTGCTCATGGAGGCCCAGATATCACGCTACAACACGAAGAAGGACAGGGATGGAAAGGTTCGAACCAAGACTAACAAGGCTGATATGGTCGAGTACAAGGTCTCCTTCGACTTGGTTGCCGTTTCCCTGTTGGAAGTTGGGCCCAAGGTGACAGAGGATGCTGCAGCGGAGCTTGACTCGGATGACGAGGGTCTTTGAGCTATCAATTATCTCTTTCCCAGCTACGTTTTCCTCCATGTGCAGAGATGCAAGCCTTATTTGTCTTCGGTTTCTCGATCTACGTCGCCTCGTCTCCTTCTCCTTTTCTTCTCGATGTAATAGAGCTACAACGCTTGTTAAAAATGAATTTCGTCTCCTATTGGTCATCGACCCTGGGAATGTTTTTCAATCTCGCGTGGCTCCGTCACCCATTGGGCGATCTAAGTTTGGCTCGCTTCGCAAGCTTACGCAACAGTTCGAATTTTCCTTCTGCTCTTGCGTCGACGACTATCTGCCTTCATTGACCCGCCCGCCTCTTTGTTTAATGTCAGCGGTTCGTATGTTTGTATTATCATTCTCACACAGCCCGTATGACAGTCATATACTCTTTCCGCAGGTCACCGAGAGCGTCAGCGTTGCAGCCCTTCCAGAGCGCTCCGACGCCAGCGCGGGTTTGACTCCCTTTCAAGAAATGATCTCCTTATTTCAAGGCCTCGATATCTTTGAGGAAGGCGTGGCACACTCAAAACAACTGCTCGATCACCGTCGTTTTGTGCTGTTTCCTCTGCGTGCTACCAAGGTGCGTCGTCTGTGTCGTTGTACTTGGCGTGCATTGAGTACTGTTTCAAGGTTTGGCACTGGTACAAAGAAGCTGAGCACGGTTTCTGGACGGCCGAATCAGTCGTAGGGCCCATTGCCTATGAGCCCAACGAAGAATCACGATCCATTGCGGGCTGCGTCGCTGCCGCCGCAATGTTTCTCAGCCCCATATCGACTCTCCATGCTGCATCTTCCAGCATATCTTCGGCTGTCGACCTGCCGGAGGCTCGCTCATTCCTAGGACTCCACTCAGCTCAAGCAGCTATATCTTCTGAAACGCTTGAATACTTTCTGTTAGACCTCTGTCCCGATGACGCGTCACGCAGAGATCTACTAGAATCAGTGTCTGCATCCCGCAGCAACAGAATGCGGCGTCTTCTCTTCCAGCTCACTGGGCACGATCTCAACCTCCCGACTCAGGATATTGTCGTCTCCTGGATGGTCCTTCGCGTCTTGGCCTTTTCTAGTGTATGGGCCGTGGTATACTCCTTCGCACAGTCTCGTGTAGATCATCCGTTACTTCGCTGGGCTGTGCACGCCATGATGGACTGTAAACTAGCGTTCCGTTTCGCTATGTCTTTGCTGGAGAACCTTGGAGAACCGATCAACGCTCCTCTAGTGATTCTCCTTGTAAAATTGGCTGTCTCTTTGGAGGATGTAATGTATCAAGGTGCGTGATCGTCATCGTCTTCATGACGACGTCTAATTATGACATGTTTGCGTCGTACATAGAGCTGTCCTTGCATAACTTTGTTGTTTACGGCCGAAGCTCACCGATGCATGCCCGTCAACTCGGAGATAACATACTGCGACACCTGACGCTGGACCCCATCTTGAAACGATAGCACC